GAGTCCAATTCTAATCCATGATGCCCAAAGGGCCATATTCCTTTGGGGGGAAAAAAGGTAGAATCTGGAACAAGATTTCGAAAATAATTGATATTTGACCATGCAACAGAAAGACAGAAAAACGGGGAAATACAGAAATTGATGGATTGTTTTTCTTCTTAAAATAACAAGATTCTCAAATAAAAGATATAAATTAAAATGCATATTAGATCCTATATTTATTTACAAATTAATATTTATATTAGTAAACTTATATATATATATGAGATTTTTAGTATTCTTTGTTTTTTGTTATAACGTGTCATTTTAATACTGTTTCAAAAATATTAAAATATAAGTTTAATGAAATGTTTGTTGTAGATTAATATATATATATATATATATATATATATATATGCTTTTTGATATATATAAATGAAGTAATCCGTAAACAAGAATAACTATAAGAATCAAATGGTATTTTAACCTTAAATAAATAAATACACACTTTTTAATATAAAAATAATTTATTAATTATAATTAATTATAAATGTTTAATATGTATTATAACCTAAATTTTAATATTTGTATTCTTTGCTAGTAAGGGGAAAATTAGCTTTGATTGTTCTTAAACTTTAAACTACATTATTAAAATAATGTGATCAAGACTTTAAAAAAAGGTCTTTTGGAGCACATAATTCATTCCACAAGTTACTACTTATTTAGATATATGTTTGCATTATATATATAACACATTTATTTTAGTGTTATAATTTTTACTTATATAATTTTTTTAACGTGCTTCTAAACTATAGGCATTTAAGGGCTGCATTTATGTTCCTTCTTCAATGCAAATAGTTGATGCTTTTATTAGAGCACCTCATGCTCAAATTTTCCATGACAATTGTTTTAAGTTGGGATGTATAAATTAATGATTTTATTAAAGCACCTCATGCACAAATTTTCCAGGACAATTGTTTTAAGTTGGGTTTGCTAAATTTATACATCCCAACTTGAGGGGATATTAAGCATTAATGTTGTATTTAAATAGAAAATTTTAAAAAATATAAATTTAACAATGAAAAATGCTTAAAGTAAAAGCTAAGTATAAAAAGGTTATGAATAATAAATACAAAAAGTCAAAGCATAATACAGAAATAAATAAAATCATCTTTAAAAAAATCATTTAAAATTTGTTCTATTTGCTATAAAAATTATTTACTTAAAATTATACAATATTTTAAAAATATTTTTTTGTTACTATTCAAATACATGCAATTTGATAATTTTAAATTATTCTATTTAAACATAATATAAAAAGTACGACTGTGATGGATTAACCAAATGATCAGACACATTGTTTTGATTCCCCATGAAATAAGAAATTCAGATATTAGATGATCTTATGAAACTGATGGTGGATCTAAACTTTGTTTAGAGCTTTGATACCATTTTAAGTAGCATGCAATTCTGGTGCAAAGAATAAAAAAGTTTAGGCAACTAGGAAATATATATGTACAAGAGCTATATATATATAAACTTACAGATAAAAGAAAATGAAAATAGTGTTAACAATGACATCTAATATATACAACAAACCAAGCAAAACAAAATAATAAAAGTGACCTCCACGTACATGAATAACGACACGTTCATAACTAAAACCCTTAATTAATGTCTAATACGACATAATTAGTAGCGTAAGCAATTGCAATTTGCAAGTCTAAGGAAGGAACAAGTTACAAGCACTTTTCATTTTCACACAAACATAAAATATAAGGAAGAAAACTGAACAAAAAATGGCCTTATCCTTGTCCAATTGATTTTTTGGCTACAAATTACAACGAATCACGATTCCGTTCGATCGAATATCATTTAATAACGTTTACGTTGGATGGAAAGTAAAATAAGGATAATACAAATTTAAAAAAAACAGGGTGAAAGGATATAAATAAAATTATATATTATTTTCTCTGCTTGTTCAAACAAATATATATAAATTAATTAGATAATATAAAAAATATATACTGATTAAAAACATAGTTTTAAGGGTCAGATTCCCCACCCCCTTAAAACAGGAAAGTATTTAGTAAATTGTACAGACATTTGTAAATACATATAACTTACAAAACTATAATTTTAAAACTAATTTAAGTGATAAAATATCATATTAATTATAATTGACCGACATCTTATGTTAACCTTCATTGAAAAAAAAAACTGAAGTATTGATTTAAAAAATAAATTTGAAATTCTCTTATAATTGATTTATAAGTTAAAGAAAAAATATCATTTTATTCTGATAAATAAAGTTAATAAGGCGTTTATATACTAAAAAATTAAAAATAATAATTACAAGACTTTAATTTATAATATAAAAATTATTATTCTCGAATACTATTAATTGAAATAATGTAATTTATAATACTTAACCTAAATTTATAATATAAGTACAGTGACATTATAAATATTTTTTACATTTTCATCTAAATATAAATTTTCATGTTAATGAGAATCGTTTATTTTTGTTATAAATAATTTTAAAATGTATTTTAATTAATTAATTGTGTAAAAAAATGTTAATAATATGTTAAACTTTAAACTCATAAATTATTTTTAGATACCACTTGAATTAATTTATTAAAAAACTTATTAACCAAAAATTACAAGACAAATATAATAACAAATCAATACAAACATCCACTTAAATGAATAAATCGATCACCAATAAAATAAATAAATACCATTTCTTAAACGGAATATTAGCACCCAGTATTTATTGCCATAAATAAATAATGATCGCAAACTTCTTTATATGATACAATTTATTTAGACAAAGTTATATTAAAATAAAGATTTTAATGGATTATTAGCTATTAAAATATATACTATGTATATTTTTTAATTAAAAATAATTATCACACTTAGAAAAAAATAATTATGGCAAAAGTTAATTATTCGTATCGATACCAAATGTGAACTTTTTATGTAATTTGACCTATATATATTCATGATCAATATGTATATTGAAAGAAATTAGTCTTTAATAAAATGATGAGTCACGATTTATATGAGTTTAGGAGCGTCCTTATGTTAACGTGATTAACTCATTCTAGCCCGTTTATTGGAGACCCAACTTATACAGGTTCAGTTAATCCATATATCCACCTTTATACAATATATTAACTATATCCTCTATCTAGTATAATTATTCCACGTAGGATAGAAAGAAAATTATAAAAACAAAAAAATTAAAGAAAAAAATTTAAAATGTTTGATTCTATTTTTAAAAATAATTTTTCTGCTTTTAAATATTAGATGTAGTAAAAAACTTTCTTAGCATTTTAAAATATTCATTAAAATGGATAAATCAGCAACCAATCAAAATGGTAAGTGTCGTTTCTCTTTTAAAAATAATAAGTGGAGTATTAGCATTTTGTCATGATTGCACACTTCTTTCCTTCTTTATATATATATATATGATGCAATTTATTTAGACTAAATTACATTAAAACAGTACTAATAACATTAAAAACAATCCTCATTTTTTCTTAAAATATCGAAAAAATTCTTATTAAGCCTGTGAAATACATGTTATATCACTCAATTTAATTTATATCAAAAGAAAAAATTATAAAAAATACTAATAATACACTTTTTAACTAAAAAGTTTCCCATATATTACATGAATATTTTTAAATTTAATTAAAATTTAAAGGATATAATAATTTTTATTAATAACAAGAAATATTTTAATTTATTAAATAATAATACATTAAAAGCATAATATTTTTAAAATTGAGTATAAATTTATCACACCCAACATCTTTGTAAAAAAATTGGATTGTCAAAATTATAAAATTTAAAATTAAATTCAAATTATGAACATGATAATCTTAGATATTACTTTATCTAAATATTTTCAAATTCTTCTATCGTATATGAATTCAAATTTAACATTTAAATCAAAATTGATTTAAACTATTAGTATTTGGAAGAGATAAAAAAAAAAAAATACTTTTATATAATTTATAAAAAAATAATTATTTTTTTAAATAAAAATATTTTTAAGGTTGTCTGTGCTTTTATGGCTGAATAGATAACAATGTAAACATTTTTTAACTATGAGTACTTTCCTCAACATTTATGACAATTTTTTATTAAAGTAAAATGTATAAAATTCTTAAATAAACCTAAATTAATAAGATTTTTTACCAAAGAAAAAAATATTAAAGAAATGATTTTGAAAAAAATACAAAATTAAAACTAAAAAAAAACTGAATGATGGATGTAAGATAAATTATAAAAAGAATTAACTCTTAAAAATACTCTCATTTAAAATATTTTATTTTATATCAATTCTTATCATATAAATTTGACCATGAATTTTATTAAAATAAATTAATAAAAATTATTTCTATAATTCATCTTACCAAATGACAATTTACGGTTAAGAAATTTATATTTAGGCTGAGTTTCTAAAATATGTAGAAGCATTTTTGGCTCAAGTGAAAAAATTTCACAATCGTTACAATGTAAATATGTGGTAAACTCAATTTCAACCATTAATCTTATTACGTAAATCGTGTTCCTTTTATTAATTAAAATACACACAAGCTCTGAATTCTGATCATACCTTGAAGAAAAATTTCTTGATATGAAATATAGGTATTATGAAAAAGAAAAAGAAAAAGAAAAAGAAAATGCATTCCTAATATTTCACAACTATTGGCTTGATCTTATCCATCATTTAGCTGCAGCATACATCAATCCCAAATCTAGCAAATTCATTCCATTTGCTTAATAGAAACGAAAAAAATAAAGAAAATAATAGAAAGATAGTAAATTTCAAGAAATGACATTTATTATATTTCTGAAAAGGATGAAACGTATCCATTATCCATATTTGTCTATATTCATTTTATAGAATACCATTTTTAAATTAGAATTAGGTGAATTTTGATATAATATTGCCCACGTGTCAAAATATATATTTTAAAAACACTACAGGCGCAGACATGAATACTGCATAGGAAAGGGGTTGCAGCAGAGAGAGAGAGAGAGAGAGAGAGAGAGAGATAAGGGCTCATAGTCACGAAGGGGAAGAAAAAGCGTCAACTCAGTCTTTGATTCTGAGTCTTTGGCAACGTCACTTTCACTCGTTTCGATTTCTAGGTATGAAAATGATGCTTCTTCTTGTTGCACTGAATTGGAACCTCAATTTCTTTTCAGAGCACCATGCTCTCTGTTCTCCTTCGATACACACCGTTTATCTTTTCATTCATTTAAGATAGGTTTTGATGAACAGTGAAAATGCAAGCGTTGGTGTTTATTTGCTTCATTGCTCTAGCACTTGTCTAATGGGTCATGGATTTGATAATAAACCTTTGTGATTGTTCAATGGGTTTCCAGAATGTACTATGCCTATGGATTTGACCAACCAAGGCAATGGAGTAGTTTAGTGATGTAATTATTGTGGATGTTGATGGGTTGGGTGCATTGTATTTGTTTTACATGAATATAAATAGTTTTCTTCTTGTTCTGTGTTATATTTTGGCGATGAGATTTTCTTCATTTGACTACCTTTATGCTTAATCTCACGTGGAATAGCTCAGTGGAAGACAACTCATTTTTATGGCTATTTCCCTGAAGTCAAATTGCTTCTTGCTATTGAAGAAACCCGAGGCCAGTTTCCAGGCTGGTTTTTGCCCCAAGAGAACCACAGTCTCTGTTAAAAGATACACTCCAGTGGCTGCTATCAAGACCATGGAAGCTGTGGGGCTATCTGAAACATTTACCAAATTGAAAGAAAAGGGAAAAGTAAGTGCTTTGGTGTTTCTATTGTGTGTCACATTTCAACTTGAATAGTACTCTGTAACATACTTGATTTTTTGTTTTACTTAATATAATTTTCTGATTCCATTTTCTATGCTTTTTAAAATCAATGATATTTCTCTTCCTGGCTATAACGGGTTAGTAGTAATTATCTTTGTATCTTGGTGGATTAATTTTTGTGCCGTATCAACTTTATTGCAAAGAGATACGAGTCAGAGGACTATTGTTGACTGCTAAATGACAGTTTTCTAAGAAGTATATTTGTTTGAAGGTGGCTTTCATCCCATACATAACAGCTGGTGATCCTGACCTTTCAACCACTGCAGAAGCGCTGAAAGTGCTTGATTCATGTGGGTCTGACATAATTGAGCTTGGTGTTCCATACTCTGATCCCTTGGCTGATGGTCCTGTTATCCAGGTTTGATGCAGTCTTCTTTTTCCAGTGATATTTAGTACTACCTGGTTCACACACTGATCTGTCTTTCTGTTCAGGCTGCTGCAACAAGATCTCTAGCAAAGGGGACCAATTTTAATGCAATTATTTCTATGTTGAAGGAGGTAAATTTGTGCAACTCCTTGAACCATTTATTAGTTATTACTTTCAATACAACAACCAAATCTTATCCCACTTAATGGGGTCAACTTCATGAATTACATGATGCCATTGAACTCGATCAAATACCAAATTTTCTGAAATATGATTATTTTTTGCTAAATTTTTTAATAATTCCTTCTAAAGTTGTTTTAGATCTCTCTCTATCCCTTTTCATTGGACTAAAAGTCATGTTATCCATTCTTTTTCTTGGTGCCTCAAGTGGTCTTTGCACATGTCCAAATCACCTTATTCAATTTTCTTTTCTCTTTTCCACGATAAGTGTTACTACAATATTCTCACATATGCAATCATTACTTTTAAAAGCTAATGAAAATGAGCTCTGCTGTAGCTGTTAATTTTCATTTCTTTGATTGACAAGTTGGCAGTGCAAATAGCCAAATTTGCTAGTTTGTGATGAAGTTTGAAGTGGTGATGCCTATCCATCATCTACCCATGTTCTTACTTGAAACCAGAACAGAAGAATCAAATCGAATAACTTGTTTTAGATGCATGGACTGATGCTCCTTTGTAATGGTTGATTTGGCAGGTTGTTCCACAATTGTCATGTCCACTTGCTCTATTTACATATTACAATCCAATACTGAAGCGTGGTACTGAGAAATTTATGTCCACCATAAGAGACACTGGTGTACATGGTACTACTCAACACAAGAAATGATTTGCCAAATAACATAGGATTTATCACATTGTACCATGCTTTTCAAGTTGGTCTGTTTCTATACTAGCTCTATGATAAACAATGTCACAAAATGCATAAGCAATAGTGAAGCAGTTTCAAATACCCCATGTTCTGTACTCAAGTTCGATATTTATGTTTTGCTAATTTAAATCTGTATCATTATTAAAGAAAGTGTCTGTGCACTCTCCTGCCTAGTCCTGGTTAAGGTTTCTGTATAAGCTACTTCTGCGTAGAAGTTGCATATGAAATAAATTCTTGTTTGTATTTGGTTGCTTTTCTGGCACTGGTAAATTAGGATAATATTCTTTTCTTTCCCCATATGTATGCAGGACTTGTAGTCCCAGATGTCCCTCTGGAGGAGACGGAGAATTTGAGGACAGAAGCTAAGAAGAATGGAATTGAACTGGTTTGCTTACCTTTTAAATGTTCTCTTGCTTTATTTCTGAATTTCAGATGAATATCCTTATACTGTTGATAATGATGATAGAGAATTAGTGGTATACTTTAGTAGTTTTTTGTAATGTGTATTTATAAATATGAAATCCTCTAGCACAACAAAGGAGTTATGGTGACAATTCTGGAGCAAGGAAGTTTTGTTATGATTAAAATCAGTCTGTTCTATTGCATATACTTTTTGCAATATCATATATTGTTTAATTTTTCTAATGTTTTTTTTTTAATTTTGTTTGGATAAATTAATCTATGTACATGTATATCTCTTGTTGATTTTCTATATTTGTCTTTTTTATATCATTAAGGTGCTCCTCACAACACCCACTACACCAACAAACCGAATGAAAGCCATTGTTGATGCTGCAGAAGGATTTGTGTATCTTGTAAGAGCTTCTTTCAACCATGATAACTTCTTTTTTCTGGGCTCCTCTTATTTGTTCTCATATAATTCCTTTTACTTTTAACTTGCTATGGTCTTGCTGTTAGAGTATGTCTGTGTTTTTCTATATAATTTATTTCTCACTATTTCTATAAACATAAATAAAATTTGAATATCTGTTTATTTGTGTTCCATTTTTTCCAAACATTTTATTGATGTACTGTGTGTATTAGATGATGAGTTATTCACCAACGTGATATTAAAATGCATATTTGTTCCTGCTTTTCAGCTCTTGAAATAAGAATAAATCATAGATTTTTTTCTTTTGTCATTCGAAACATTAGACATACTCCAAGAACTCTCGACTTATTATCGTTGTCTCATCGCCGATGTTACAAGCATCGAAGCCAAAATGCCAATGGCTTCTAGTTACGCATCTTTATTTTATTAACTTCCTTTTCAACATTCACTTTGCACACCAAGGAGATGACTATTGTTTGTTCTGAGTTGATACAGAGTCGTGTCTCATAGCTGTCTCTGTTCTGTTAGTGCGGTTTCATAATTTCACATGTTTTCTTGAAATTAAGATATGAATGAGATGACTGAGATGTTTTGTCTCTTTTCTTGAACCCGGCAGAATCTTTCAGAATTTTTTTTTCTCTTTTCTCTTTGGAGTATTTACTAGGGTGAAATTGGATTAGAACAACCTTTTTTGGGAGCCAGTCATAGAAGTTGACAATGAATTTTTTGCTTTATTTTGTGAAATGGTCATAGTTTGGTGTTAGGCTTGATTTTGGTATTTGTTTTTTAAGTTGGTCAAGTTTGATCATATTACTGCATGTTTTCAGGCTATGAACAATTCCATTTTTTATGCATCAAGACTAGAGCTTGGAAATCGGATTGATTTTTCAAACAAGTTATTTAGTTTGTGTCTACTTGGGTTTGGAAGTTGACAGTGGATAACAAGTCCGCTTGGTCCCAATTTTTTTTTGGAAATAGGATACAATGATAGTGAAAACACAATATATCAGGCATTACCATCTCAGTTCAACGTCTGCCAGCAAATGCCACTAACCATTTGTTGATTTACCTTATAGGTGAGCTCGGTGGGTGTCACTGGAGCCCGAGCATCAGTTAGTAATAATGTTCAGGGTCTGTTGCAGGAAATAAAACAGGTTTGTTTATTTGATCTCGGTTTCCATTCCAGTTTTATTATGTGGAAGTATACTTTTCCCTTCAGAAAAGCCCAATTCTCTTTCTTTCTTAGCCCATTCCCTGCCCCTCCCACTTCTCTTTTGTTGCAAGAGTTGGCAGCTGATCAATTTAGACTAATTACCATAGAACTTGGTAAATCTTGAGTTCTTTTTTCTTTTGTAATTATCAGGCAACAACTAAACCTGTGGCAGTTGGTTTCGGAATATCAAAACCCGAGCATGTGAAACAGGTTAGTTCTGTGTCCATATATTAGTATGCTTCTACCTCAATGTGGGTAATGATCAATCATATACTTTGTTACAGGTGGCAGGATGGGGAGCTGATGGTGTGATTGTTGGCAGTGCTATGGTGAAGTTACTTGGTGAGGCCAAATCTCCTCAAGAGGGACTGAGAGAGCTGGAAAATTTCACCCGCTCCCTGAAAGAGGCACTACCTTGAAAATAATCTTTAAGAGCTTGAACTTCTAGTATTTGTCTCTTCATAGACATTGGACTGAATAAGGACATATGTTGTCTAATTATTATTGATTTTGCATGTCCGTGATAGTGTTATTATCAAGACTCTGTTCCTTTTCCCTTTTCAATTGTGATTGGATCTTAGTTATGAAAAGTAAATGTCCCATATTGAGTTGTGCCAACTGGATCCCCAAATCGTTTCGTTTCTTGTACATGAGCCTCCCTAATCCTAATCAACGCAACCTATTATTTTAAGATTGGTTAGCTGATCAATGATTGAATCATCTACAACGGTACCTTTTGATAAATTTGCGCACTTGCATTTTTAAACAAATTGTGCTTTTAATCATTTTAACTGAAGGACAACCAGTACGTGAGTACAATATGAAGGCATTGCGACAAACAAAGAAGGTACAACAAAAAGTATTAACACGAGAAACTGATTCATCCAGTAATGTATTGATTCACAAAACAGCCTATCTTATAGAAATATTCGTAGACAAAAACTTTTTTCTATTATGTTTGTGGGATAGTTAGTATTGCTCAACTATTATGACAAGCACATTGGTAATAACTATTCTAAGATGATTTTTCTCGACTATTCTTTCTGAGAAACACACAGGTATAAACCATTCACCCATGTCACTTGCACTTGTTTGCATAACCATTTTGTTTAATTCTGCTGAGGCAGTGTTTAAAAGGCTACCCAATCAGGCTCTGATGGCTTTAGTTCGTATTTGTCTCTCATTGATATCTATAAGCCCATTATAAATCTTTTAGTCAAGCCGATAGGTTGTTCATCATAACGTGAGAACATTAAAAAAAAAACATTGAGAACCTTCGTCATAATATCATCATAAAATTTTAAATCGGTCTTTCAGATTGTATTGGTTAGACTTTTTAATTTTTGAAATTTTAAAATCCTTTCCTTAATTCTTGATTTGACAAAATATCATTTAATTTTTTCACACAAGATGATAATAAAAAAATAAAATATCTTTTTTATGAAGTCTGGGACTGATGGAAGATTTTTCTACTTTAAACTTACCGATGCCAGAAAAAAATTTACACACAACATCCTCCCCTCCCCCGGCGAGTGAAAAGAATCTACACAACTTTCAACTAAAGCCGGAAAATTTCTTCTATAGCACTTTGATCATAAGCTTATTTCTTTTTAAGATACAAGATAAACTAATAATTAATTCATGACTTTATAGAAATGAACATAGCAAATCCAAAGTAGCAGGGGTAAATCATAAGCATATAATGCAAACTTGTAACATTTCGTTAAGGAAGGACCTTGACATAAAAATTAAGAGAGTAATGCTATTCTTACAAGATTTTTTTGCAACACTCTTTCACAACTTTTTTTTTCTCTCTTTCCATCACATTGTTATCTCGTTTCTTCCAACTTGATTGTAAAATCTGTTGTGACAATGAGTTGTGGAAGTAGAATTACTAGAACTCAAATACTTTAGCATCTATTTTATATATTACAATTTATTCAAATAATCTCCATAACCCCAATATTCAAGATACTATTGAGCTCACAAGGTAATGGAGTAAGGTTTTAATCTACCGTGAACAAGGACAAAACATATTCTAGAAAAAAATCAAATCAAATCAAACAAAGAACATAAGCTCAGCGTCTCCCAGAAGCCACAGATTCAGTAGAGAAGAGGTACTTCACTCGTGAAAGAACTGAATCATGCGTAGGATCATATGCATGGTCTTTGGAGGGAATCTCCAATATTGCAGGAACAGGCTTGTTGTAACTATCAACTAGAAACCTTATCATATTTGCAACCTGAATAAGGAAATCACAAGGTTTGATTGTAATAGCAGACATGGGCTAAAACAATATTGTAAGGACTTTTTTGCACTTTGATGATCAATTTGCTTCAGTAATGAGCAGTAGTTTTGGTTAGAATGACATACATGATACATATGCACAACAGCCTAAGGTATTTCTAGTTTTCTACTAATTATGTGTCAGTCTAGCGATACTAAAAGTAACTTACATATTGGCTTATCAAAACTATTGCGATATCTTCCCTTGTTGTGAACTCTTTGAATACATCTTCAATTTGTTTGACAGTTGTTTCTGAAAATGAAAAAAAAGAGGGAAAAGAAAAAGCAAATTATAATACCAACATTACTCCCTGTTGGTTTTGAAATAGACAGACAGAAAACTTTTCAAAAACAGCCAATACATTTTTCAGAATTGAAGTGCAGAGGCTGCTAACCCAATATAACATGAACATTACCCAATAGGCCCAATGCTGGCAATATATAAGATGGAAATTTATTCAATATTTTAGAAGGCAGGAAATTACTGTATTCTCTTAATAATTGCCATATAATTATGATTTGAAATTAATTAAGCATAAACGAAGTTTATGTGAATGGAAGAACAGTGGCATACTTGCGTCTACAATAAGGTAATTTGTCTTCCTGCGCAAGTCAACATTACCCACTCCAGCCAGCAGAAATCCAACTACAGTGTCCTGTGATAAATTCCTTGATTTAGTTATTAACTTAATAGGCTTCAGTATGTTGAAAATCAGAACATTATCAGGAAAAATAGGCTGCGGTGAAGAATGTATGAAACATTTCTTGACTGGTCTAGGTCTAGGATGGTGAATGATAATGTAAATTCCTTTATAAATAAAAATCATAAATCGTATCACCTGTTTACATCATACCAGACTTGAAGCAAATTAGCTATGGTTAATACATATCGAAAATGGGCAACCTGAGCACAAGACTCTCACCAAGTTTAGTCTGGGGAGGATAAATATATGTAGCTTTCCCTTGTAAACGGAGAGACTGTTTCCAAGATTTGAACCCATGCCGTTCAGGTCACAAGGCAGCAAGCAACCTTACCATTGAGCCAAGGCTCAACCCTCATCTATGGTGATTAAAATACTTCTAGAACTTAAGAGATTATCAAATTAAAGTTCATGATGGTTTCAAGAGTTTAAATGGCATTTTTTTTTTCACATCAGCATATGGCATTCACCAATCTAACAAATTTAATTTAGAAACAAGCTCATCTCAAAATTTTAAAATTGAAAATTGATTTTTTCCCTCTTTCATATATACTTTTCTTGGGTAGAAAATACATCCAATCCCCCCCCCCAAAAAAAAAAAAACCATCTAAGTTAAACCAGATGGCTGACTTACACAGTAAACAGTGGAGGAGAGACAACTAAAGATCAATTGCCATAGAAAACATTTAAACATTCTTAAGGCAAAGATACACCATTCTTACCTCATCTGCAATCATAGCAATGAGTGCTGAATTGTTTGTGGGAATTTGAACTCTGTTGGCCATTAAGTTTGAATGATGGTGCTAAACAAGACAAAAGGGGAAAGAAAAAGACAAGGTAAGATAATATGTTCAAAAGTTGTCAGTATTAGGATAGTCATCATATCTATCTTGAGTACATAATGTAAATATTCAAAAAACATTTAACTGTAAAGAATAAGTTCAGAAATGGCCAGTGCATCCTTGACTAAATAAGAAACTCAACAACACAGAACTGAGCAACTTATAATTTGAATAAAACAGCAAATGCAGTGCTAAACCTGATATCAGATCCAATCGTTCAGTTTTATACATAGTCGGTTTAAGGCCTTAGCAGACATGTTGAGCACAACTAAAAGACAATGTTTTTTGAATTCTTTATCCGTAGAGTGACAGAGGGAAATAGAGGCAAGTGAAAATACAAAGTCTAAAATTTACTGAATGAATAAAGTTTGTACAAGAAGCCCATCATCATGTGGCAAATATAGAGAGCAAGAGAAATTAGAAACCTATGTTAGGATCCAAGTGCAAGGAATGGAACTTGAGTCTCATGTTGGAAGTACAGGATTCTAATTTGTGGTTTATAAGATCTTGAACTCTCCAACTACATCAGCTAGATTTTGTGGTGTGGTTTTCTCAAAATTCTTATCAATTGGTATTAGAGCCTTCCACCATATTTCCTAATTGCAAATGAGTGGCACAGGTGATGACTTTGGCATTACAATATCCACTCGGAACTAATCAAAAGGGTTGTTAGTGTACAGCGCTTGGACACCAAAACTACAAAGTGTGGTGAAATGTTAGAATCCAATTATAAGATACATGATTTGAATCTCATATTGGAAGTATGAGATTCTAATGTGGAGTTAATAAAGCCTTGTACCTTCCAACTATAACAACTAGCTTTTGTGGTGAGGTTTTTCCAAAGTTCCTATCAACCTAAAAACCAACCTAATGACTCATAACACTAATCTATCTAATATCTATTCTGGGTACATTAATCTAATTAATTTCTAACTAAGCTAATGAAATCTAACCATAGAGCAACCATGGTAATATACTAATAGTCCTCCACAGGCTGGACTAACTTCTCCAGCTTGGGTTGAACAGTACAAACTCATAGCAATCACCAATAAATGCAAATAAAAAGTAAATGTAATCAGAGAGGCTGACAAATAATCTGAAAATGAGTGAGAATTGGCAAAGGCCAAGGTGCATTGCTCCTAGAGGTCTTCAACCTTTAGGCCTCTTTGAAGTTCTTGCATTATCTCCATGCCCTCAAATTTATTAAAACTGAGATTTCCATTGATTCATTTAGTAAATCTCAGATTTCCACTACTCATATCCTCTCAATTTTATCTCTGGCTCTTACAGTGCCACGATTCTCAGTATGAAGAACTAACTAACGAGTTGAAAAGGGCTCACAGTAAACTTTGTTAACTCGAAGGACTGTCAATCAACCAGGATCTTATCAAGTATAAGAATGGTGTTTGAGACCCCAATGTCAATGAAATTGGTCATTACTTGAAAAAATTGCAGAACTTAATATGGGCTCTCTTAGGAACCAAATAAAATAGTTATATTTATTAAACTAAAATCAATAAATTAAATACCATTGATTCATGAGAAAAATGCACAAACATCATGAGAAAAACTGAAGTAAAACTCTTAAAGGTAGACACCAAGAAAAAAAAAAGAAACCAAAATGATAATGAAATAAATCCAAAACACAATTCAAAACGGGGGGAAGGGAAAACCATTTATTTTTCAAAAACATGTAATCGAGGTCTGTCCATAGTCTAGTAACACTCAATCTGAAAGAAAATTCTATGAGGTGACAATTCATTTAAAGTTCCAATGCGTAACTACGAAGAAGGAGTTGAAATATTGGGCATCAAAGAGATGATGAACAATGCCACACCAACCAGTTATTCTATATTCCAATAAGAAATTAAAAATTGCCGCAACCTATTTGATCCGATTGGTTTCTGCTACTGATTAGTTCATCACTGACACGAAGTTATGCTTCGAAATTCGAACATAAAAAAACTGGAAACAAACATAGATTGAAGGTTACCAAATGATTGTCGTTTGAGAGGGACAGCACCAACACCAAAGCAAACCGAACTTGATCGAAGTGGGTTTGTTGATTCTTGTAATTCGGACAGGATGTTTGATTGAATTGAATACATGATAACAAAAATTTATTTATATCCTCCACATTTTAAATCAAAACATAATATATTATATTACATTTTGGATTTTTTTTTTATTTGCTAGTCTTAACTTTTTGTTATTTTTTTATATTTACCTAATTTGTAACGAATGATTATAATGATTAATTCTAAATATAAAATTTAACAAAATTATACTTTCCCATGAATGACTCTCCCTATACCCCTTGTCAACACACACATACGTCAATCCATCAGGGATGGTAGAGGCAATTATATTTTGAGTATTCACAAAAAAATATAGTCGTAATAAGGTAATTATTCGCTTATAATCACTCGTAAAATTTTAGAAATCTTAATATTAATCTATCTTATAATATGTAACATATATATATATATATATATATATATATATATATATATATAGAACGTGCAAATTAATAACTCAGTTGAAAGTTTACTTTAGTAATTCTTTTAGACAAATATTATACTTTATAATATTCAATTTGAAAATTTTAACATTGGAAATTTGTCTTATATGTACATTTTTTGTATTTATTGTAATTTCACAGTATGTTCTATGTGTTTTTTAATTAATATTTTACCTGAGTTTGTAAAAATGTATGAAATTGTATTTTATTTTTTTCCATATAATTTACTTAATTTAAATTCCGGGTAATAAGAATGGGGATGATGATTAACTTGAAAGGTTGGTGCAATGGTGTAAGGTCTCACTGCATTTAACTAACAGGGATAACACGAGGCATGCAGCTACGCTGATAGCATAAGATGGAAAATTGGTTAAATAACTATGAATTAATGAATTAGTTTGGGACATAATTATGGAAAATATGAGCTGAATAATATACATAAGTAACATCTTCACTTCAACAGAAAGCAGGGTACGCGACTCTATTGAAGTGTCCTGTGTCCCTACTGAATTTTGGAACCAGATTGGAGACCCGCTTGCACTTTGCTTTGAAAGTGACCTTCTAACCTGAATATGAATAAATGTATGGATGTAAGAAAACATCACAGTAAGAGTGAAAATAGTAAAACAGTAAATAAGGAGGTTGAGGCACCATGCCTTGCAGCACATTTGAAATAAATGGTTTCGGGAGAATTATAGGTCCGTGCATTCGCAAACATTCTTCTGACATCCGCAACAAACATCTCAAATGTGACATAATATTGCTCTGACTCCACCCTCTTAGTCATTGTCTTCAAATCTGCGTTCACATCACAAATATATGAAGACATTAGAAATCAAGACTTTTCATGGCTGTTTAGGATATCAATAGGATAGGATGTCATCAAATGACACTTACTATGACTTTTTACTGCAAATAAATTTTATCAATTTGACTGTTAAATCATATCACGTTATTATAAAGATAATGTGTTTAAAATTTTGCATAATTTAAAAATGTGTAGATATATAACTAAATAATTATTTACTGATATTTTAAATATTATATCATATGTTAAAATAAGGTGAGAATAAAGTATCAAATAAATTTTTAATTATGTGAAACTTTATATACTTAATCTGCTGTATAAAAACTTCAAATTCAACACTTAGATTCATAAAACTCACTTTGAAAAGGAGTTATTAGGTGTAATAAGTTCAACACTTAAAGCCTGTTTAGTGGATAGGATAAATTATCCTATCCTATCTTCTATCAAATTCTTATTCTAAAGGAGGTGCTAGGTTAGGCATCACTAAAATGTGATATTTTTATGTTACATTCTTTCTTATATTAACATTTTCAATAAAAGAAAATTTTAAATATTATATATAAATATTTTTAAAAATATAATATTTTTTAGGAAAATTATATTTAAAAAATATTTTAATCATTTTATAAAATATATTTTCAAACTTTTTATAATATTTTGTTCTATTTATAATTTGTTTCCTAAATAAATTTTAATTGTAAAAAATTTATAATTTAATATCAAATTTTAAATATTATATGTATATGAAAATATTTTTAATGTTAATATATATTTATTAAAAAGTTAAAATTTAAATAAAAATATTTTTTAAAATTATATTAATTTTGATAAAAGAGTAATTTTTATTTAAATATAATCTCCTTTTTTTTTTTTTATTTATCTCAAATATTAAAAATAATAATATAATATTATCTATTCTACTATCATGAAGTACATCAAATAAGACGAGTTTATCCTTCTCGTATCTATCTTATACTTATCCATTTCTCTGTACCAACATTTTTTATCCTATCATGTTCATTTTAGTATTCACTTGATTTGACTTTGACCTTCGATATAATCAACATTGTGAACCATACCAATTACCATACAAGAAAAAGTGTTGAAGGCAACCCTAACTCAAGAATGAAACATCCCCAGCGGGGAAAAGCATAAGAATGAATGTGACTAATATACCAGACAGATACAGCAGTTGGGTTTATTTTTTTGTCAATAAGCAGTTAGGTTTTAGGTACGGGTAAAGTCAACATGAAATATACAGATCCTTCTTACCCATTGGATCTTTTATGATGTCATAATAGTCAGGAACATCCCGTGCATCAACTGGTTCCTTGAAAGGCCAAGCATCAGCATGATCGTTCATTGACTGCTTCAAGATAAATCCAATTATAAGAGTTAATTTCTCAACCATGTAATTATTTTGTTCTGTTGCATACTTTGATTTGCTATGAATAAGGATCTAGTCATCATCATCAACGCTTTTGGAATTTGCAGCATTTGCAACGGAAATTAAACTTAAGTAAAATGAATGGAAATTAAAATCAAGATGAAGAATATCTAAGCAACTTGCCTTTAGAAGTGAACGCATAAACACAGTCAAATGTTTTTGATTTGTCGCACTATCAGTAGAACCACTTAAAGTTCTGAATCGTGAATGACCCCACTGATCAGGAGTCCATCCAGCCTCCCCTGTAATTGCATTCAGCCATTATACACAAACATTAGTGAGGAAATTACCAAAGTACGCAAAAATAAATCATCTCACTCCTAAGAAAAATATGGGTCAATTTTTTTCACAACATCCAAGTTGATTTCTATTAAGCAATGTTTGGATGAGAGGTGAGGAGGGGACACGGAGAGGAAAATTGACCTAACTCTTGTTTGGAAGACTTTTAAGGAGGGGAAGGGGAAGGAAGGGGATATGTTCTCCCCATCCTTACTTAGACATCCAAACAAGAAAAAGAAACTCTACCTCCCTCCTTTTTGCTCAAGAACTTTCAAATATTGTACTAATTTCCTATCATAGCTTCCACCAAAACTGATCTACCATACGCAAAACAACAAGACTACAATAATAATAATCCTGAAACTATGATTAATATATGACATATAAAAAGTTAAATAGAGAGATACTATCCGCATTAAGAAGCAAAATGTTAGTCGCCATGCGTAAGGGTCTTTGATGGGAAGTGGACATATATCACACACATTGACACAAAGCATGCTATCTTCAAAGACAGGTTAATGCATAATTTTCCCCACAGGAATGAGGAATCAAACAAAAAATATTGCCAAGTTAACAAAATCAGATTGGGAATTGAGAACTTACTCAAACCGGGTATGTCATCAATAATTTTTTTAGGAATACCAGCTTCTTTCTGCTTGTTGTATCAATCACGTGGGAAAAAAGTTAATAACTTAATATCTCACATGCTCTATGACTCACTAATATATGAAATGAGAAGCAACCCAAATTTAACAAAAATCATAGGAAAAACTTAAAATTTTATACATGAATGTTGGAATTGGGGACATGCAAAATTGAGAATTGCTTATACCTTCTGAAAATCAATTCCAGCATAAACAATGTGACAGTTTGACAGCTCTCTGATCTTTTCATCAATTGCCTACAAATTATAACCAATAATGATTAAGCACATCAAGAACACAGATAAAAAATATATACACAAGGGGCAGACAGAAGTTACACAAAAGATAGAAGAAACAAACGTAATGCATGCAACACTAGTAAGGTCCCATTTATCATAGTTCTCTGCTGCAAAGTTTTTGACAACCCCCTACACACCCTTTTGCAGTCAAAGTGCATATGTGGCTGAGAGGAAAGCCTATAGCAAATGGAAAAACTGAGGTATGATTTACTGAAAAGAAAATTTCAATTTAGTGAAATAGGCTAACACTTCTTTACTTTAACTGAAGAAATATAGAAGGTTAAATAAGAACATTCAGTAGTGTATCTTATCACGCACTAATCTAAAATTATGCTAAACAATGTAAAGTCAAACTAAAAAAATTGACAGAAAGAAATTATCTTACCTGCCTTTGACGACGAATCATAGTTGACAAATCAGTGTAAGGGAGCTTTGGATCTATCTTGCATTCCATGAGAATTCCTCCATCATAATCCTTTATATAACTGAAATGGCAGGGATTGATGAAATTATTATTCAATGAGTTATAAAAAATAGACTCAAAACAAAAATCCTTGAAATCCCTGCAACCGGTACGTTGCAGGTCCACACCCCAAACCAACAATCAACATAAAAATAAAAAATACAAAAGAAAAAAAATCAAAAGTGCAAAACTTTTCACTTCTCTTAATAGACACAGAATCCAAAAAGAAAAAAAATATTAAAATGAATGATCAAGTGGGAAGTGCTGCTCATAGATTTCAGACAAGAATATTAGCTATTGAGTATAACCATACCCTTGCCATCGATCTTTCTCCAGGTGAATCTCTTTAGTAAATCCCTGAAAACGGAATCAAACATCATTTATATTTCCAAAATAGTAACCTGTTGGAAATATAGAATCATAGTGTGGGATTTACAAGACCTTAAACTCTCCAACTAGAACGACTAGCTTTTATGACATGATTTTCCTAAGGTTCTTATCATAATATGTTAGCTTTTTCCTGCCTCATGAACTGGCCCAATCCACATGGCAAAGAGAATAATATTTAGGAAATTATTTGAAACAAGCATTATTGTTGTAATAAGTTAGAAAAATTGCACTTAGGAAAAGAGACCCAAAACATGTTTTGAAACCCAATAAATTATTTTCAGCTAGCAACATCTTTCCCTAAGAGACTTGCTATGGGACTCTAGCTTATCACATAAAAGCAACAGCTACCGAGAGATTATAAGGATCTTAAATATGAATAACTGAACCTGTTTGATAAAATAGCCAACAGCATTATTGTCAGCATATGTGAGGAAATGTGTCAGTCCATCTATATCCCGTGCATACTGTTTTAGATGATTCATCAATCTGGTACCATAACCTTTTACTTGCTCGTCAGCTGTAATTGCACAAAAGGCAATCTCACCAAACTTCTGGCTATAAAACAGTATAAATAAATAAAACAATAGATTAGCCTGGCAAGTATAGCTTTTATTTTATTTTTGTGGGGGTGGAAGGGCGGGGGGAGAGATAAAGATATCAAATATAAGTAGGCAAGACAAAAAATAATGAGGCAAAACAAGAAATAACCAGATATTTCTAGAACATGACGTAAAGGAAGATATGGAGACAAATTATTACCTTGCATATGGGCGATATGTAATGCCTCCAACAACATGATTACGCCTTATAACCATTACTGACTTATGGCTCCTACAGATTTAGCATTAAAAGGATTTATGATCATAGAGAAAAGAAGGGAAAACTCAATGATAACTCAGGGAATCCGATTAAAAGAGCTTATTTAGGGAAGGGGAAAATGTTAAATTAAAAAATGAAGAACTGTGTCAAGGGAAGGTACCAAATTCTTATGTTAACCAAATATAAAAAAAAAAAAAAAAACGAAATCTAGGATACAGTTTAAAACTCTTATTTGATGAATTAACTAGTTCACAAACTGACCAAGCTGGCAAACTATAAATTGTATAAGAAATATCTCAATATATCAAACATATTGTTAACATTATTACATTACCTATCCATAACAAGTCGGACAATGTACTCCTTGGGCATATTGGGAAGTTGCCTAGCAAATATATTTTTCAATCCAATCAACCTAAGGAACAAATAACAAAAGCAAGAATGGAACTCATTATTGTTAATAATAAGTTTGCTGAGTTTTTAACCAAAAAATGAAAATTGACATCAGAATCTAATTTAGCTAGTTCCTATGGGTAACGCATAACTTATATGCAGGAACAGATACAATTGGGGAAGGGGCGTTGGGCAGGCAACCTGGTATAATATATTTCAAATTTTCATGTTAAATAAATAGAATCTTGCACTAATTGTAATCAGTCCCCTATTATACTTTAAAAATAAAAAGTAGAGTAATTATTAGGATATAAGTATGTATCTAATGTTATTTGGTATGCTGACTCAATAAACAAGTAAATAAATTTTATAGAAAGAGGCACACACAAGTTGAGTATAATGTCAACTTTAACAAATATATGATCTGTTTATATTTTAAACTACTAATTTTTAGAGTAAAATCCATTTTGATTTTTTATGCTTAAAAAATACACTTGGCATCATATATGTCTTCTATTTATTTATTAGAATCAAAATGGTCCATCAATATCAAAGAAGTTCATCAAAGTGGTTCCAGTTCCACTAAATTGATCTTTCCCCGGACTAAAGTCTAAAATAATGATATGAATTGCCATTTAGAAATCAATTTGATATCACCTATAAAAAGAGCACAAATATAATGTCAATTACATTTTAAAATATTTTTAGACATCCCTGCCTACACGTGGTGCAATATATTATGTAATTTGCAGAAATGCTAATAAGGAGAGGAGATGAGTGATGCAAGCATGGCAGCATAAATGTTAAAGAAGTGCATAGTCATAGAGAAATACATACCAAACCATATGCTCATCAACACCATCGTTCGAAAGACATACAAATTTGAGCCTTCCTGCTTCCTCCTGAAAAAAAAAAAAAAAACGATGGCTATATCATCACAACCATTCATGGACACTTATCGTATCAAAATAAAATGTAACATTTTATTCATTTAAATTTAAACCAACGAAAAAGCCCAAATGTAAAACAAGCCATCACATTACAATATATTGAACCAAATCATTATTGACATAAACAAGCAAGTAAGCATTACTGTTTAGGACCTGTTTGAAAGAGCTTATAATAGCTTATGAAAAACAGCTTAAGACTGTCACAAGCTATTTTCAGCTTATTTCAATAAGTTTCTGTATAACCAATCATAATAAATTTGTTTTCAGCTTATTCCAATAAGTTTCATTGTTAAATCAAAACTTAAGTCATCCTTTTAAAAAGAGCTTATTAAATAAGTAGTTATCCAAATCCACCCTTAACTAGTCAACTAATTTCCAAGTCTTAAAACAATTCAAAAACACAAATAAAAAATGATTAATCATTTAATTTTCATGAAATTCATGAACGAGACGAAGCGCTTACCTCTTTCTTGAGACTCTCTTCCCTGGCGCTATAAGCCCCACTCGTTTGCAAATTATCAGTAAAAATCTTAGTGGCGTCCTCCTTAACCACGATGCCAGTGACGGAGCCGACGGTGGTGGAAACACCAGTGCCGGCGGTTCCGGCGTCTTTGGCGGCATCGGAGTTTTCGATTTTGACATTAGAGTTATCGGTCTTTAGCTTGGTGTTGCGAGGAGCGGAGGGAGGGTTGTTGAGCCTGGAGGCGTTGAAGGTGCGCATGGAGGAGTCGTTGTCATTATCGTAATCGTCCTCGTCCTCGTCGACGACGGCGTCCTCGGAGTCATCGTCGGAATCGGAGTCGGCGCCGCGGGCGGAGATGCTCTCGAGATCGTCATTGGAGGTGAGGGCGCCATCGCGAGTGTCGGCGGAGAAGGAAGAGGGAGGGAAGAGAGGCGCGTGATCCTCGGGCGCGAGCTTGCGCTTGTGGATGGAAGAGGTGGCGGAAGCGGAGGCAGAGTGAGAGGGAGAAGGGGACTGTGAACTGCGAGAACGAAGGGGTCCTCCACCGTGCGTTTCCATTTTAGGGTTTTGTTCGTTCTTCTCTCTTTCCGTTCACTCGGAATCCAATCGATTTGTTTCGATTGAAGTGATCGAGTTTGGTTTGTTTGCACTTTGCAGTGTTAGCGTTGTCCTTGTTTCTCTTCAACAACTTCGGCTTTGAACTTTTGTTGTGGTTTTAAGTATGTTTTCAATTTTCACTAGGTTCTTTATCCAACCCCACAATGGATTCGAGGGAATGATAGGTTATTTTAAATTAAAAATGCATCATCAAAACGAAACCGTTAATTTTTGTGCTTCAAGACTAACTAAATCATTTCTGGTGAAACCTAGTACCTAATTGTAAAAAATATAAATATTTTTAATTTTAAGATATTATAGTAATAATAATCGTTAATTTAAAAAATATAAAATATATTTTTAAATTTATAAGTTCATAACAAATACTTAATTTCTATTTAATAGTATATAATTGTGTTTAAATTATATTTATATGTTATCTATATTTTGATGTATTATGTAAGATAATAAAATTTATTAAAAAAAATTAAATATTTCTTATCATGTATGTAAAAAATATATTTTTTTTGTTATAAGTACTGAATAATATATGCCGCATTCAATAATTTCATGCAAGGTAATAGATTATTGAATTATAATGATATATATTATCTTAAATGTTGGGCTAAATTTTATAAAAATTGAATAACAAAAAATATATAATAAAATAATTCTTTCTTTTGTTTATTAGAAAAATATATTATATTAATTTTAATATATAATGATAAGATATTAAGTTATTAGTGATTGATTTAAATTTTTGTAATTAAGAACTTTCAACTTTGATAGTAAATTTTAAGGTAAAATTTATAAAATAAAAATATTTAATATAAGATTGGGATTTATTTAGCTTAATATAAATCGATTCCTCGAACCTCTTCATTTTTTACTGTATTCTAAATATTGAATAAATTGCTTTCATTTCGTTATATATTTTATTCATTGTGAGGTTTTTAAAAAGTGTTATTAAATTAAGAAAATTGTTGGAGTAGAATATAGTTATATTTTAATTGTTTATAAGTTCATATAAAAGAAAGAAACATAATCTAACACTTCTATTGCTCAAAATTATCTCATTAAACACCTTTTCTTAATAATCAAATAGTAATTTTTTGTTGAATAAGTTATATTTAAATATTTCACTTCAAAATAAACATGTTAAGTAATATTTTCTATTTATATTTAAAGCAGAGAAAATTGTAAAGTTAAAATTTGAGAATCTAGAGGTATATCAATCTCTATATTTAATTGGTAAGTACTAATTTAAAATTAAGAGTTATTTTTAAACAATAGTGTTTTTAAAAATGCTCTCAAATAAGAATTTTTTAGAAGTATTTTTTGTTAACTCAATATTAATTTAAATATTAAAATTTTCATATTTTTTATTATATTTAATATAAAAAAATATTTATTATTAATAGTTATAATATTTAATCTTTTAAAACTTTTTAAAATAATCATATAATATATTTTTTTATTTTTTTGAAAAAAAAATCTAATTTAATAAGATCTGCAGAGTGCATGAAAAAATTGTTAGTTTATAAAATAACTTAATTCAAATCATAAGGAGATTAAGTCTCACTTTCTTTATTCATTTGCTTTCTCTTGACAAGAACTCAAGCCAATATTCAAATGCGCGTATATTTAGATGTTACAGATTTGCACTGAAATATTTAAAGAACCAGCCTTCAATTTTCAATTTGAGTATTCCGCTGTTAATCGCTACCTTAACATGTTTTTGTTTTTTGTCAACTGTACCTTAACTTGTTTTTCTTTTTGGTCAACTAATTAGCATTATCATTATAGTCTAATGTTGTGTCCACCTATTTGATACTAATTTAATCAAGTCTGTGTTGTTTTAGAAATAATCTCTTAATGAAATAAATAAACGACTAGTTCCCTAAAACAATCAATTATTGGCACATCACAAATGTATAAAATGAAAATCAAAGGTGTCAAAAATTCATCTGTTTTTTATCCCACGATTGGAACAATTCAAAGAAAACATGCACTTGCAATTCTAACTCACAAAGTGAAAACAAAAGAATAAAGAATCAACTTGTATTTCCTTTCTCGTTTTACATTTACCTGGTTACATGTCAATACACGTGGTGGCTCAGTACATGTATCTAAATCCAATTTACTCTATAAAATCCAACATAAATAACTGCCAAGTATTAAACACTTGTAAAATCAACATGTTGTGGCAGCAAAGAACATTTTTGAACTCACCAAAGTTACACAAGTTGCCGGAGAGGTTAATCACCCTCTGATCACCTTTCACTTTGCAAAACAAGGGGTGGGCAAGCTCCATGCACAAAAAAGAAAAAGCTCGCCAAAAGGAATGGATAATGGATTGTTGAGTTCGACTGAATCATCATAGACTTCACTCTGTTCTTGGCCGATTTGGACCATTTTTATTGCTTCTGTATATAGGTAATAGCCACCGTGATCCATGTTTTCTTTTACCATAACACCGCCAATAAAGAATGAAAATACACACCATTGCACCAAGGGGAATAGCCCATCTGTTTTAATCAGCAAAATAAATAATCAATATTAACATATATTCCATAAAAGGCTGACTAATGGGCACTGTTTAGAGAAAATAAGGTAACATGTTATTGAGAAAGTTTAATTGAGAAAAGAGCAAACACAAAACTGTGAATCTAAGTAAAAAACAAAAATGCACTACAGGTTTTGAATTTTGAAACAAAGAAAAGAAAATAAAGTATATATGCAGGCTGTTGAGCACCCACCCTCTTCTGCTTTGGCAATTAAAGCTTTCAATAAGTTTATGTGTATTAGATGAAGCTAAGCCAGAAATCCAATGCCAACGACAAAACTGTCATAAAACCATAACTACACTTATCTAGTGTACAGTAAATTAGATGTTAAGAGCAACTCAAGAAAAGTTTTTTACTTATATGAGATACTTGAATTTGGTTGGATGTACAAAAGGAATATGGTTGAATTACCTGTCAAGATCCAGGATTGGGCTGTAAACAAGAGTTTCCCAAGTTGCAACAATAAAATGCCAAACTGGGTTGTAGTAAAGTGACTCTGCTGACCAAAACATCCTTGTGTAGGTCTCCAGAAATATAAAAAGTAACCATGCTCCCATTTCAATCAAAATAAACTTTATAATAAAACGGCCAATCACTACCATGATCAGGGAGAAGGCCACCAACCAATTGAAAAGCCTCTGGTTGTACTCCTTTATAAATAGAGACCTAGACTTATCCAACATCTGCACAATTCATTTGTAACATCAAGGTGTGTTAAGCATATATGAAACACAAGCAAATCAGGAAAAATTATTAACTACAATAATTTATTTGCTTCATGGAAAATTGGAACAATTTTTTTTCACGACAAATGAGTACGTGAGTCTACTATGTACCAATTAAAAGGTCAACTCAGTAGATATATATTCACACTTTCATTAAGAATGGAGCTAGACACAGAGAGATAAAATAGGAAACCATTTATAAACACCCCCATGAATTCCCACGTTCAAGTGAAGTAGACGTATGACAATGGAATAACAGTGTATGCCCCATAAGTAGCAATGTTAAAAATGATAAGAGCACTGCAATTATGCCAAACCTTCATGATGCGTTGCTCGTAGTTTACTTTTGCAGGTCCAACACACTCATGCTCAAAACTATGATTGCATTTCAGGAGACCTGCATTGAATTTTGCCATCGAAGGAAGCCTGAGAACTTGAAGCTGATCCATCATGTCCTCACATCTGGTGTACAGTGCCTCACATAGCTTTGAAGATTTATATTCATTTTGTAAAACGACATTTTTATATACCTGCACATGTTTCCAAGTGAAAAATTTGATGATTATTAAGTAAAAAAGTTATTTATAATTTCACTTAAAATTGAAATAATTTCAACGTGATTAACAAAAGCTAGTTACAAACACATTGATGCTTTGAAGGTTTGTAGTAGATGGTAAACAAATCCTTTGTAGCATATGCGTCTCACTCTTGCTGACAAACAGTGTCCCGTACAGCAGGACACTAACAACCCCAGGCCACTACTTAAGAAAAAAAAAAAAATAAGTTTTTCTTAGGAATCACGGGTGTGAATGTCTTTTTACATTTTTCAATAAAAAAAAAACTCACTTTTGATTCTTTCACTAGTGTCCTTAGGGTACTTTTTAGCATTCATTTGTGTTTGCAAAGAACCAGAATAGTTTAAAACCAAAACAATAGACATATTTGAAAAGAGAAAATCATTCTACCAGACTTTGCAAGTTTCCACTGTACTATAAATATTCAAGCAATACCTTCTGTATTTCTTCATCCAGTTGCACGACTGATTTCTTAGCATGGTGACGGCCAAAATGTTGCTGATCAAAGGCTTGCATGGCTTCATTCCTAGACCTATCATGGGAGTCTTGCAGAGATGCCTCTGAAAGAGGTAGACTGAATGTTGCCATCCTTCCACTATACAACTGAAGGCATTTTTCTAGAATATCCTTGTTGAAAATCTCCACAAGAGAACCTGTTGATGGAATCTCTCCTTTGTTCAAGGCTTCAAGTATCTAAATTTGAAAAATAAAAATCAATACAGTTTAATGTAGACATACAGAATCAATTCACACAACTCTAAAACCACTATCTTATTTTTGTTGTGCAATTATATTGTCCTTTAGAGATGACAAGGGACAAAGATATGGAGAAAATGTATTATATAAGAAAAAGAAAACAGCAGAAATGTATACATACTACATAGCATATGATATTTTTTCCAACAAAATTTTATGAATTACTAAAGTAAATGTATGTAAAGCAACAACTAAAAGTTGAAAATTTAAGATATATATCTATAGTAATTTTTGCTATGACCTAACCTAACCCAAAATTAATACCAATACAACAATTATCTTAATAGTAAAAGAACATATAATTTCTTATTGATAACCCTTCAACTATAAGTGTTGTTTAAAAATTTAATAGCTTTGAAAAATAGTAAAATATGAGCACAGCCCACCTTATTAATAAAATTACTAAACATTAAGGTTAAAGTATTACTGAAAAATGGGTGATATCATTTCTTCAATTCTAACTTCCATCTATAAAATGAAAATTCTGGCATATCTGTTTTCTATTCAAAATTACATTTTGCCTCCAAAAAATCTTAAACCCAAGAATAGATCTTCTCCATAAACACTTCCAATATGTTTGCACATTCTTTAATCTCTCAAGAAACTTCATTTAGATATATACATGACACAATAGCTAGTATAGCAAGTAGTACGAGGGCATCATGACATTTAATATATTGGCACAATCACAAGTTACTATGCCATATACAAAAAGTGAAGCAACAGAGATTCAGCTAAATTTTTATGCTCCTTGATTAAATTGCTAATCCTGATTCTATTCTGCAATGATTTTGAGATAACGGATATAGAGAACCCTACTTAGGGGTCAGGTACTTCATCAACCACTATTTAAAGAAACAACACATATCACTGATATGAAAAACAAGTTAGCAGATTTATTTATATTAGATGAGTATGATTATTTTGATTCCTTTCTTTAATTTTAAATAACCTGCAAAACCAAGTACCTGCTCTAAGAAGGAAACAAATTCCTTCCCATTTAGAGTTTTTCCCTGTACAATTTTTGGACGGATTATGCTAGCAACAAGCTCTTTAAGTTTCTCCCTTTTCTTAACATATAGTGGATCCAGTTCCACATCCTTCATGTCACAAAGCTTCGTCCGCTGGAGATGTGGCTGTTTAAAGTTCAATTTCAACAATCAGCAGGGCAACCAACGCAATGGTTTTAATAAGAATCATACGTTACATTTGTTTTTAAAGGGGGGAGTGAGGGGGCAGGGATGGACTAGATCCTACAGCTAGAGTGATTCTGATGGGATCCTGTGAAGGGGAATGGGAAAAGGATGCTCCATTAAGCCTTACCAGGAGCTCACAAGCAAATGTCTCAACAAATGGAGCTAGGTTGACGGGGCATTTTATCAAACATTACATTTTTACGAGGCAAGAATCTTGGATCTTGAAATATAAATATACGAAAAGCATATATTGCCATGAGTGACAGGCAGATGGATTATGGATGCAAATAGACATATAAATAGCTATTACTTCATTTGAAATAACACAAGAATTCATGCATCAGAAAATTTATTTCCAAAAGTAAGATCATATTCTTAGCAATAAAAAAAGTTGAATGTATTTCCCATTGAACTTAATCAAGTATGTGCCTTTATCAGTCATTGGTATTTCTCAATAACATTACTAACACTAATGTATGGAAATGCAAAGAGTTGAAATTGGTGGTAGATTAGTCATCATTATTAATACAAGCAAGCCAGGTGCAGGCACTAATAGGATGACATTTCTAAGTTCTACCATTGGCAAAGTTTGACAATGGAACTAAAAGGTAGATATTTTGTCATTCAACAGAAGACAAAAATCTTTCCATGTGGTGGAGATGGTCCATCCAGTATGGCAATATAATGAAGTTCAATTGGCATAAAAAAATGAAGAAAACCATTGAAGGACACAAAGAAATGTCAAATAAATTAAAGAACCATTGCTCTCTTTCTTTTGCTATATATGTGATTCTAACAATAGGCTTTGCCATCAAGGAGTTAAAATCCATGCACTCCTCTGTAGAAATCAGTAGATAAATTCCATTTTCATATCATTTCAAATGCAAATCAACTGGACTTACACACCCAAAGCTCCTCATGATTAAATTCGGGGATAAAGGATTTCCATGTATGGGTCAAAAATTTAAATGGTAAGGAAAGAAAGATTGTTTTGAAATATGAGGAAGGCACATACTTGTGGTAAGCTAAAAGCAGTACTGTTGTCACCCATTATAGCCAGAGACTCCCGGATCTGATTGACCTGATGATGTAAACTTTTAGCATAAACATTTAATTCCAGATTACTAGAATTTTTACTGATAATAAGAAATTGAATTCCAGAATAGAAAATACCATATCAATATTTTTGTCCCCTGCAAGTTAATAATAAACAAATAGCCTATCATTAGAAAATTTGCTTTAGAAAATCTGGAAAACCAGAATGCATATAAAGATAATTTCAGTCATAGCTGCAAGCAATGGTACTAACTGTGAACATTGGGAACTCGCTGAAGAGCTTCATTCACCATTTCTTGCACTGATTTACCTTCTGTAGGCAATTAAGGAAAATATTAGTATCCAATGGAGTGCACATGATAGACAGGGAGCACAGATGCAGTGCCTAGCATTCATAAGCTACTAAAGTAGTTTTATTGGACTTGTAATAGGAGACTCAAGAAAAACACAGGATAGAAAAGGCTGCAGATTGCTTGTTGATAGCACACGATCAAGGTATTTAACTTACGCAGAAAATCACGTTGGATAAGCCACAAGAGCTTAGCAGGTTCAAATGCAACATCTTGCCCCTATAAAAGCCAATAATTCAAATAAAAAATCAAATGAACAATGAAAAGGTTCGTTGGAAAAAAATATTAAAGAAATGAAGACAAAAATAAGGCCTTTGGATTACCTTCACTCTGTTCCAACACACAGACGTTGCAATATATTGATTTTGCAAATCAAATAAACAAGTTAGTAGCCAAAATGTACCCAGAAAATGGTTGTAAAGCAGTATTTAAAAGGATAGGCAGAGAGAAATTGATAACTTAAATGATATCAACAAACAAAAGGTTCATCAAGATGCAAACCTCCCATAAAATTCCTCAGCAAGCTCAACCGCAAAAGAGAGTCGAGAGATGTCAGCTTCACGTATCTAAACACACGAGTAAAAATTTTAGCAAGGCCTCCAAAAATTTAACATGAGCCATTTTCTGATTGCAGGATTCAAGATTATTCAGCCTCTACGTTGTAATTAAAACTTAATACCAGAAAACATGCACAAACAGACAAGTTTCTTAAAAAAGGAAAGTATTTTGTGCATTGTGGTTCAAAGTTAAGAGGTAACCAAACTTTGTTTCAAAACTAGTGTCATAAGTGCAAATACAACACAATGTAGGGTTTTCTCTCTCCATAGCTGGTCTCAAATTCACTGAAGGCATCAGCTTTAACAATAACAAATATCATAAAGCAAGGGATTATTTTGATATTAGAATTAGTTACTAAATAATTATTATTAGCACATTATATTGTGTCCAGTCTTCTATTTTTCTTTTGATAAATTCTTTGTTGATTGAGCATGCTTTAGCTATGTGGATCCCCAAATCCATTCTCCAACACACTGTATTGTGTCTCTCCTTTGAAACCATATATAATACTAAATGTACTGAATAGAACATGGTTATCCATCTTTAATGCCAGAAGTTGGTCTTTGAGAAATGACCCAACCAAAATTAACGCCTAGACCAATATGTATGCCCAGTGTCACAAGATTCAAGAATTGGACCCTCTACACTGTACAGTGAGTTTTTATGATTTGAGGGCAGATCCTGATGCACACTAGTATTCTGTGCACTAAAACAACTGGGTTCATGACTAGGCATGTCATTAATAGTTTGTTTTTAGTTCTCACAAACATAGTTGAAGGCCCTAGCCACTGCAAGGATAATGGCATACTACTCTATATGTGGTTGGTATTGCGCCTGTGTTCTGCTAAGTGCTATACCAATGACGTGAATTATCTAATTTTTCAGTTTGTCTGCTAAATAAGTAATATAGAATTTATTTCCATTTCCTTAATCTTAACTTTTAGTTTCACTATAATAAAGTATTGATCTTAATATTTTTATGTTTATCTTTTTGCATTACAAGCTTTTCCTTTTCATTCAGTATTGTAAAAGTTTATACTATTTACTGATTTATATTATTAAAAACATATTTAACTAGGTTCATTATAAAATATCAGCACAAAAATGAATTAAATAAACACACTAACATGCGCTTCCACTCAACTTTTCAAATTAGACACTACAGCAAATTTGCACTTCCTCAAGCTCTGCACCTTTGCCACTTAGGGTATACCAATAAACACTAGGATCCATCCAACATTGTACTCAACGCTGAAACATGACCTTATGCTTCTCTAAATAGTTCATTCTCAAAACAAAGGCCTTTTTTCATCTGTCCATCTAACTAACGGTACAACTACAACAACATTAACAAGTGCACATATTTCCAAGGGGGTTAAGATAATTAACTGTCTCAGGTAGATTGTAGATAAGTACAGAACTCATGACAGTTGCCAGAGCAAATATCCTGCAAAAAGCACACACAATTCAAAAATAGTATATGACTATCAAAACAAATCACAGTATACATGATCAGTTAGCAATTACCGATCATCGTATACATTTGACTTCCCAATGCTTTCAAATCCTTCAGTATCAAGGTAAAATACAGACGTTTTTACCCCATCAATAACCAAGTCAATAGGGGTTCCCCAAATCCATATTCCTGGATGATATGAACCAAAAAAGAACAAAGATAAATTCAAAAGGATGATATCTGACTCCAGTTAAAAGTATAACCAAGAGGAAAATGTTTGTCTCCACCCACCTTTTGTCTTGGTGTCACGCATGTGCCCAACACCAAACCCTAACAAAACAAACATCAGTTTAGATTAAATCCTTAAAAGCTATCAAATTACAATGGAAATTTTCCTAAAAATGTAGGTGATGACAATAAACTTCTGGCAGCTGTAAAAGATGCACCTTCATAACAAGAAAGAGAGAGAAGTTGATTAAGCAAAAAAGATTTCCCAGAGCGGTATGGTCCAATCACCTGATAAAAATATCCATGACAATCACTGATAAAGGCAGAGATAAAGTGATAAAAGTAGAACCCACGAATAGGCAAACAGGGAACAAACAGCATTAATCCAATACTCCACAAGCTTTATGAAACATTGATTAAAGTTATCAAATTAACATGCAACAGCCAACACTAGATATGCAAGAAGATCAACCAGTAACAGTAAAAAATATCCATTTCAAACATAAAATAAATGGTATAACATCTACATTTACAAAATAAAACTTCATTCCTGAACAAAATAGAAAGGCACTTATTTCCAACATTTCAACCATCCAGAAATTCTTGAAAAGAAAAAATGCAATAGGACACTACCTGATAAAGCAAATATCTAGATGCAAGTCGCAAAACAGTGGAAAAGATGAGGATTTTTAACTTAGGTAGTTTTCATTTTACTGACCTTCCATAAATTCTAATTCCTTACCCCTATAAAGTGCTTTTGTCTCACCTTTAGGGGAAGAAAATAAAGATATCTTTGAATTTTTTAAATTTGAGACTTCCATGTTTTAAAAGTCAAGAACACTTTACATTATAATATTTACAAAAGACCAATTTATATAAACTTAGTCAGATCTTGTGACTCATGCAATGCAACAGGGTAAATGCCACTTATTTTAAACCCATGTTTCAATTGAAGTCAATTGTTGCCAACTCTAAAGTGTTTAAGAACAAATAACAAGATGTAGTCAGCAACAAATTCAGGGAAAGATGACTTGTCCATTGAGAATATGTAAATCAACAAAATATTAGCTAATCACTGCATCATGAAACAAGTTCATGAAACGACATGAAGTGTCAAGAAAATCCCCATTAAATATCAGGTAATATCCAAAAATACAAACAAAGCAAAGTTGTAGTCAAACTTACTGCCACAGATGCAATGGGGTTTGTAATTCTTTCAATAGCCTCCAAGCCTTCTCTTGACAGGCGAAGTTTGGTGTGACCAGGATCAGGTTCCACAATGGGAAAGCTGCACGCACAAACATTGGACAAGAATAAGGGTAGCCTGAAACAACTTGAACCACAAGGTAAAATGTACCTCATAACAAACAGAAGAAACTTAGTCATGCAGTACCAAAGAGGTCACCAAAACAAGAACATTCAGCGTAGCAGAAACATCACACAAAATTGGTCACTATTATCACAAATCAATAACAATAACAACTAAAAGAGCTTCATTCCCATCCCCATACATAAGTTCAATCATACAAACAAAGAACACACTAAATGCTTTCTTCTTGGCACCACCTAATTTAAAGACAATTCCATACTAAATCTACATTCCATTGCTTAAGATAAAGTATTCACTTGAATGTGCTGTTTTTGTGGCTGTGAGTCTGGAGTGTGTTCCTTTTTAATTCATATTGAGATGAGAAGGGTGAATTATTCAGATTATTGTTCCACCAAGATTGATTCTCAAGTCTCAACTGAGCCAACAAAAATTATAGCAAGCAACACCCTTCTTGTATACAAAAATCACACAAAAACTTCAGTATATACTACCAAAATGGCACCTACCTAGTAACACCAAAACATTAATTCGCATGAAAATATAAAAAATCTAAAGAGTTGAACGTCTCAATAACTCAAACTATGCAATCAATAATTCCACCAGGAGTAGCAACCAAAAAACAACGTAGAAACAATGTGAGAAAATATATAGGCATTATCGCATATTGACTATTGATAATGGCAGCGAAGTAAATATACAGGCATTATCATGTATCCTTTCAATTATCCCTAATTCATTTCTATACACTTCATAACACCCTTAATTATAGACATAATAAATTAACGTCCCCTTCCTTATTATCCAACTTCTTCCCGGGCAACTATAATCCACAATCATCCGTATTCTGAATATAAATCTCACACATAATTTGATTCAAAACTTTTCATCAACATACAAACACACAAGACAGAAAATCGGGACAGTGAATCCCACGTAAGGCAGTGATGAAAGCACGAAAATTAAACGCATTGGCAGGATCCCAAATGCCAAAAGTTCCAACTTTTACAAGCACTAAACCTAAAAATCAAAGCTTGGGACCTTTTGAAAGTTGACAGTTACCAGATCTCGGAACAAAATCAAAGACAACCTTGAACACGCGAAAACAGAGGAATAAAAGAAAGACTTACGGTTGGTGAAAATTGAGAATGGAGGAGGAAGCAGTTGCAAAGAGGAAGCAAAAGAGGAAGAGAAGAAAGGAGAAAGGAGCGTCCATGAGAATGATGAGATGCGAAATGAGGTTGAAGAGAGCAATGAGAAATGGCAATGATCATGTCACGGTGAATGGTGAATGGTGAATGGTAAGAGCGTTGAAAATTGGAAAAATGGGATCTGAAGGAAGTCGTCAAATTGGGTCGTTTTCCGATTGAAGTGTGTGTAGTGATCCAAGCTTGTCTGTTTGGCTAATGTTAGAAAAAACAGCAGACTCACTCCTCTGCTCACGTTTTTCTAATTTTTTGCTAATTAAACGGCGCCATCAATTTTATTTATTCAATCCCTTATCAGAGTAATCACATTTTCTGTCCTTTTTTTTATCTGATTAAATTTGTCTTAAATACATTTTTAGTTTCCAGATATACTTTTTTTTTCTATTTGGTTTAATAGAATTTAGGGGGAGGGTGTATAAGCTGCTAGATTTAAAATAAAATGAAATTTATTTGTTAACATAAGTTTAAAAAAACTAAAACAGAAATAAAAGAATTCTTAATTTTTTTACAAAAAAAATTATTTAGGAGTTTTTTAAAAATATATATATGGTAAAATAAATAAATAAATATTTTTTAAAATACAATAAACTAAACACGTATTCAGTCTTGTTATTTTAAAATTTTAGCATTTTTATTTCATTCATGCATTTTTATTTTATCTAGATTTTCATTACATTGTGTAATCATTAGTCTTGACTCTTTTTTTTCTAAAACATTCTTCTTTTAGTCTTAAATATAATTAATTTGAAATTAAGGTATTTAGTATATATACATAAATAAATCTTAACTAATTTTACATTATTTAATAAAATTATTTTTAAAATATTTAAATTCAATTCATCTTTTATTTTTAATATTTTTTTAGACGAGTTATTAAGTTTATGTGGTTTTTAAAAGAATAAAAAACATTAAAATTAGTTATCAAAATTTAATTCTCTTCCATTAAAATGCCAAGTAACTTCTTAATTTTTAGTTTGACTTTAATATTTAGCATATAAACTTAAATAATCAATTAATAGTGTTTAATGCTAATGAAATTGTTAAATAAATTTTAAATGATCTTAAATGGTGTATTAAAAAATCTAGTTCAATTTTTTTAATTGAGAACATTAGATGATATTAATTAATTCTCTTAACGGACATAGTTTCGTTATGTTTTACTTGTGTTTGACATCGGATAACATATAGTTCTTAATGTTATCTATATTTTTGTAGTTTTTTTATTAAAATAAAATTTAACACAAATAATTAAGGTTGTGTATAATTATAATTCAGTAGTTAAATTGATAAAAAATATATTTTTTACATAAAATTATTAGCCATAAAAAGTCATGTATGCTAATTTTTTATTAAAAATTATAAAATTTAATACAATTATGTTATTAAATGGTATAATTTTTAATAAATTATGTAATTAAAAAATACATTTTAATTTAAATTGATCGACTATGTCACATCTTTTCTATTTTTTTCTATCATGTTTTCTCACTTTATAAAAACAATTATTATATTTATCGTAAATACAAAAATAAAGAAGCATAATAATATATACATATATAGTAAGTATTTAAAAAATTCATTTGTCACATTAATAAGAGAATTATTTTTTATAACTTAAAAGATATATATATATATATATATATATATGAGAAATCAATTTACACATTTTACACGCTTTTATACTATCAATAACGTAATATAAAATGTAATTTTTATAGTTATATTTTTTAAATTATAATTATATATTATTTAAATTATTTATGTCAAATTTTATCAATATTAAACAATTAAAATCATGCAATTTAAAAATTTTTAATTTCATATATTTCAAGTGTGCATCTATATTAAATTTAATGCATATAAATAAAGTATTAAAAAAATTTAAATCAATATCAAAATTTGCAAATGTAATTTATGTGATTAAAAATTTTAATTTAACTGTTGATTTTAAAGATAAATTATCTAATAAAAATTTATCAAACAGTACTAAAGTAAATATAACTTATAACAATGCAATTTTTATAAAATTGAAAAAATATATTATATTTTTAAACACAAATAAAATATTAAATAATTTTAATTCAATAGTAAATTTTGCATATTTTGATCAACGTGATTGGAACTTTTAATCTATGGTATAGTTTTAAAATTAAATTATTAAAAAATTATTAAATAGAATAAAAATAAATATAACCTATAACCGTGTTTTTATTAGGATATTTGTCGTGAAATGTGGTGAAAATAAATATAGGATAGGTAATATGTTGAGTCCAGCAAGCTTGTTGTTAAGTTCGTTTTTGTTATGTAATTAACTATTACTTTGGTTTATAGTAAATTTAACGAGTTATTTTGAGTAATTACGTTGCCAAAGATGTATTTCGAGTTGTACTCCTCAAAAATTACAATGACAATGAGGAGTTCAAAAATGAGAAATGAATATTTATCTATCCTTAATTTTATGACAAATATTTGATTATACTTTTTTAACCATTATAAAGCCCATTTGCTGGGTTGTCTTTTTATGCATGCTGGAAAAATTATCTAATGACCTAGTTTTAGTTAAGAAAAATTATCTAATGCCCCAGTTTTAATTAAGAAAAATTATTGAATTGTACACACATAACGTAGATCATTTATAATATAATTTATAATATAATTCACAATATCTATAATAAGTAAAAAAGTTTACTACTATTTCACAATTGATATTCTAAATTTATATAATTAGATTTAACTCAATTTATTCTTACAAATTTTAGTTAAAAAAATTATTAATAAGAGATTTTTTGACACTTTCATTTTAAATTTTTAACACATTGAGTATATTTTTAATACATTTTAAAATTTTCAGACCAAAAAATTACATTCCTTTGTTGAATAAAATGATTTGGTTTTGGCACCAGAAAGAATCAGCAAATCCAACCCAGTATGCTTTAGTCAAATTTTACTTTCTTAGTTCTTACCCGTGAAGGCCCTGGTCTTACTACTTTTAGAACTATAATATTTCCGAAATTTGCGTCATGTTACGACAATAGATATTAAAATAATAAATTAAATTTTAATGTATATTTAAGAACATATATATTAATAACTTAAAAATTAAAGATATTTTATCTTAAAACTATTTTTTTGCTATTTTATAATAATTTAAAATACTAATTAAACGTATTTAATAACTACCCACGTTAAAAGTTAATAAATTAATTAATGCAATAATGTATTTTCTTTAGTCTTAAATATAAGTAAATATAAATAAAATGTGATAGTCTAAAATATAAATAAATCTTAATTAATTTCATATTATTTTATAAAAAAGATTTAAAACATTTTTTATTATTTTTCAATTTAATACTTTTTATTTTTAAGTTATAACATCAATAATTACAAACTATTCTTAAAATAAAAAAATTACTTTTGAAAAAATTTATAATTTAAGTTTTATAAAAAATAATTTTGATGTGTCACTGATATATAGTATAAAAATGTAAACTATCAATTAATATCATTTAATGTTAATAAAAAGTTAAATTATTTTAAAATAATTTATATTTCTGTGAAATAAATATTATTAAAGATATATTAAAATAAAATTAATTTTTTAATGAACATAGTTTAATTATTTTTATATTTAAAAAGGGAAGGAGTACTGTTACTGAGAAACGGGGTACAATTTCCGAGACAACATCTGGATCCTGTCAGAGTTAAGATAGATACGTGAAAACGACAAAATAGGTTGGCATCAGCAGAGAGTTGTTTGTTTATAACTGAAGAAACGAGCCGGGAAAGAAAAGAAAAAGAAAAAGGTGCATCGCAGGACTCGAAGATGCGAATGCTAATTTCCAGAGACCAACTGCATTTAATTATTCTATTTAAAACCTTACAGTGAGTGATCATATATATGATAATATAAACTATTCTCTAAATTTGATGAAAATAATAAAATACTGCAATTATCTCATGTTGATATTCATCAAATATTTTCCGACAAAAAATTCTGTGCAACACTACAGAATGATTCCCAGGAAGAAAACGAATACCATTTTCTGTGCGCGTGGTTGACGCCATCACTGTTTACCATCCACATGAATGGAATTGATTTGGTCACAATGTTTGTCTACGTGAAAAAGAGTAAAGTCTATTTTGCGGAGGTTGACGATGATGAAGATGAACAGTGAGAACGTAGATTGAATATCAATGAACAGGATAAAAGCCCAACCTGTGTCACAAGACATTTTTTCTTCAGAAAAAGGAAGAAAAAGCATCACGAATATCTCTTAACACCTTGTCCATTAAGTGATGCATATTTTAGTTGATGAACAGTCGAATGATCTAAGTTTGCATTACAAAATACTCTCTTCATATCTTCAGTATGTTTGAAGGCATCTATACCAGCAGATTTGTTTGCCAATGTCCATTTTCTTCTTCTTGAAGGAAAGAATAAGAATCAATCTCCAAACAAGAGAGTAATTTCCAAATTATCTATCTTCCTCGAATCCCCTCCCCCCTTCACTACACAAAATCAAATTCAAACAACATGTCGAAACACAGAATGAATAGGAGAATATTAAAGTCAAGCATACAACAAAAGCAGTTCCATAAAATCCAATACGTAAAGAATCAACTTCTCACAATCTTGCACATAACTAATTATATATTTCACCTTTATTCTGTTCATATGAGTAAAACCCATCCCTTACAAAAAAAAACAGAAGGGCATAGAGCTATTTCACTACTACTTACACAAGCTTTTACATCTAAATCCTCCCACCAGAGAATCAAAATTCTATATATTAAAAAAAAAAAGGAAACCCAAAAGAAAATCAAAATTTTATGGGTTTTCATGGAAGGCAGCTGCCAAACCAGACTGTGAGCTCTTGGGTTTCATCTCCTGTGGCTTCCATTGAACCAAAAGCTTTGACTTAACATTAACATCATCTTCACATGAAGTTTCAGACCCAGTTAACCCCGACTGTTCAGACTTGTTACTACCATTTCCCATCAAAAGTTTCTGCTTTTCTTGGTTTTCCTCCTTGACTCCGCGGGTGTAAGGGGAGAACCATTTTGCTCTGACGTATTCAACTTTCCTCCACGGCGGAACGTGCATGCCCCTTTTCTTCAAACTCAGTTTCGCTGCCTCTGATGCGATGGCTACGATGCTGTGCAACCGATCGCACGAGCCCACGAATACATGGGGAAGCGTTTGAAGAATGGCCTTGTACGTCTTGGTCGGTCGAGCAATCTCAAATTCCGATCTCAAGTCAACGTCAACCACCACCCGCTCATTTCCCATTATCACGTCAATGTATTCATATTCACCTGCAGAAAATTCAAAATTAACTAATTAATTAGTTATCAACAAAGAGCTTAATCGACGAAAAAATTACGCTCGTTGTGGACAATTCTTAAAGCGAATTTTACAAATATAGAGAGAGAGAGAGAGAGAGTTCACCCGCTGGACAAAAAGGTGATTTATCCCACCGAGATTTGCAGATTGAAGCATCAAATCCTAAAGCTAACAAACCCTCAGAAACAATCTTTCTGCAACAATCATCTTTGCGCTTGCATGTTGTTTTGTTCTTTTCAATTATCTTAGTGATGTCCGCTAACAAATTCCTTTCATACACACTCGAACATGCCACCAAACCCTGTTAAATACAACAAGAAAGCGTATTCTTCTTTACTCAGTGGCAAAGAGAGTGAAAAAAAAAACAGAACAATCTCTCTCTCTCTCGCATCGATCGTTCAAAAATTCAAAGCACGCTATACATACCTTGAGGATTTCGTACGCTTCACCGGACGACGAATAGTATGAGTCGCTGAAACCACCAAGCGAATGTGTTTCGGCGTCTGAGCTGTCATCACAGAAGATGTAGCGGTTACGTGCACATTTGACGGAAACGGAGTGCTTCTCGTGATTCTCTTCCATAAAATTCTGCACCATTTTCGCTAGACATGCCGAGCTCGGTTCCCAATCAGCTGAGCCGTTGTTCGAGCCATCCTTGCCTAAATGCGACTCCTCGCCGCTGACCTTCTCCGCCGGCGAATTCCGGAGAACGCCGGAGAACTGGCGCTCAAAGAGCCGCTTCAGCCGCGACTTGACCACCGGCTTGACCGGCTCAAGCCTAGTCTCCTCCTGAGGCGCGTGAGAATCAATCGGTTGGATCTTCATTGTGAAAGGCATGACGACGACGACGATGGTGATAAGAATGGCTTCAGAACAAAATCAGAGCCTCTCGAGTCTCAACTCTTGGTCTCGTTCATTTTCGAAGCTCGAGCTTAATTTTAAATTGAGAGTCAGAACACAGAAAAATACGATTTCAAAGCTAGTTAAATCTCTGAAATTCTGCAGAAGCAGAACTGCTTTTGACAATTTCAATATTCAAGCACGAACAACTTTGCAGTAGTTGACTAGAAACCTAAAATTTTAGCAGAATGAGAAAAAAATTATAAAAAAAAAAGAAAATAAAATATTAAATGTTGTTCTAGCAAACGACTCTTCTTTCCTTTTTCGGATTTTTTATACAGCGATAATTAAAGTCTGGTTTGCGAGACTAAGCATGGAATAACTTGAAAACTCTGCTAAGTAAAGTCGCTTTTGCTTAGGGTTTCTACCAGATACGATTGGGTCTCCCAAACAAGCGACGGCACCACGACGAGAGGTTGTTCCTAACGAAATCAATATCAACAACGATGGCCGGAGCATCCATAACCTCCGGCGTGTATTTTCCGACGAGCGGTGGTGGCGCAGAGAGGAGGATTGCTGTGGTTGTTAGCGGGTGCAGCGGTGAACGAGGATGGGATATGGATGGGGCTAGAAGGCATGATCATTTATAGGCAAGGATGAGAGAAGGGTACAAGTCGCCACGTGTCAGTCCTACGTGGCGGGTTAGAGTGCTGAATACCGAAAACACCCTCTGAATTTGCGAAGAAAGAAGGGTGGTTGGCCCAGGCTTAGTGATCACGACGGTGGCATGGGAGGAGACTGAAATAGCAGATGCAAATGCTCACTCTTTCTGGGTGCGTACCTCTGATATGACGATAATGTCCCTGATGGGGTGCAAAAGAAAATGTTCATTTTGGACAGAATGAGGTCTAGGAGGGAAAAAAAGATTGAGGATAGTTTTGTCATATGAATCGTCCCTCTTCCTGGGGTCTCTGGCTCTGGTGATAAATAAATTGCTTACGTGGCTCTGTGTAACTGAAGTATGGAACGGTGGGTAGAGTTCGTGTATTGACTAAATTAGCCTTCTGTGAACGTAGCTTTAGTTGGTTCAGTGTCAATTTCATGTTTATGAATGAAGCTTTTGTGCAAATGCACGGAAAATGCCTTAAACGGTGACTTGCCCTGAGTCTACTTTAAATATCATATAAGTTTTGTTGATTAAATTATTTATAAAAAATATATCCTGGTTTTATGTATGAATTCAGTGTGTTATTATGATGTGACATAATAATTTTACTATGTTTTTTTTGCATAAAATCATGATCTGTTGTTACTCGTTATTTCACCAAGCCTGCGTAATTCGCGAATGAAGTCTTGAGAAACGTAGAAAATAACATTGGATCAGATAAAACAACTACTTATGGTCTATCTTCTAAATTCAAAATTATCTAGTTTACATTTTTTCTATTGCACTGACTAAATCTTCCAATATAAAAAAAATCATACGAAAACTTTGATGTTTACCAAAACACGCATATAAACACAGAGATTATCATTTACAAGTTTTTCGGGAGATCACCTAATCTCAAAAATAAAACAAAATGATAAGTGACACGATAAGTTCACATACCCACGGGCAGAAGGCTTAGTTTGAAGATTGTTATGAAATACAATTGTTTTATAAAAATTTATATAAATTATAATAATTTTATGAATGTTTATATAAAAAAAATTATTAGATATTTTATCATATTTTTTATTTTAAAACGTATAAAATATTTTTTAAATATTAAAATACATCAATTTTTTTATAATATACTTATAAACATTAAAATTACGGAAAGTTTAATACATATAACAGTAAATATAATAAAAGATGGTTGAATAATTATATTAGTCAATATTACGTTTTATAAAAAATAATTAAATATATAAATGTTTAAAGTGTTAGCGGATCTGACTTTATAAATAATTATATTTATTTATATGTTTGGTGATTAGATAACGTATATTATAATTAAAAATTATAAATTTAATACATTTGTAGTTAATTGATATCAGATGTTAAATTTAGAAACTTACATTAATTTATATTTTTTTTATAAAATAAAAAATTGATAATCAAAATGTTGATTTAAATTTTTTAATTAAATTTATAATTTTCTATTTAAAGAATCAACATATATTTTGTTATATTTTTTATTTCAATTGTAATAATTTTTAAATATAAAAAATATCAAAATTTAAACAATATATTTATAAATACAAATAAAATTATTAAGTAAAGCAAGAATTTAATACTTGATATCAAATAATTCAAATTCATGTTTATTTTATTATAATGTCATAATTTAAGCTTGTGATGTTATATAGTAAAATATTTCATTAAAATCATAATAAGATAGTAATTTATTTTATACATATATTAAAAAATAATTTTAAAGCTATAAAATTTAAATTTATATTTTTATAAATGTATCTATAATCAGTTAATTATTATTTTATTGTTTATTAACACGATTTTATAATAGGTAATAATGTGAAAAAAAAAACTATCTAATATAAATATACAACGTGAAGAAAAATTTATATATTTATTAATGATAAAAAAAATAAATATTAAATACAATTACATTCAATTCAATGGAAACATAGGTTACAACTTATTTATATAGTTATACAATTAATTAGTTATTATTTTATTATAATTTATCAACACAAAATTATAACAGGTGATGTAATTACAAATTGCATATAAAAAATATCTAAAATAGTTATATAATGTGAAAAAAATAATAATATGAATAATCATAACAACAGTAGTTTGACATGGTAGAGAATTAAAGACTTAAAATAAATGAAATAAATGTGAGAAATTTTTTTGTACAAGTCAGTTATTTTCATGAAAAGGAAAAATTATAACACTAATAAAACTATGGAAAGTAAGATGTTAGTAATAATTATGAAAGACATACTGATGTGGAAGTGTGATAGTAATATAGTGTCAATTCCATGTATCACTACATTTATAATTTATTCAATGCATATATCAGTTTAGAGCTGTGTCAAATGCAAGTGTTATGCAAAATTAGAAAAGTAAGTACCCTAACAAAAATAGTAATATTTGTATAGCATCTATTGCTTAATACAATTTTATAGTGAAAAATTTTGACTAAAAGTAAAATGATAATTCTATCATAAGTTTGTGCGTTGTGTAATATTAAAAATGAAGACATATTGTACCATATTTGCATTGTAGTATTCTTATGAGACTATGGTATATATATTGTGTTTCAATGATTTAATATCAATATATGTTTACCTAAAAATTTGCATAAGATATTACTGAGCATGTGTGAAATTTGACACATGAATAGAAAATAAAAGAAATATATAATTGTGTGATTTTTATTAGAGTGAATAATCTAACTTTAATCAAAGTATTTTTTTTTTCAACAATAGTATGTTAAATATTGATGAAATGTTTGATTATAATTAAGTATTATTTTTGAAAATGATTCACAAGATCAGTAGGAAGCTTGATTATGTATATAAATCGAATTAATAAATATTTGACATGTATTGTTAAATCCAATAATTAGAGATATAAGAGTTAAAGTACACTGTATTATGTTTTTGTCTTTAATGAGACGTTAATGCTTCGCAAACAAAAAAGTAATCACATTAACTATAGTGCAAAAATTGTGATTAGAAAACAAAATAATATTACAAAAAATTGAGATGCGTTTGTACTAACATTAAATTTAAATATTCATGTTATTTAATTCTTAAAAAAATAAAATTCATTAATCATTGATTTAAAAACTTATATTAAGCAAATTAACTTTTTTAATTTTTATATAAAATAAAAGTAACACATATATCTCCATATTATTTTATTTTCATGTGTGATCTGTTATTAAAACATAGGTAAAAATTAAATAATATATTTATAAATATTTAAATTATGTAAAAATTCATGTTCATAGTTATAAAAATAATATTACTTTATTTAATTATTGAATCGATAAAATTCATATTATGAAAAACTTATCAAGTATTACAAGGGTTCAAAATTAACACTTGATATCAAATAATTATAATTTTATTATAAATTATATATATTTTCAGTTACATAAATATTTTATTAAAAATACTTTTGTTTAAGTTATATATAATTATTATAGGTGATAAAATTATTCTTTTAGAATATTTAACACATTACACTTTGAACTTTAAACTATAAGTTAAACTTTTAAAATGTATATTTTTTAACTCAATAAATAATATCATGACTTTTTAAAAATTTTAAAAATTTTGTAATCATAATAGACATATATATATAAATCATCTTCTTACATTCAATCTGAGGTCTTTCATTTAATTTATATCTAACGGTCAGTAAAAGAATAAATTATAACTTGTTATATATATTAAACACAACTAACTTTATTATTGAACTAATAAAAGCATTCATTGTATGGAATAGATAAAAACACAACAAATGCTTAAATTTTAATAAATACTAGATTGTGCAATGCATATAATTTAATTTTACAATAACATACATAAATTAATAATTACAAATAAAATATTATGTTTTGGTAAATAATTATACATATAATAAATATATTTTAAATAAATATATATTTTTATAAATATAAAATAGATATTCATAAAAAATATAAAAGTTTACACAAAGTAAAAGAAAAATTAAAGAACAACTTTTATTTTTGATATTAAGCATTAAATTAATAAAGATACGAATAAAATAAACAGATAATTATAGTAACAAAAAGTATAATTTACATGTTATTTTTAGTAAATATTAAATTAATTACTAATTGGTTACACATATAGATATAGTAAATGAGTTTATTATTAAAGATTTTTTATATACATAAAAATTCGAATATAAGATTTTATTTAATCAATACTGAATTACTTGCCACTTAAACCGACTTCTATTAGTGCACTTTGCATTTTTTAAAGTATGAAAACTATGTTTTATCATATAATTATATGTAAATGAATGCCATGGTCACACGATTACTCAATAAAATTATTTACAATTTTTAATCTGTGTAGGGTTTACGATTAAACAAATTTTACTTTTCCCTCTATTTTTCCTCTAAGATTAATCCCTTGTACAAAACCTTAAACAAATTAATTTATATGATCTGAAGAAAAATATTAAAAAATATATATTTCCTGTCAATATGATATGATGTAAGAATTTATAAAGTACATAATATCACATTGATTATTATTAAACAATATAATTTTTTTATTTTAAAACTATATTTATATTTATATTTTAACAAAAATTATTAATTCAGTATTCGATTTTTTGTTAATATCAAGACAGGTGTTAAAACATTTGTTATAAAAATAAGTTCCTTAAAAAATATTAAATAAAGAATTCAAATACAATAAAATATTAATCTAATTTATAATTGATTAAAACAAGAGAATGCCGGATAAAAAAAACATAAGATCGAAACTAAATAAATACAGATTTTATTAACACGTAATTACACAAAATGAATTATATAGAATAAAAAAGAAAATTAAATATATAACATAGAAACATAACAATACTATAATAATAAATGTAATATAGAAAATGAATTTATACAGTTTTACAAAAAAATATAATATGAATTATGCAATAATTATATGAGATGTAATTAATTTTTTCTTATAAAAAATATTTGTAAAATTACTTTTTCTATTATTTAATTTTAATATATTTTATTATTATAATGTTCTATCTATTAAATTATTACACAACTTATATTTATATAAATAAATATCATTTCATTCTTAATATTATGTTACTAGTTTCTTTAATAGCATGACATTATTGTTAATCTCTTGCAGTATTAATCCATAGTTTATTTTGTATATCTTTTATTATTTGAAGGGATTAATATTTTTAAATTTTTAAAAGGAAAAATCAGTTATATACAATTCTATAGAGGAATAAAAAATTTTAAGTGATTAATTTATAAACTGATTTATGAATATAGTTTTTTTTATATTACAATAGTCACTTAATATTTGTAACAATTGAATGATAAAATTAAATTTTTTATTAACTTCGACTTTAAAAATAAATTTAAACATTCAAGTGTAGTAATTTTATTGCATAGAAAAGTTTAATTAATATTTATTTTAAACCTTACTTCTTTCTCCAGTTATTTTTATAAAAAAATTATTAAAATTAATAAAAAATAGTTATATATTATAAATTATTATTATTATACGACAGAAAAACTCATAGTATTAAATAATAAAACTAGTTATTTATATACAAAAATAAATAAATAATTATTTATATAACTAAATTTGTTAATAAATATTTTTACCATAAATAATAGTATAAAAAACAATAATAATTACATTTAAAGACAATTATTTATTTATATAGTTAGATAAAAGAAATGCATTGTTTTCTGTAAAAAGAAGCGAATAAACTATGATATAAGGAAAACACATTTTTGTGACATTTTGTCAAAAAATGACAATGGTTTCAATCATTCTTCCACAAGTAGATATTCAAAGTTTCTTTTTCAGTGGATATATCAAGTCACAGGCCATGGTTTTCTAATACCGTCGGCTATTCAACTGTGGGATGATCATTCGCACTATGAAAATTGCTCTGTTGTTTTATTTTCAAGAAAAAAATCAACAAGTGCCTTCTTTTGTTTGGTTATCTCAGACAATGGCTGTGTTGGTTTGGGTTGGCATAGATGTTATGGAACTTTGCAGTGATTTTAGCAGTTACAAGTGATTGATCAGTAAAAATACGTTTTTAAATTTTAAAAAAATTAAGAATATAGTATATAATTATTTGTAAGAAATTACAAGAAAATATTATAATTATTAATAATCAATATTCTATATATTAAATAATCAGATAAATTTTAAATTTGAAATATATTAATTAAAAATTATTTGATGTATAGAAAATTACTTACCATGCGTAATTATTTTTAGCATAATTAAGAAATTACATTACAAAAAATATTAAAAAATATAAAATTTTACATTCCTCTTTAAATACTTTGGATTTAAAATTAGACAGAAGGCAATTTCAAGGATGATAATTATAAAAATAAAAGGTTATTAAAAAACAAACTAAAAAAGTTTATACCATAAAACCACTTTTCTAAACCTTAGAGGAAACGCCATTCAAAGTTTGTCACTGGTTCCTTCGAAATATCATTCGTGTTAACTTTTTTTTAAAAACCTAAAGAAGTTATCTTTTTTTGTTTATATAATAACATAGAAATTATGAAAACTTTATATTAATGTAAAATATATGAACTAAGAAAATTTTAGATGATAAAAAGAAGAGTATCCTATATTTTCGTGTAATAAAATAAGTTGAAAGAGGAAAGGGTTGCAAAAATGAACGAGCCCCTCTTTATTTGGCCCTTCTCCGCGTCTCCAGAGCATTCCCCTTGTACCTGTTCATGAATTGACAGTCACTTTCTTTGTACTAATTTTTCTTGGTGCGATCGTGCTTTAATCGTAGCCTTTGTCAAATACAGAGCGGTTTTCCCCATCGAGAGCATCGAAAAGCAAAACTTTGGACCCTGTTTTTTCCGCTTTATCAAATATAGGGTCAATATATTTTGATTTTGAAATGATAGATGTTAGGATTCTAGTGTAATGGGATAATTAATGAGGATGTAATATAAGCAAAAGCAATTTACTATGACAGTAAAAAATTCTGCGCTTCTTACTGAGTAAAATTAGTGAGAAGTTATAAAATGGAAAAAAATTTGTAACTGTGATTTTAAAAAATCAGTATTTTATTTTATTTCATTTTATATCGAATAAGTTTAACACACACATAAAATTTACCCATATCTTTAATTAAATAAAATATATACAAAAACTCAGTCATTAAAATGTTCTATTTTGTCGCAAAAAAATTCATAAACATAGACTGCATGTCACATGATCTTCGTAAGTATATGAACTTTGTCCCACAAGTTGGTCCATACAAATCTGCAAATTTGTATTTTTGGACTTAGAAATTATGTCATCCACGTGGGCTGACTTCCATGTGGATTAAACGAGTTAAGCTCACGAATTTTAAACTTGTTTAACCTGAAAAAATAAAAAATATCATTTTTAATATTTAAAAATAAAAAGAACAAAATATCACTGTGAATCAAACTTAAAATAACAAGTTAAACTGAAACAATTTATAAAATAAATTTTATTATATATATGTATGTATGTATTTTTTCATAAAAGACTTATTCTCCCGTTCACCGTGTTATGCTGACTTTTAAAATAAAGACTGGTTTATTTTAATTGTGAGCTTAGTGATGTATATTAAATACCACAGAAAAGCTAGATATTTTTTGGACCCGAAATAAAATAAACCCTTGTGAAAAACTGGCGTAGATTCTGGCATGGTTGGGTTACAGCTTTCTGGTTAATTCATTGATACTGTGACATTTTGAAGGAATGCATTGGATTGGATATCTGGCAGACTAGTGCAAAGTTTTGATTTTTGAGGAGCGGGGAAGTGGGCAACACTAAGTATAGGGATAATTGGTGGTGTAATTTGATTCACTGAAACGGAAAAGCATAAAGCATTGAAAAGAGCATCAATTTCTCGCTTTTGTAATGACTTTTAGGGAAGTTTACTTGGTGGTGCTGTTAGTCAAGTGCACTATCCGTCATCTTCCCACATATTCTACCCTCGATTATATTATAGCATAGCTTGTTCTGTAGTGCATTTAGGAAGACAACAAAATCCTCTCATAGACGTAGACTAGTCCTCATCCTACTCCTACACAACCTTTCATTTTTAACACTCCCAAAGAATCTCAACACTACAGTCAAAACCGTGTTCTCCATACCATTTTTTAAAGCTTTCTCTAGTAAATTCCCGGTATGGATGTTAATATTCCTTATCTGGTTTTTTCAATCAATCAATGTCTTACTTTTATACTGTTTAATTTGCCTACAGTGAAGTGAGAGCTTTAAACTTTAAATAGGTTAAAGGCCCTGGCGTGCTTATGAAATTAAATTGTCATGTCATGCATATAAATAGATTATTATATTTATAGCCGTGTTAATATTTTTCCATTATTGACTGGGCTGTTGACTAATTCAGATGATTAATTTTTAATTAGAAAATTAAAAAATTATCAAGAATTCAATATCTCACCTTAAAAAGTTAATAATGCAATTAAACTTGACAGAAGTTACACGAAAACTTTGGCCCATATTTATTTTCGAGGAGTGAGCCTTGCTTGTTTAGAAAAAGACAAAAAAGTATAATTAAGACAGATTTAACACATTGAAATTTTTTGCTAAGCTACTTTTAGTTTCACTTTTTCTAGTGAAATCGACTGTATTATTTTAATACGATGAATTGTTTTGTTCTGTTTATAAATATACTGAACATGAAATAGAACATTAGTTTATCCTAATCCTTAATGAACTACAAATGTCAGTTACCTTCTAGTTGAGTTTGACAGCAATGAGTCAATTATATCCGTTAAAATTATAATTTAATTTATAAATTAAAGCGATTTCTTGGTTTGTTGAGTTTTTTTTTTTTTTTTCATCTTCTCTCTTACTGTTGTTTCAAATTACTGAATGTCCTTTTCTTTTTCAACACACCCCTTTGTTCTTTACTTCTTTTCCTCCAAGATCACGGCAACCAAACAACAGCAACTCCGAAAGCTCCTTTATTGAGTGGAAAATGTACGTATTTAATAGCTTAACGTAAAACTTAAACAAAATATACGCCGGTACTCTTTCCCAAACTCCATTGTGACTAAACTTTAACCATCACAATCAGGGATTTAGTATTGAGGTTGGAAATTGATAGAAAGCACGATGGGATTTTCTATGAAAACTGTTAGGTAGATACGGAGCAACAATATGAGAAAAAAAACAGTAATACCATAAAAGAGAGGTTGGACTTGATTTTCTGTTTGTATATACATTTTCTTGATTGAAAGAAAAATGGAGCATCTGTTGATATATGTTTCTTTTTAATATATACAAAAGCATAAAAATAGAGAGAATAAACATTATTAAAGAAAAGTTAACAAAAAAGTAAAATCTAACTGAAATGTGCATCATCATTCTAATATAAAGTTCCATGTCAGTAATAATTTATTTATATTTATAAATAATTAAAAAATTATACATACTATATATTTTAAATGACCTGTTAAAATTAACGTCTAAAAAATATCACATCATTCGTAAGAGTAATTTATGTGAAATAAATTAATGAGTTACATTTATAAAGTTTGGGGCTTGGTTCTTCCTTCAAGGGTAATTTGGTTTAATATTAACATTTACAGATAATTTCTACATATGAATTTTTTATGGAGGGGGAAGTGAAGCATTTTCAGACAGGTTACTATGATAGCATAAACCATTACATGAGTATTCACACTGAATTCTGACTCACAATATGACATTATGTGCAATTTCCTTATGTAACTTACAGTAACATAAAAATAAAGCGTGTTTAATTAATTTAGAACCCTAAGTTGTGGCTGAGAAAAAAAAGGGCGTAGATTGTTAATATGGGGTGTGGACTTGGACCCTATAAATATCCATCCTTCTTGTCTTGTTCCTCAGCTTCCTTGTTGGCAGCTTGCACTGACTTGAACCACAGGAAGGCCTGAATTCAACATTAAAAAGCCATCAATTGTGATGAACCAACAAGTTACTATTACCATTACTTATTTGTGCTCTACAATTCAGACTCAATCCTATTCGAGGAATTACCGTGCATTACTATCACCGACACAATCTTATAGCAAATAAAATCATGATTTTTTTAACGTGTGTCATAAGATGTACAAAAAATAAAATAAAATCAGTAAACAATATATATATATTTAAAAAATTATATGCATAAATTTTAAAAAATAAAAATTAAACTACTCCAAATTGCAAGTGATTGGTAAAGAACCACGGACTAATTGCATTAATTTTGCTCTTGATTTCTGAATTTGAACAAGATTGACTCTATAGATGATAACGATTAAACGTGAGTGGTTATGGAAGCATGTAGTTACCGAAAAGGGAATGCCGGTGAAGACGAAAAAACCAAGCAAGGGAGCATAAAACACGCTATCCGAGGTTAGTACTCCAAACACAGGCTTTTGGTTCGCATATTCAAAAATGGAACCTATCTGTGCAACAAAAAATATAGACTTTTATATGAGTAACAAGTGGAATAACTGTGTCACCTCAAAAATAACAAATGATAGTTACCGCAGCAATTGCGGTGACAGCAGAGGCAAGTAAATAAGCGTAGAATGGGATCTCAAATCCTTGTTGCGAAGAAGAAACACCGTTGTTCTTTGCTTCGTCTCGAGCCCAAGGCGGTGGTTCATCGGAGTCTGGCTTAGCCCAAGAAGGGATTTTTTCCTCCGACTTGCTTGACTCTGCAGAGCCTTGTGTCACTGCAACCACCACAAACCCATGTGGCAATTTTCTCTTCCCAAAAAGCACGCTCTGGGGGTAGTGAGGAACTCCCAGAAATGCATGTTGAGATTGTATTGCACTTGTGCTTGATAATGATGAGAAGATGCTACCACTGGTTGCCATGGGGTTGGGTTTTTTTTTTTCTAACAAATCTGAATTTCAGCTTATGCTTCAGCCAGTGAAATCTTATCCTATGTTTTGGGCCACATGGGTTTACTATGGGCCTGGGTTTGTCTTTTATTTATAATGGGCCACATGTAAGTTAAAGGCCCAGTGAGATATTGGGAAAAGTAGGGTGAAATATTTGAAATGGAAATTCCCACGCAAGGGATAGCGCCCAATGTTTGAGAATGGGAATTCAAAAGGGGTTGCACGTTTTATGCTTTCATTGTTATCCGCAATTGCATATCCTCTTCTTTTGGCCTCTTTCTCTTTTGCTTTCTTGCCTTTCTCTTTCTCTCTGTGTGTGTTTGTGTGTCAATGGCGGGAAAAGGAGGGAAGGGGCTTGTGGCTGCAAAAACCACGACAGCCAACAAGGACAAGGACAAGGATAAGAAAAGGCCTGTCTCTCGTTCATCCCGTGCTGGGATCCAGGTAACCCATCTTCCCTTTCCTCTCAGATTTTGTTCTTCTTCCTCAATTCCCATGCTGTTCCACTGAATGTGTCATGAATCTAATCTGACATGCCCCGCGGGTTTGTTTTATGTTTATTCAATATAAAGTGTTGTTATGGTTCTAGAAGTTGGTTTTTTATGCCAAGTTCTATTATTTAACTAAAAGCTACGGCCTTTTCTTCTTTTTAGTTCCATTTTTCTGTTAGGAATTGTAATTGTCTGGAATTGTAGCAGGTGATGCGCTTGTTGTATTTTTAGTTTATTTTGAAAACAATTGTTTTTTTTTTTTTTCAAAATTTCAGACAGTTTGGTTTCATGTTTATGTGGTTATGACTTTGGGTTTAGGGTTTACTCCAAAGTAGCTTATGTTTGAATTTATATTTGCAGGTTTCAAACACAAAGTTTGACAGATAGAAATAAGATATGTTATTTTGTGTTGCGAGTATTTTGTTGCATGCATGTTTTTTGCTCTTTTGATTGTTTTTGTTTTGTTGGTGTGTTGTAGTTTCCAGTGGGTCGTATTCACAGGCAGCTGAAGCAAAGGGTGCAAGCAAATGGGCGTGTTGGGGCCACAGCCGCAGTTTACTTGGCTTCAATTCTGGAATATCTGACTGCTGAGGTTCTTGAACTGGCTGGAAATGCCAGCAAGGATCTCAAGGTTAAGAGGATCACACCAAGGCACTTGCAGCTGGCTATTAGGGGAGATGAAGAGCTTGACACCCTCATCAAAGGGACCATTGCAGGCGGTGGTGTCATCCCTCACATTCACAAGTCCTTGATCAACAAAACCTCCAAAGAATGATCTCTTTTGTTATGTGCCTGTAATCATGTAGCGCTGGTGTAGTGTAGGCTTTCTTTTACTGTTTCTTTAGAACATATTTTAAAGTTAGTGATTTAGTGTGTAAAAATGGTCATTCTCTCGGCTGTTTTAACTTGTTTGTTAGGCTCCTAGGATTGTAATGCTGTTAGATCCTTAACAGTTCTTTGTTTTAGCTTCATTATTATGTGACTTACTTGTTTTTAGTAGCAACTTTTGTCTTCGATATTGGCTTGTTTCAATTTTAATTCATCTTTGCATTATAAATTAACGATAACTAATAGTGGACTAGGAATATCATAGTTTAACATGCTCTTCTACTGACATATGCACAAAAGTGATATAGTAGACAACTAGTAAAATGAAGACAATAATTATTATGATATATTCAATTCAAATTATAAAAACAAAACCTCTCTTCTCTTTTACTCGTTCTCGCTCCCAACAAGTTATGTGCTAGCAAGTTTTATTATAAATTTTTGGAGTTGTAATTTATTTTGTTGAAGCCTTGACTAATATGCTTAAGCAAACACATTTTACCAAGGAAGTCCTAGCAAATTGGAAGAAGCATGAGAAGTTAAAAATGGCGCATTAAATTGAAAGTGCTCTTTTTACTCAAAACTAGTAAATATATATATGGTTGCACAGGTTTGTACAGATATATTTATATTGTTTTTTAGTTAATTTAGTTTAAAATTAATTATAATTTAAATAATAATTATTTTTAATCTGACAGAAAAATAAAAAATTAAAATTTTGATTATTTTTTAAAATAAATTATATGTAAAAAATAAATATAACAATTAAATTTAATTTATATGTGATTTTAAAAATTTTAAAATTTAATAATAATAATAATTTAGTTATAAATTAGTAAATATATTTGTATATTATATAAATTTGTTTATATTTTTATTAAATTATTTAATTTTAAAATAAACAAAAAAATATAATTTAAATGTAAAGATATATAATAATAAAATTTTATTATATTTAATAATATCAAATATAATTACATTGAAAAATATGATAAATACATTTTTATATATAAGTTTTTTTACATTTTATATATTTTTCATCCTCTTCAATAATAAAATTTCTTATTCTTTTAGTTGATGTAAACATAAAAAATAAATTTTATAAATTAAAAAGAACATGAAAGTAAAAATAAATAGTGAAATTTTTAATTATTTTTAAATATAAATAATATAAATCTATTATATTATCGTTGTTATTAAATATTTTAAATGAAAATAAAAATACATAAAAAAGTATATACCAATGAGTAGAAATATAATAAAAAATATTTTTCAATAAACAATGAAGTTTAGTATTATACTTAAGTAAGATCCATCTGAATGAAGTTTAATTTTCATTTCTAAGGAATTGAAATAAATATTAACATAAATATATTTAATAAATTATGTATAAAATTATTAATTTTAAAATAACATATTTAAATTTGACTTATAATAAATAAATGTATACTATTAATTAATGATTCTAATTTGAAAAAAAAACTAACTGTTAAATTAATATTAATTTTAAGAATATGATATTATAAATAATTATATCAATAAAAAATATATATATTTATCTTACTTTATATTTTACGTATAATTAGTTTGTAACTGAAAAATGAATTGAAAGTTTATTACACAATTGAATACTGAAAAACAAATAAAAATATTTAAAATTTAATTTTAATATAAAAAATTATTTCAATAATCACATATTATAATATAAATATTTATAAATAAATATAGTTTGAAATGTTAATATTAAAAATATTAAAAAATATTTTTATAATATTTTAAAATTTAATTCATGACTTTATTTAATTGTAGATATAATATTCAAACTTAATTTATAGTTAGAATATTATAATTTAATTATTTATTCATTTATTATAATTTAATTATTTATTATAGTAAAAAATATTAAATATACAAATCCAATAATTATAATAAGATTTTAATAATAAATTTATATATTACATTTTCATTATAATGATATTTAATTTATTTTAATTATTATAATTAATTACTTTTAATCTAAAATTTAAAATTATAACTATTAATGTAATATTTAAGAGCAAACAACACTACTCTTAAAATTTAACTAATAAATAATTTTAGTTAAAGAATGAATAAAAAAATGACAAGAAAATTTAAATTACGATATCATTATTTAATTTTGTCATAATCAAAATTTCATACAAATTTTTTGAAATTATTAATACTTAGAAAAATCATAAATATTATAATATTAATATTTTCATATTTTTAATAGTATGTACATAATTTAAATCTCAATGTTAAAATGATAATGAATATTTAAAAATTTAATTAAAAAAAGAAAAATAAAAAGTATTATCAATAGTTAACATAATAAAAAAATTAACATAATTAATCTATAAAATAAGTAACGTTTGATATGTTAATATTGACATAAATTTTCGTTGATATAGATGTAAAAATAAAAATATCACCTATAATACATATTTGGCATAAATTCAATTAAATAAAAATAAAATATAATATATGATATCACTTTAAAATAATATAACTTTATGTTTGCTCAATAAATAAAAAAATACTTTTATATAATTTACTGCAACAATATATATATATATATATATATATATATATATATATATATATTTGAACAAATGACTCTTAAAAATTTATATTATTGCAATACGTAAATATAAAGTAATATGATATAAAGAATTATTGGCAAGTTTTTAAGATTTATGTAAGAATTACTTATTATATAGATAAAGATAAAGATAAAGATATATTTAGTGATATATCACAAGATTAAAAATTAATTTAATAAATGTTATATTTTTATCAATATTATAATTTATTTATATTGTTATCATAACAATAATTTAATAATATACAATACAAAACTATAATTTTGTGAGTGTGTAATTTTTTTATTTCAAATATATTTTACTTTTTAATACACAATTTTAAATGTTAAATATGTTAAATTAATTAATAAAATTATTTAAGTCAATAATATTTAAATTTAAATAATATCTAAAATAATTTATATGATTTTATTTTTAATAAAATAATAATTCAAAAGGTTCGTTAAATTTTTTTGAAGTTATTTTTGTATGATTTTCTGTAATTTTTTTCATTTTTAAAATTTATGGTGAGTTTTTTTTTTCACTTTTTTATATAATTTATCGTTATTTTGTTATTTCCATTATTAGAATTGTATAACTATTAATGTAAATAAATTTTTCTTAAACACAATTCAAATATAATAATTATAAATTAATTATAATTTAAATTCTTAAGATATATGAAATGTTGTAATTAATTTCAATAATTTTTTATTGAATATAATTTATAGTTAATTTGTTATTTTTGTTTTTAATATACACCAACATCTATTTTGATAATCAGTGTGAGCAGAATTATATGTGACTTTAAATATATATATATATATAAATATAATTTAATAAAAAAATAAAAAATATCAATATTAACCGTATATATATTTAATTAGATAAATAACTCTTAACATTTATATGATTGTAAAATACAAAAATAAAGTAAGATGATAGAAAAAACTTTTAAATAATTTTTATTATAATAAATTTTTTTATTTATATTATAATTTATTTATTTTTTATTATAAATATAATTTAATAATATATAATATAAAATAATAATTTAAATTTAAATATAAGATACAATTTTATTTTCTATTAACATATCAGTTGAGTTATTAAAAAAAAATATCACTTGAAAACTTCATTTGATTTTTATGAAATTTTTTTATGTAATTTAATTAATAATATTTATGTGAATACAAAGTAATATTTTAAATTCATAGCCTTAAGATTCCAGTTCAAAACACTGAACAAACCTGCAATTAGATCTATAAGGGAAATAGAGTTTTAAGAGAAAGAAACCAAAATTTCTTTGCAATAAGAGGGAACCTTGAAATTAGGGACTACTCTTATGGTATTTATGACAATTTCTAAACCAAACTTCTAAAGAAAAGTAGAAACAATCTAAGCTTAAAGTGAATGAAAACTGTCAAGATGTTATAATGTTGTAATAAGGATAAGGACTACTTCATTATTTCTATAAAATTTAGGATTTTGGTCAAACTTTAGGTATAAGGATAGTGATTATTTAATTATCATCACAAATTTCAATACTTGAATAAATTTTTCGTTTTGGTTAGTCTTTTTAAATTTATCTGTTTAATATTTTAAGATTTATTTCGACTCCTTAATCCTGTAATAAAACTGAAACTTTAATGAAGATTCTTACAAAGTTGTTATTAAGAACATATTTTTCTACAATAAAGTAGCAAGCGTGAATGAATTGTCACATTTTGCATATCAAAATTCACTGAACATATAGAACCATTACATGCCACGTGTTTCGTAGCAATGGGGGCAGATGTTAGATATTAAATAACAATTAAAAATTAAAATATACGTATTCCTATTATTTTTAATATCTCAATATGATTTTAAATAAAAACATATTAAAACTTATAAGATTAAGAACATAATTTTTTATTAATTATTACAAAAACAAATAATTTTTTATTGATATATCAATATGTAATTGAAGGGCAATTTAAAAAATTTATATACTGTGAGTATAACAAAATTATTATTTTTATAGAATGAATAAAATATATTTTAATTGATTAAATATACTGATAATTATTAATTAAAAAAAAGCAGTTAAGATTAAATTAACTTTAAAATTTATTATATATTTTATTACAATTTTTAATGATTGATTTACTCAACAATTATAAGCGCATTTTATTTTTTAAAATATATTTTATTACTTTAATAAATGTTTGTATGTATACAATTTAGTTTTTAAATCGGTAAATTTCATGATTTAATCAAATTTGACAACTTAGTTCTTGAATGGCTTAAATTGTATTTTTTTAGTTTAAATAATGGGTAATTTAAGTTTTTTTAATTTAATTTGAGTCAATTAACTTTACTAACTATTAAATTTTAATAAATTCAGTCTCTTAACAATTTCTTTTCATTTAAAACTCTTGAACTCTTATTTTGTTTTAATAAATTATCTTTTACTGAAAGCTCACCACTCAAAATAAAATAAAATAAAAAATAAAAAAATCTTAAAATCTAAGAGTTTGTTTGATTTATTTCTCAAAATTAATTTTCTCTTTTTAAAAATAAATTATAATATTTTAGTTTATAATTTTTTTGTAATTTTATTAAATTTTCAGTAAATATCTTACTTTTAAACTTTTAAATTATTTTATATTCTATCATACACTCCTAAAAAAAAATACGAGATAATAATTTAAAAATTTAAAAAATTAACAAGGAAACTAAACAGGTATAATTTTTAAAAAAGTTAAATAATTAAAATTATACATATCAAATTTGAAGAACTAAAAGAATAATTAAGGCTTTTTAAATCTAACAACTTTACGATAATTTAATTCTTATTGTAAAATTGATTAATTTAAAAACTAAATTTATACGCAAATTTTAGAAATTTAATAAACACAGTTGTCATTTTAGGTGACTAAAGTGTATATTTATTTTTATCAGTTATTTTTTTTCATTAAATATTGAAACAAAATTTTATATTAACTTTCAGTTTAATTTACTTCACAGTTCATATATAATTTATTGTGAAGCATTCAGTTAGCCGTATTATAATATTTTTTTAGCCAATCAGTTATGACTCATCTTTTATGTATTCTGCATTGTTTCATTTAAATTAAAAAGGAAACTCGACTAGTGACTTAGATACGAGACTTGTAATACTGTATTATTATGTCGTACAACTGAGTATCTTATCATTTTCGAATTGCAAGTTAGATCTAATTTCACTTGTAACATTATATTAGCTATCATTGTATATACAGCTTAATTAAAAGATTTTCTGAATTTCCTTTTATATGTAAAAACAGAGTATGTTTAATTAGATGACTTGTTTTTTTATTTTATTAAATATGTCTCATTCTCAATTTAATTTTTAATTTTAATATTAAATTGTTAAACTAATCATACATATTTTTCTTTTAGCATATTTCTTATATTTCACTAGAATTAATAATAAAATTTTAAAATACTAAATTAATTTTAAAATGTACCTAATTTTTAGATGAAATATTTGATTAATTTTGAAAACACTCATATAATATACAAATACTTCCTAGTTTTATGAAAATGACTTTTCTCAGGTTTCGTCAAGTAAATTTGAAACATTGAAAAGGGGTGATTCTATCAAAATTTCTGGTGTTAATAAAAAAGGGATAAATACAGAGTTTCATACAAATATTATTATAAGGGGATGTATATATATATAACCCAAGACCGAGACAAGAAAGCATCTTATATATCCTAAGGAACCACCAAGACCGGAATCTAGATCATGAACCTAGTGTTAAAAATGCACATGCTATTCTATGCATGCACTCTTTGTTCTTTTGTGTGTGCCTCTCTCATTCCTTCCCCTTTAGCATTTTAAAGCAACCACCATTCCCTATTTGTCTCTCACTTGAAACTCCCAATATTCACAAATGGAAGCAAATTGTTTTAGGTTGAACATTAGTTCTTCAACACTATGTTCATATCACTGCAGGAAGATTATCACAATTCACAACCCTTCTGTGGTTGCAATGCTTAGAAGGCCTTCAGATGACATTAGAGGAGAAACAGGAAAAACCAATGCCTACAAAGATAACTTATTTGATCGCTTAGCAATAAATCATCTATCAAAAAGCGTTCAAGCAGCTACAGGTTCATACACACACACACACATATACATACCCTTTTGTCACTTTTTTGTTTGAAGGAGAAAATCTATACATGGAATCCTTTAATTTGCAGGACTTGGTAATAATAAGAGTGGGTATGAGAGCTTGGTTGAGGCAGCTACTGCCGCTAAATTGAAATTTGATCCTATTCACCAGCAAGAGGTTGTGATTCAAGCTCTTGATAGAGCCTTCCCGAAGCCAATACTCTCATTGGTGAGTTCATTACTCGTTAGTCATATATACTACAATTTTGATCTGAATCATTTCTTCTTCTTCTTCTTATTGTGCTTCTGTTTTCGCCACTACTTCCCTTATCCTTTTATTTGGCATTATGAAATAATATAAAAATGAAATGTAATGTAGGATTTAATTCAGTAATTTAAGGATGTTTAATGGAAAGGAAGTTTTGGAAGTTACTCTTTGCCTTTTATTTTATATTGATCTCTTTTATTTTCCACTTTACTTTTATTTTTTGAATTGTTGAGCATTGAAATTTTCAGCAATGAATATGTTATTATGATCAATGGCAGATAAAAACACTGCTACCACCATCTAAACTCGCACGGGAATATTTTGCCGCTTTCACGCCTTTATTCTTTGCATGGTTAGTCGGGCCCTCCGAGGTAAACAATTGAGTTTGTAGTTTTTATTTTATTTTAATTTTTTGGTCAATGATTGAGACTAATTTGTACTTGTATAGTTTGTATTGGATCTTGTTTTGCGTTGTAAACTAAAAAAATTAACGTTCGTGGACTCTTTAAGAGGGAGTTCAAAGTAAAGGGACCATGATTTTTTCACACTTATTTCTCAACCGGAAAAGTGATTAAATAAAAAGTTTACTATGACCCATTTGATTGAAAGAGAGGAGAGGGAAGTATAGAAAATGAGTGGGAAAATCATAATTCTAAAATAAAACAAAAACTGTTTTCTACACAAATTTTATTTGTATTATCTCTACACTTTCACTTTTATGATAAAAACAGATGGGAAATAATTCAACTCACTCTTCCTAGTAGAAAAGGTGGGTGTAGGATTAGGATAATAAATTTTTGACTAAATCTTTAATTTATTCCTTTTAAAGTTACATGTATTATTATTATTATTAGTCTTTTAATATTTTAGTCATCAAATTGTTTTTAAATTTCTTTTATAACTATTTTGGTTCTTTATCTTTTTATCTGTAAAGAATAAATTTAACTTTTGAAGAACTATTTCAGAGACAAAGCTTTTGGAAATTTTACATGGGAATAATTTAATTTTATAATATTTTTGAAAAGTGAAAACAAAACGTGTAAACCATGCCTTTCACCAGGGAGAAGACTGAAATTTAGGGTAACCTTGAAGGTGGTAATTGAGGAGTCTAGTAACCAAATGGAGTGCACTAAAGTCTCATATGTAATCAAATGATTATTGAAAATGTTTAGAATACTGAAAGTAGGTAATAGTTATGGTATATTGGTAATTGACAAATGAGAGAATATAGCCAGAAAACTTCGAGCAGTCCCTACTTTATGCAACATAAGACACAGAATTTGAAAAAAGAATGGAAGAGATTGTTGACCCCATTTAACATAAAAGTGACTAGAAAGAGTAGTAGTTAAAACAGGAAGAAGTTGGATTTACTTGAAGTGAAGTGGCTAGGAATTTGGAAATGATCCCTTTTATAGTTTGAAACAGTGGCGTCCACAATTAGCTCATAATGTCATCCGCACATCGTGCCCTATTCAGTATCATTAGCAGCCATGTTCAATTGTTGTTCATCATGTTCAATCTTCTTTGAGATCATTCAAATGGATATTAACTACAACTTATTAGAAACAGTTTCATTATTTAAATAATTACAATTTTACATCGTGTCACATATATACACTTATATATATATATATAAAGGAGTGGTAAAAGAAACATTTCTTTTATTAGAATCAACTAATATAATGATGACTGTGCAGCCTTCTATCAAAGAGAAAATAATAAGTGTAACTGAAATTTTTTTACATAAAATATAAATGAATAAATTAAACAAGATATAAGTAAAAAGAACTCATAACATTCAGGTTTTAAATTTTAAATTAATGTGATATCTAATTTATTTAATAATTTGCTTGTAATTTATCGATAAAGATTTTTCTATATTTTTACTCGTAATAACAATGGTAATTTATATTTTCAGCGTTGTAAAGTGACAGTGGTTTTAAATTTAATCTTTAAAAATATATTTGTTTTAATTAACTTGTCATGTCAAGTTGTTTTTTTAAGAGTTACAACACATCCGAATATATAAGGATTAAATTAAAAACTAGTTTCACATGTACGGATTTTAAAACCTATGTTTAGTCTCACATCATGATTATTATTTTTTACTTAGGTTGTTTGGAAAAATAGTTTTAGAAGAGAAGATAGATTTTATATTTATATAAATATATTTAAAATTAATATTTGTTCAAAATAAAAAATATAAATTGATATATTAACATAAATTTAATGTATTAATCATATAGTTATTATTATAAATGATATATAATTATTTTAATTTAAAATTAAAAAATATATTCTCTCCTTTCTTTTTCAAAATTCCTTTTCCAAACATACCTTTACTTTTTGATAACATGTTTGACAACAATACACAAAGTAAATAAAATTGAAAAATGAAAATAATTATATGTAGAGAAATCAAATTAAAAATAAAAAAAATAAGTAATATATATAGAAAGTATATATTTAGCTTAAAATAAATTAACACAAGTTATCGCATAAATTTGTCTTGCCATTGTTTCTTGTTCTAAATTCGGTGGATTGTACCATAAAACTATCACTTCTAAATTTTAGAATACATGAACGAAAATTAAAAGTTACACTGAATTAATAAATATGTTGTTTTAAAATTTTTAAATAAATTTATAAAGTTAAAAAAACATAACGTGGTTTCTAAATATAGAATTTTTTTTCAAAGTATTCAGATCTATATATATAATTTTAAATTAAATGCCTTATTTAAAAAAAGAACAACGTACGTAGAGGTGAACTTTAATTTAACTACAAAATAAAAAACCACTAAAGACATAATAAACCAACCAATGAAGGGCTATTTTATCTTAAGTAAGGCTTACGTTCGGATTCTTAATATATTACAAAAACTTTAAAAAACCAATTGTATATCATTACTTGATCCGAATTATTAATAGAATATTGAATATGATAATCTCGTACTGGTGAGCTTTGAATGTAAAACAAAGCTACCAATTAATAAAATAACCTAGTTGACTAAGTTTGGTGGCATCCTTTTACTTTCCGACCTATGATTTAAAAATAAATTTGAAAGGATTAACCCCATTTATTTTACCATGGAAAGGTGAGAGAATCGGAGGTCAACGGGCGAAGGGAAAAAAATGTAGTCTTCATCAGAAAATGCAGGTTAGTTTAGTTTAGTTTAGTTTATTTTCATTTATATGTTATACATATTTAACAGAAAATGGTCCCCAATTCACCCACCTAAGACACATTCTAGCGACGCACAATCTGCTACTATGATTGTGCTTCTCCCACATCTTATTCTCTATTCCCATCATGGTTATCTACATCTCCATCAAATTTGTTGTCAATATCAAAATCATGATCATTGTATGAAGAATGTTAACCAACGCTTGGTTGAAGGATGAAAAAAGTGCTAAAAGCATAATTTTTAACATTATTAATATTTTTTTATTTATCAATTCTTTATTTAATGTTTACAGGACACTTGTTAGTAGTAATCTTATTATAATTATAATTTTCATCATTTCACTTAAGCAACCTAACATCACTTTTCTATCTCCTCTTTTAAATGTTTTCAAATAACAATATGTGCAGGTTTTTAGAGGAGACAAATTGTGTAGGGATGTGTATTAATCTTTGCAAAATGCCATCTCAATCGTTTATAAAGGGCTCTCTGGGGATGCCAGTCAATATGGTCCCGAGTAAGTATATTTCATCAACAACCACTTGCATGACCACACTTTTTACTTTTGAGGCACCAAATTATTTCAATTTTCAACCATTTTGCTGCTGAAGAACTAAATTTTATTTGATATTATTATGGAAAGCCATTTTGATATTATTTGTTTAATTTTTATGACATGAACTACAAAAAAGAAAAAGGTGATGGTGGTGGTGGGGGGGGGGGGTGATGTGTGTGTTTCTGATGTTGGCAAACCTAATGGAAAAGGTCAATGCTGAAGAAAAAATATATAAGATTATCTCTTTTTGGTAAGCCCACCAAAAATTATGAACAAAAGAAATAAATTTCATACTTGAAAGAGTATCATGGCCTCTACTTGCCTCCACTAGATTGTTGGGTTATGCCTCATCATTTCAATGGAGGACCCCATGCATATACCACTCAGGTGCAAAGTTGCAAAATTTACCCATCCAAGCTCAGTTGAGGCTTGAGACAAACAGAACACAGAGAAATGAAATATAAATTGCATGATTTTTTATAAAGAAGTTACACCGAAATAATCACCCTAAGTCAGACTTCATATTTCATAGATAGTATTATTTTTCCATGAATAATATTTAGATTCTCATGAACCCACCAAGTAATTGAAATTGTATCATGATGACAGTGTCAACATTGAATGATACTCATTTCTGTGTATGTGAATTAGTAGGTGAAATCAACAGGACACCATATTGGACTGTATAATAAGGGAAATTCCAATAATTGAAAGACTAAAAAAATATTCCCACTAATATATCCTAATAATGGACGTAACCAATCTGATTAATTATTTTAATTATCTTTTAACATGCAGATTTTGACGATATGAGTTGTGAAATGATATTTGGACAAGATCCTCCAGCATCAACTGATGATCCAGCACTTAAGCAACCATGCTATAAACTATGTAATTACTTCAATGCAAGATTATTCACATTTATTTACAAGCATATTATTATGGAGACCGACATTACCGGCCTTTATTTTTTGGTTTCCCAAGTTACATAATGATTTAGGAAACTTCATAAATGGCAAAACTGCATTGGTTAAAAATTGCAACTTATTTCAGAAAGTAGAATACACTAACATTATATATATGTTCATATATCATGCAGGCAAGACATATAAGAAACATGGACCGAACTGCCTCAATTAATGTACAGGGTATGGACGGAAATACATGAATATAATATTTTTTTCTTCTTAGGGGATATTAACTTTATGCAATTTTCTACAGAAAATTAGGAAAACTTGTGTTCACTATCCAAAATTTGAGTTGAATATGAATTATTAGCGGCAACTTCCTAAATCTCCTTGGTAGTACTGAACGCAAAATTTCCCTCTCTGACTAGGGGTTGAGCAATTTATTCAAATTGATAGTGATCCTTAGAAATTTATTGACTATATAATGAGAATTGGATTGGGAATGACCTCATCAGTGTCCTTTATTTCATGAAACAGCTTCCTTTTTGGGGAAGAAGTGGTTTGACTCAAGATTTGTTGTAGGCTTTGAGATGAGCAAGGATAGAACAAGAATGTCTCCCACGTTTTGTATGGTGCCAAAGCTCACAGCAATCAGCCATAGTTTCTTTCATTAAGAAAACAACTAAGTGCTCTAACGCACTTGGAACCAATCATTTGCAAGTGGATTTCCATCATTATAGTTGTTTGAAACTTCTTTCTTCTACGATTTTAAATATGTAAATTTATGCATAAGTGGCCAACAGCGGCCAAACGTTTATTTGTGTGATAGCCTCTCCACTGTTTAATTTTCTGTCCTTTTCTTATTTTGTAATATTACCGACAAGCTTTTCCTGTATTCTAGAATATTTTTAAATTTAAATAAAATATAACTTGAAAGAAAAATTTATAAAGAATATTAGAATTTTAACATGTAGGCCTAATATTGCTTCAACTTGTGCTTCTTTTATCCTTATTTCTTTTATTGGACTGGTCTTTTTTCTTTCAATTTTTTAATATGATATCGGATATCATATTAAAAATTTAGGATGTCAGTTCTATCTAATATTATGAGAGAAGAATAAATGAGTTTAAACTAAATATTCTTATTATTAAAAAATAAAATTATATATTTTAAGAATGAATAAAAACAATGCAACATATTATTAAAAATAAATATTTTATTTTATTTTATTATATAACAACAAATTAAAGAGATAAAAATTTTAAAATTAAGAAATATACGATGAAAATAAATTGTGAAAATAATTAATTATTAATTTAATATAATGTAAACTTTAAATTTATTAACTCAAGTTTAAAAGCATGGAAAATTTTCAGACCTAACAACAAGATAGATTTAAATTGACTAAATTAAATAATAATATTTTAAAATAATGCAACATTAGATGCTTTAAGTAAAAAATATTAAACATTAGATCGAAAATTGTGCCTTTTAATAATAAATGTTAAATTACAACACATGCATGATGTCAAATATAATTGAAAATTCAACAGTTTAGCAAAGGAGATCTTCTTGGACTGAGAAACCTCATCTATACATCCAGTGGCAGCCCGAGATAAATGAGAGGAACTAATAGAATAAAACGCAGTAAAATATATATAATTGGAGAAGTTTTTAGGTGATGTATGAGAGAACGACGTGGAGAGTACAAAAATTTCTCTACATAATTGACTAGTAACAGCATGAAGATGTCGACACTACTTGAACAGTGAACAGCAATGCGTTGCATCATGGTGATGTAATTGGCATATCTATGGTCTACTAGACATGTGGACAGAGCTTGGGAAGTGCGTTTATCTGCTTACAGTGCAAGGAGAAGACTATCTAACAATACAATAATACTATATTGCCTCCAATTTGCTATTCATTACACTGAAATCAGCAATCATGGAGTAATCCATGCAGTCAATAAAAGCCAAACAAACGTTACAAAACATTTTCTTACTGATTTTTTGGGTTTTTCATGGCAATGGATCAATACATTCATAATTAAAAAGAATAGTTTGAGTCGTAGTTAAAGTAGAACGACGTACGTGACTCTTTTGTATACACACGTTTCCACCGATGATAACACTGCATACAAAATGCTAAGATAATACTAAAACGATTTCTATGACAGTTATTAGTCTTTTGAAATATATTAAATTTAAATTTTAACTTTTATAGAATTATTTTTTATAGTATTAATAGTTTTAAAAAATATTATTTTTAATTCAAAATTATTATTAAATGATGACACGATTAATTTGAATATTATCAGATTAATTTGTGCCACATGTCAATTTTTTTAAAAATGTTAGGATAAAGAAAATCCATATTACTTATCATAACTTTATCTTTTTTCATAAATTTAACATCTTAAAAAACTAAAAAAAAATAAAAGTATAATAATTTTATAAATTAATATGATGCAATAAATGATGCAGAATCTCCAATCACCACTCACTACCCTTCAAAATCTGGGCTTCGGCCGATAATAAGAATGCTTAGTGTGGCCGCCACAATTGAGAAAGGGCCATTCTCCTCTAATTAAAGGGCCGGAATATTAGTGGCCCATATAATTTTCTTACTCTAACTTATGGGTAAGGTTGTGCAAAAAATCGTGATACATGAGCTGAATCCATAACCAAATCTAAACTATTTTTAAAATTCAGATAATTAATACAACTCGATATTTAATATCCATTTAACCTTTTACCAGACTTATTTTACAGTTTATTCATTAAAATCGAAATTTTCTTCTTCTTATCCAAAGCTAAATTTGTTCTCTTTATTCCTTGAGTTTATTATTCTTATTATCTTTATTGCTGCATGTTGAAACACTCTCCATCTCCTTCCATGCTAATGTGACAATATTAAAACACCTTAGATGTCTTATTTTGAGGCAAATATCATTGCAAATAGTAACATAAAAACTTGCAACACAAAAGCAATGAAATTTCAATTACGCATAACACGATAAATGCTTCTACTTTCTTCTCCCTTTCTCTTAAAAAAAGTCAGATTTAAAATTAATTTAAAAATAAATCAGATTTGAAACTATTTTTATTTAAAATTAATTTTAAACCAATTTTTTAAAAAATAGATTTAGATTGTTTTTATGGCAAGTCAATCCATGCCTATCCTACTTGTGCGTTTGATTTTCCTTTCCTAATGGTGAGTGTCTTTAGAACATGTTGAGGCAGGCATCATTCCAAATTAAAGTGATGTTAACATAACATGATTAGGATTGGTAGAATCTGTCAAAGACTAAAGGAACTTTAAAAGCAAAGCAAAACTCCGAATATGATATCATTTGAAAACAATTTTGGGGGGACGGGTGGCAGAGATAGAAAGGTTTGATAAATGACCCACTAAAGCTTAAGGAGGGGATCACAAAGTCCACAATAATATATTTAGTTGAGAAAAGTTTCAGCAGCCAGAGATTTTTTTTAGAGAGAAAACACTTGTTTATTTTGACTAAAAAATATTAAGAAAAAATAATAATTACTTCTCTTCTTCTTCTTCTTCTTTTTTATTCACTTTTCATTATCATTTTATAAAATCAATAAGCAAATAATACTCTTTTTTAATTTTATTCTTACTAATTAATGTTTGTTTGATAAAAATAATAAATGTGAGATAATTACTATTGTAGATATAAATATAGTAGAAAATTAATAATATTTTTTTTTAAAATTTAAAACATTGGTCCTTTTTTTTAATTAATATCTATATATTGACTCGAATCTCCATACCATTTATCTTCGAGGGCATTCTCTGTTAGCTTCTGATTTATATAAAAGCACAAAATAACAATCCTTAATTGGATGCAATAAATGAATGTGATTTTACAAAGACGGTACTCAAAGTAACATCTTATCTCACCTGTAATAAACCAATGATCCATTAAAGAATAGTATACATGGTATAGAATGTCATCAAACATTTCTTCGAGTTCCATACTATTGTGCCTCAAGACAACTTAAGTGCTTCAGATCAGAGTATCCAACATCTACAAGCGTGTGGATCCTGAGGCCCTTCAAACCATCTATCCCATAACAGGTTTACAGGTCCATGTATTCTGTTGTTGGAAAATAATGATTATGAATTATAAATAATAATTTAAATAATGTTATAATTTTAAATAATTTTTTCTAAGGTATGTCCAGTGTCCAATGACACATATTAAAAAACAATAAAATTTTATTAAAAATTGCAACATTTAATTTTATTAATGTAATAAAGTATGTGATAAGTTGTTATTTTCAATAAATAACAAGATACAGAAGAAACATGTAGGTAACACAGCTTACTCAGGGAGCAGCGGATCAGGTCTACTTTCCATGTTTTGCAACAAACTGCGATGTGTCAAGCAAATTTGCTTAAGCCATATAATCTCATCTCTTGTAAGAGAAAGCTACTTAGAATCAAATTAAGCCATATAAATTATATTGTAGCACATGCTAATAAAACCATGCTTTACAACCCACAAGTCAACAATGGATATATCATATACATAAATGAGAAATTCTTACAAACGATTTATATTTGTAAATGGGCCTAGAATAATTCATCTATTTCAGATATCGGATATGTGGCCATTTAAAATCCCCCCACAATAATTTTATCAGAATTTTCTTAATTCTTGGTACCCATAGAAGAGAAAAAACAATAAATAAAAAAAAGTTCAATACTGACTCCATGCAGATGGTTGACACATTTTCTGTTTTCTCGAGCTCCTCCAGCTCTTCCTGCATAGTGTTCACAGAAAGAGAATGGATCAGGAATGAGCAAATACAGTGACAGGGGTAAGATAGAAAGACAAGTGAAGTTTAACAGTAGTTGATTTAGGCGATTAGAAAAGCAAAGCAATATATGGTCAGTTTTCAAAACTTTCCTCTCTTTTAGGCTTTCTTCCTTCTTCTCTCAATTTCGTGAGTTCAACTATGAAATATAACAAAATTTTATTGGGAAAAAATGTATCTATTATATTAATTGATTAAACTCAATTGAAATTAATATTTTCTAAAAAAAGATGGACACGGTTCACAACATACTTCAACTTAAAACAAGTATTTTGGAATGACCTCAATTTTCCATGTATAACGGAATGATAATTGCATTATGCATCAAAATTATTATTTATTCTTTTTTCTCAACTGGGGGGAAGAATTTGCCAACCCAGTAACCAGATAAAAAATGGGGAGCTCCCAAATACCACGTTAAACAAAGACTCAGCATAAATTTAACATCTTTACACAAATACAGTAAGAATGGGAACAAAGGGAATTTATGTATACGATAGAAGAAAGAAAAGAAAGTGAACCTCAAGAAATTTGGAATCTTGGTGGAGACGCTTCAATTCTGCCACAATCCGATGCTTACCTCTTTTATCAGTTGGCAATGGTTGAACAGAAGCCATTATTAGTGAGAGGGAATCATGCAGCAAAATTCCCACTCCTCTTTGAAGATGAGAGATCTAAATTAAACACAGCAACAACAGCAAAACACGACAATAGTAAAGTAACCATTCAAAACACACTTATTCCGTACAACCTTAAAAATCTCCCACTTCCTCAGAAACAAAAGGTCTTCTTCACTCTCAGCTCCACTCCTCTATCCTTTCCTCGGTTTCTGTTTTGTATTATTCAAAATTTGTTTTTCTTGTTCCCCTTCCTTTTAGGATTGCATACTTTTCTTTTTCTGTTTACTCGGGTAATAAATAAGTTGTTGTTGCCTTTTGATTGAGTTTGTAGAAGCTGGATCCAGTGCAGTTTCGGCGTGCATTTAGATAAAAATTTGTATTTTTACTTAAGTAAAAATACATGAACTTAAGCGAAAATATAAAAACACGTAAAACAATTTGATGAAATTGCACTGAATCCAGATCCGAGTTTGTAGGCCTTGTTTGTTTTGCAAAATTAATTTTAACATACAAGTATATTTTAATTATATTTTATGCTTTAAAATGTATTTTATTAAAAATAATTCTACTCAGCATTAAATTAAATGAACACATAAATAATGTTGTATCAATGCGCGTTACGCTTAAAAAAAGTGTATAAGCAACTGGCCTATATGGTATATGGAAAATGTTTTGGGCTGGTTAGGATAGATATTTTTAGATATCTTTTATGTTTTATAGTATATTTTTAAGATGCCTGTATTTTATAATAAATAAATATATAAACAATAACCGTAACATATATTTATTTGGTTAAAAAAAAAAAGAATATTAGTTAAAAGAGAGAATTTCATGTGATTCTCGTGCTAAAGCATTCTTTTTTACTTTCTTATCATTTTTTTAAATCTAAATTTAGATGTTTCAAATAAAACAATGAAATCACGACCCTAAAAAAATGCAATTGTTTTGTCTTTTCTTTTTCTAAGGAAAAAAATATTTTTTTATAAATAATAAACAATTTTAATATAATAAAGGCGGGTATTAAATATCAATAACAGTGTTTATATTTCATACTGATTTGTCTTCTCTTTGTTAAAATCCCTTCTGCATCTTTACCAAAAAAAAAGAAAGGAAAATCTCTTCTGCATTAAGTTTGTTTCATCGTAAGAAAAAAAGTGGCCGACATGTTAGTACGAGTACAGCTAAAAATAATAATTAGGATAAATTTTAAATAAAGGACTATAAATATAATTAGTATTATTTTTTAATTAAAATTAATGCTTATTTTGATGATTGTTGTTTTTTATTTTCATATTTAAATTAATAGTGATTAAATTAATTTTCATAATAAAATTTGATTCAAATAAAATTAATCAGTTAGTTCCTGTACTTTTATTAGATTTTTAATCAAGCCCTTATAGATTAAAAACTTTTAATTAAATTTTTATAATTAAATCCTTTAAACTTGACACCATTAAACTAGGAAGCTCTATAAAGACGGGAAGCGTTTGCTTCCACGGTTAAGATTCAAGACGGACTTGTTGATAGGTTGTGATTTGTGAGTGGTAAGCATTTTTCAAAACCCTTTACGAAAAGTGCTTCATGATAATGAATAAGCGGTTTTTTTTTTTCTATAGAAAAAATAAGATTAAAAAATTTTTAGGAAAAGTGCCTTTTTTGTCCGTCTGTTTGTGCCTTTCGGTTCCCTGAACATCATGTATGTTAAGTGCTTTTCAAGTTGGACCCCGCGTGCATAAATCATAAAATGTCTTCGGTAATCCCAAAAAAATTCTAAACGATGACACAAATGAGTAATAGAAAATTGGGCATTTTTATTTAAATATTGTTAATTAAAAAATAATTTATCAAGTTAGGGTATATCTGAAATAATTTTCTTGTTTGGAGTGAATTTGTCATGTGTACATAATTTTTGCCACAGCGACTGACGAAATAGAAATTAATTTAAAATATTTATTAATTAATTTCGCTATATAAAACGTGAAACAAATAGGATCAAATCACGTGTCAGAAAATGAATAGTTTCGCTAGTTAAAATGCGAAATTGACTTTAAGTTTCACCACCACTAGAACGAAACCAATAGGAAAGAGACATGTGACGGTCACGATGCTGTGTTTTGCCAAAGAAAACATGAAAGTCATAAATTAAATAAAAAAATTTAAAATGAACGGTTGAGGAGCATTTTGGACACGTGAGTATATCATACCCATTTCGTGACTAATTAGTGATAGACATGTGTACGGCTGTTTAGAGACCGTCCCCGTCCTTCTTCCTCTTCTCCCCCAAATATGTTTCTCATTTCTTCTTCTTTGTCGTTAGCATCCTCCTCTCTCTTAAAATTCTCATTGCATTTCTCATTTGCTTTTTGCATTTTTTGTGCTAAAACGTCTCAAATTTTACACGTTTATTAGAGGTAATAATCATTAATTTTATTTTTATATTATTATTTTTTGTTTTATATATTTATTGAAAATCTGATAGTTTGAAAAAATTAAATCTTTAATTTTTTTTAATTTTATGCATGTGGGTGAAGTGTGATAAAAAAATTAGGCTGAATGTTTATTAAGGTTAGTAATAAAATTTTGTATTTTAAAATAATTTTTTATTATTTTGTTACAAGTTTTTAAAATGTAATATTATAAATATATCTGTAATATACATTATTTAAATTTAATTATATATAATATATTTGTATAATATTATTAATCATATTATATTAGTTATATATTTATAAGAATAGGAAAATTACAAAAAAAGTTAAATAAAATAATATAATTCTATAATTATATAATTTTTTTATTTAGTTTCATTGTAATAAAAAAATTTAAACTTACTTATTAATTTAAGTATAATGTAAAAATTGTATAAAGCTCATGTATAAATTGTAATTATTTAAAATAGAAAATAATTTGTATGTAAATAAAAAGATTTATTTCCTTAAAAAACGTAACATTATTTATGTAAATTTTAGTGTAAACATTTTTTTATTTAGTTTAATTGTAATAATTAAGTTTTACACCCATTTATTAATTTGAGTATAATTTAGATATTTAGATTTTGTTATGATACAATTATTGTAGATTTAGAATGAATATATGATAAAAAAAAATTTAAAAAATTAATTAAAGAAATTTTAAAAATGAATTATATGTAAATAGTAAAGTTTTTTTTAATTAAAAAAAGGTAACATTATTTATATAAATTTTAGTATTATTGAATGTAATATAACATTAGTGATATTAAAATATTTTTTAATGTAAATGTAATATAAAGTATGTATTCTAAATTATGTTAGAAAATAATGAATTAGTATTATTGAAATAAAAAATTAGTAGTACTAATATGTTTTTTTTTGTATATATGACATCATCTTTATGACAGAGTAGGGTTATTAATCCTGGCCCAGAAGATCCATCATTTCTTCGATTTCAAAGTATTTATGTTTCTGAACATATTTGGGATGGACGTGATCACCCGATGTTGAGGGTCAGGAAGAGTCAAAATATTCTTGTGGACTAGAGGGTGTTCCTGAAGAAATTGTTTCGCATATGAAATTAGCAGGGTTTATTGAAGTGACTAACTTGTCCCAGTTTTCCATAGACGTGGGGTTGATTACTGCATTAGTGGAGAGGTGGAGGCCTTAGACACATACATTTCACATGCCCCCTGGAGAGTGTATTATTATTCTTCGGGATGTTACTATCCTCTTAGGATGACGCATAGATGGGAGACCAGTTATAGCACCCACTGGAGGTGATTGGGCGCAGATTGTGGAAGACAGCCTAGGTATTAGACTAGGACCTAAGCATTTTGTAGGAAGTTTTTTGAAAATGAGCTGGTTGGACGAGCACTTCAGTCATATTGCTATGCATAATCACAGTCAGCTACAGATAACTCGATTAGTTAGGGCATAAATATTGAGGCTCATTGGAGGGTTCATGCTTCCTGATCACTCTAGCAGTAGGGTATCTGGGAGGTATTTGCCTTTACTTGAAGATTTTGAGGTGACCGGTCAATATAGTTGGAGTTCTGCAGTTCTAGGTTATTTGTACTGAGAGTTATGCATGGCTACCAACATTGACCGTGTTGCTATTGGAGGACTTGCTACGTTGATTGTGATGTGGGCTTGGAATAGATTTCCTCAAATAGCACCTAGCAATCCCCCCATACACGTCTCTATCTTCCATATGGTGTCAGGTAAGTTTTTATTATTATTGTTATTGTCTGTCTATGCATATATTATATAAAATGTTATTTATCGAAACCCTAATATTTTTGTTAAACATAACTTGCAGATGAGTATCAGAAGGAACAAGAAGGAAAAGAAAGATGTACAGTTCTATAGATATATCTTTGATCGTCGAGCACGTGATGAGGTAATAAAGCTTACTTATTTGCTAAAATAGTTGTTTAAATTGACATTACAAAACCTTACATCAATGTGGCTAAGCATTCAATTAAGTGTAACATAAATATTATTATGGAAAAAAACCATTATATACCTAATTTGATGAGGTCTTTATTCAATGCTATATTTTTAAATCGGTGATTAAAGTTGCTGGCAATATGACGAATGCAATATACATGATATGCATTTGAAAGTTGCCACCCAATGTGTGGACTTGGGACAGCTCCTTTTATACTTTGATGCCTATTTGATATCAAACAAATCTCTGACTTATCAGTAACATGCAAATAAATCAATGCCAAAAACCATTCCCATGCTAACAAGGTTTCTCCTTCAACAATTGCAAAAGTTATTGGAAGTACACAATTGTTTCCATCTTGAGTTATTGCAATGAGCAATGTATGATGATACTTACCATATAAGAACGTCCTATCCACTTGTAATATAGGTTTGCAGAATTTAAAAACTTCTTGACATTGTTTAAATGACTAGAATACCCGTTCAAATACTCTAAATCTGTTATCTACTTGATGACTAGTCACATACTCTTTCGTTTCAATTTTATAAACAGATCCAGGAGCATGTAATTGCATGTATTTTAACCAATTTGGCAAGGCAGCATATGATTCATCCCAGTCATCAAATACTTTTACAATGGCTTTTTGCTTCGCCTTCCAAGCTTTTTTATATGAAATTTTGTATCTAAATTGAGAACAAATTTGCTCTTGAATCAATGAAATTTGTATCAACAGTTCTTCATTCACCATTCCTACATAAAATTCAATTGGTCTAGTTAATAACAATGTAATTGTAAAAAAATTAAAAAACATATACAAAAATTTGTCTTACCAAGGATGCATGAACAAATTAAATCAGAATCTAGCTTTTGATGATCTTGAGAAATGCTAAGATTAACACATGTATGTGAACCACCCCACCTCGTTATTTTTCACTTGGACAAATTCTTCACCAATGATGCCCTCACTCTCTATGGACAACTAGATGTATGGTTTAAGCATTTAACATACAAACATGTCAGTTTTGACTTAGCCACAAAATAACTTTGATGAATCTTCATTGCGTAATGTTTTAATGCATTTTTCACTTCTTCTTTACTTTCAAATAATAACCCAACGAATAATGGATCTCCTTCAACCCATGAATTGACTTCTTCACATTGTTGTTCATTCATTTCTTCATCAGGATATTCCCAATTAATATACTTATATTATGGAGTAACTAAGAATTACAGTATCTCCTACATTATTTTTTGCAAAATTCTTTACCATTAATATTTACCAATAACACTAAAAATAATTTTTTTTACAATATTTCACATTACCTCCTAAATTCTCGTTTATTTGTATATTTAAGTTAGAATGAAACCCCCCTTCAACATCAGTAGAAGAAGAACTGTTTAAAGAAATTTGTGCTACATCATATCCATCAGTGTAACTATCATAATCTGATTCTTCATTATCTTTATCAACATCATTTCTAACTCTTTTATAGCAAAAAAATATAACTTTTAATACAAACAATTACATATATTAATAATAAAATATTACAACATAATAAATTTTACCTTCATTAGGATCACGACTCACAAAAGTATTATCATTTTATTGTGAAATTGATAAATTTAAATTCATCATCTGCAATGGCATTGATGAACTTTCACCAACAACAATATATACATACAACTCAATAACATTTCTATCAGATTACTGTTGAAATGCACTTATCATGCAATCAATATTTTCATCATCACATATATCCAAAGCTGTATACTGTCTAATATTTTCATCAATCAAAAAACGAGAAATTAATCTAGATATTACTTGATTATGATTAAGATTAAGTTTCAAACGAATTTTTCTTTTCAACGCTTCAAAACTTATTCCTTACTTTATCTGAATCACTTTCTTACTTTCATCAAAGCTCACTTCTTCATTTCTTTCATATATTCTACCATTCTAATATATAATAATAATAATCCCACTCATCCTGCATTTTTATAAATAAACTTTATTTAACATTTAATTTTAAACAAATTATAAATAATTTGATACTCCCATTTGTTAACTAAACAATAACAAATATCATAATTAGAAAATTTAACAACAACAAATATATAATTAAATTTTAGAATAAAAATATAAATAAAAATTTCAAATTTATTAAATAAAACTAACTTGAATTTTTTTTGGCTTCCTCTTCTTCGAAGATAAATGAGTCTCGGTGAAGCACACAACCGTATATATAAATCAGGTTTCGCCAAATCATTTGCGGATTTGGTAAGTAGAAAAAAATTTTGCCACCAAAAGTGCAAAATTCCCCCCTCTGTTTTTCTAATTTTATGATGAAATTATCAAATAATTTTGCCATTACTATTGCAAAAATATTTCTAGATTTTGACACGTGGTGCCCCCTGTTTTGCTAATCTTGTGGCGAAAATGACAAAGAATTTCTACATTGGTTTTGCTAATTATACCCCAGATATGAAACCTGGTAGGGCTCGCTGTTTCGTTAAAATTGTGGCAAAAATATAAAATAATTTTGCCATTACTTTTACGAAATTTACCACAGCATGACATGTGTCGCTTTTTAATTAATTTTGCTATTCTGTTGGTGAAATTTATTAAAAAAATTTAATTTTGCCAGCACTTTTTGCGAAACGTTTTTGTCACGTTGGCACCTCCACCCTAGACAGGTAATTTGTTTCAAATATACCCTAATTTGATAAATCGTTTTTTAATTAACAATATTTAAATAAAAATGCCTGAAAATTGAGATTTGTAGTCTGTAAAGTCCAAAATATCTTTGTTTTGAGAGCATTTAAGGTACAAAAAAGCTACTTAGGAAAGCTGTGTTCTAGCAGACATAATGAGTACATAAAGGGTTAATCTTGACAAATTACTATCTAGCAGGACACCCTGGTCGTGCAACTATGATCACAGAGGAAAGAAATTCATAGTTCAGGGCAGGTTCTTTTCGTGCTTTCGATTTCTTGCTTCTCTCTCAAACAGCCACAAGTTAACAAAATTAAGACTTAAGAGCATGTTTGAGTATAGCTTTTTTAGGTGTGTGTAAACAAATAACCGTTTTTTTCTAAGATGATAAAACTTTCTATTGAAAGTTTTTTCTAGGTTGATCCAGACATCCACTTAGACTTGTAATTTATTTTTGGGTTTACCAGGAAATAGAACCTATGCATAATGTAAGTTAAAGTGCTCTCTTTTTTAAATTAAAATCTAGTATGAACTAAGTTGAATAATTCGATCAAAATAAAATTAAGATTCCATGCAAATTCGCCGATTGTCTAACGAAACTTTTGGTAATTTATCTTTGCAAATCACCTGTAAGTTGTTGTTGTTTGTTGTTATCTGTGCAAATCAATTGTACTACGAAGCAACTCAAGGATATTTTTGTGCCTGGAAATTGTTTCCTTTACTTTCAATCAATAAGGAAGATCATGAATTTGGTTCTAATTAGGGGGGACAAGAGGCTGCTAGTAATAAAAACCAGGTTCCAGTTATCTTACTCTCTAGCAAAAATGCAAACCATAAACTTGTGGCACTATTAGCCTGAAGGAAGGGCTTGTACCTGATGTAATTTTAATTATCTCCGTCATTTCAACTTTTGAACCTGTTAAATATTATAAAGTTTGTAGACTACTTGTTAAACATTGACAATTGGTTTGACAAAAACGACAGTGGGGCCTACCCTAAGAATCATATTATAGCTTTATGTAAATTGGTATAAGGACTGTCAAGCAATTTTTGAAACTAGCTTAACCTGTTAGGGAAGGCCATTTTTCTTCAGTACATTATACAAAAATTCAGGCTTGTAATGTTCACCCAATAATTCACCATGTTTAGAGAGAAAAAAGAAAGTAATTTTTTTAGTTTGAAAAAAATATTTTATCATTTACATTTTTCACAATAAATGAAATAAAATGAGATATAATCAGGTAAACTTTTAATCATTTCCATTCATTTTCAAAATTATTTTATGACTACCTGAATTTCTCCCTTCCCATTTTTCTCCGAATCGCTCATTCCAAGCGGTTGCCGAAGACAGGATAAGTAGATATAATTTGCGTCAGCTTGAGGCATCCGTAATAACTCAGATATCAAGACCAAGAAATTTAATCTGAGTAGACGAAAAAAATTAATGATTGTGAGGAGAAATTAATTGGGCACTGATTAGCAAAGGGATTAGTATCGCCGGCCATCTAACTTTAGAACAAAATAAATTCAAAGGGATTCGGACTTGTGGGAGAATAATGATAGAAGTGGTCACGCAAGGATAATTGGCATTCTACCTGATCCAATAGATTTGAATAAAATAAAAATGATTGATAATAAGTGATTTCCCTCCTTAGCTTGAAAAACCTACAATTTCAATACTGTTACTCTTGTATAGAATATAGCTCACACGATGATTGGTATGTGGTACTTTGAAGCCGAGAATGTTCTAGCTTTTCTTTAATTTGAGCAGGAATGATGAATTTCAATGTAAAAATGCTGTTAACAAAAAAAAAATGTATTACGAAAAATAATAGAGACAAAACACATCAGATCCAATTTAAGGCGCATCATTCAGGTTTTGGCACCAATAACCTCTTTGTTGAGCTAACATGATAGAATGCTCGTTTTTAAGCTAATGCACAATATTTAACTGGCTCCGAATTCGGGATCAACATAGGAACTCCACAAAGGATATATGGATGCCCACCATAACTCCTGTTGAGACTCGTCATAGAAGGCATAGCAATTTCAGCTTCAATTGAAAATTGAGTCTTGCTTCCAGTCATCGTAATACCTACCTGGGCCCAGAATCAGGACTAGCATCTCCATAAGAAACTAAACCCTTTTGTCCAGATGAAGAGCTAGATCTAGACCTGCTTCGAGATACAGAAGTCCTTTTATCATATCGCTTTGGTGGGGTGGCATCAGGGGATCTGGAGCGAGAAGAGCCATTGCTCCTAGAATGGGACTTTGACCTACCCCTGTCTGCCGATCGTTGATCACTTCGGGGACCAAGTCGGGATTTTAATCTGTCACTAATGGGAGGCCGCCTGTCTTCTGGGCTAAGACTGCGTATTGGACTCCGGCTACGGCCACGGTCCCTAATACGGCCACGCACTGGACTGCGGGAGATGCTCCTACTCCGACTTCTTCTGCCTTGGTATCTAAACATACAAGGATAAGAAATTAAGCTCGCATGTGTATTTTCTTTTCAATTTTTGGTACTAAAAAATTTCTGCGAAACAAACACAATGTGGTATGTGTATTAATTAGGGTTCATTTGCTTTAGTTTATTTTAAATTTCTTTTTTGAAGAAAAGGTGTTTTCTCAATTAAAAGAAATGTACTATATTACAGAATCACTTAACATAAACCTTAGACAAATGGCCCCTTAATTGTATTAGAATGAAAATTACAAAGTAAAATGAGACAATGGCAAAGGTAACTAAAAGCGCACAAAAAAAATGCAGTTTCAATTCAAAGGAAATTTATTTACACGAAATATTTATCATGCCACAGCATGTGGACTGACTTGAGCAAATATCAAGTTATATAGAATTAAGGAAATGCTCAATTTATGCATGGAAGGAATTATTAGGAAGATCTAACCACATAACAGATTCAAACAAATGAGGGAGGACAAACCTTGGACGGTTCCTGCCCGCTGGTGGGCTTCGGTAACGTCTGGGTGGTGAGCGTTCAGAATAACTTCTATAGCTAGTGTTTCTTCAAACACACGTGTAACAAGTCAAAACAATATCCAACAATTCTTTAGATATTCCAGTTTAACAAAATCATGTAGACAATTAGCATACCTGTCAAAGTTTCTTCTTATATTTCTATCACCATAGCGATATGTATGAGGAGATCGCTCTGGAGATGGAGTTCGATATCTGCGTGCAAATGCATAGCGCTCAGTAAAGCCACGGCCCTTTTTAATACGCTTAGGCATGCCATTTGGTGAAGGACTCTTTGAAAATCGCTGACTATGTTTGGGGGCAGCAGGTTCAGATGCCTTTTGACCAGGACTAGCCAACAACAAAGCACGTCCATGGTTTAGCCCCGTAGAATCCCTAGTTGGACTCCTAGCAGGACTTCTCCCAGGACTTCCACCTCTGGATAAATCAGATACCACACAAACTTAGCACAAGTTGAGATGTAATCAAATCCCAGGATGTTGCTTAGGAATCAAAATTTATATCATAAGATAATAAATGGATGCTAAGAAAGCAAGAGGGAAAACCTATTGTGATTTGAATCATCGGAATTAGCATGTTGCTTAGCAGGTTTACTAAATTCAGCTCGAGTATCATGCCCATTATTCAGAAATGCTCCATTTTCTGGAGATAATTCACCTTCTTCATGTGATTGCTTGTCCACAGTTCTTCTAACCTTGGGATCCTCCAACTTTTGTTCTGGAATAGCCGGACTTCGTTGAGGAAGGCTAGAAGATTGCTTTCCTGCATCTGTAGCATCAGCAAGTATTAACTTGGACAGCAATATCAATATAACCATATTCACAAATATACTCCTACTCCCCCACATACCACATTAAGAGTATTTGTTGACAAAGAGGGAGCGATGAGAGGGTGCAGGACATATCATAAGAATTATATTAACAGCATACCTAGATTTCTTTGTGCTTTATAGTCAACACGTGTTTTACGACCAGAGGCACGGCGTTCAATTTTTTCATCACCAGAACTACTATCACTATAACTATCACTTTCTGTATCACTTGAATCATCTGAACTCCTGAAAAAAAGGAAAGTAACTCAATTAAAGCAGGACCAAGCAAATTCTTACAGAGGAAGGAAGTATTACAGAAAATTACAGGGGAAAAAAAACCAAGTTAAAGGTAGGGTATAATCAGACCGTCTGGACTTGTGTCTTGGTCTTCTACTTTTACTGTGCTGGCTTCTCCTTCTCAGCTTTCGTCCATTTTTCCTCTTCTTCTCATGCTTGTGCCTATTCCTCCTACTCTTCTGGTGTTTCCCATAACCAGAGGAACTGGAATCAGAATATGATGAATCTGATTCAGAATCCGAATCTGAATCTGATTCAGAATCTGAGGAGTAACTATCACTACCATTATCACTATCAGATGATGAGTATCTCCTCCTTCTCTTCCTTGAGTCTTTGGAAGATTTTTTTCTTTTCCCCCTTGATTTTTTGTCAGAACTATCATCAGAAGTTAGGGATTTCCTTGACTTTCTCTTTTTCCCTAAAATGAGAGCAGTTCATATACATTACAAGCAATTACATTTAGCAACATGAAGATTACAATATATTCATCAATATCTATCTGAATCATAAGTACCTTTCTCCTTCTCAACAGTATGCTGAACTTTTGTTTCAGAGACTTCACCACAATCAATAATTTTAACTGGCTGGGTGGGTTTCCCATCAGAAGTTCCCACCTGCTCAATTTTCTTCAGAATGTCGATTCCCTTGATAACTTTTCCAAAAACAACATGTTTCCTGCAACATTGGGTGAAACACTATGATAAAAAACCCACCACCTTAACAAAGAAAATGCAGATTGCATGGTCACAATGGTGTGCAATATGATTGAAGCACATCAAATTAGTTGAACTAAAACATTCAAAGCTTGTATACCCATCAAGATGAGGTTGGCGCTTGAATGTAATAAAGAACTGAGATCCATTTGTGTTAGGACCACTATTAGCCATTGAAAGAACGCCAGGTCCATCATGTGTTAGTTTGAAATTTTCATCTGCAAATAAGGAGTAGTTGCACATAAAGTCAAATGATTAATCATGAAAGCAGTCAACTATGTGTAAGTAAACTTTGTGTCTTTTTTCTTACATGTAAAATATATAAAACCCCTTCCCTCATAAAATGTAAACTTACCTGCAAACTTTCCTCCATAAATACTTTCCCCGCCTGTGCCTGTAAAACAGTCAGAGATTGTTCCTTAGAGAAGTCAAAAAAGGAACTACAGATCAAATTGAGAACCAACAGAAACAAAAACACATACCATTGCCCCTTGAAAAATCACCACCCTGTTGGGACACGAACAAAAATTGGTGAATTATTGTAAATTGAAACAAATGAATTATATAAAACACTGAATATGTTTTACAGAAATAGAGCAAAAGAAATGGCATACTCCAAAAATTCTGTCAATACCCTCACTACTGCAAAACTTTACAAACAGATATTAATATTTTAAGTGTGCAACTGGGTAATTGCCCACCTAGACATAGTACTCACATGCAAGATAAAAAATTCCCTCCTACATAATTACTAATTAGCTTATGACTTGGAAGGTCATGAGTTCAAATCTTGCACATTTGTGGGTAAGGCTGTACACATCTACCCTTCCTCAAACCCCACAAGGTGGGATCACTGGGTCACCCTTTATGACAATCATGAATAGAATAACCATGAAGGGAAACTTACTTGAGCCATAAAACCTTTAATTATACGATGAAAGCATGTTCCTTTATAATGCAAAGGTTTCCTAGTCGATTCTCCAATGCCCTTCTCACCTACAAACAATTACCGTAAAAGCACAGTGTGAAGTTTAAAGAATCAATGACTAGGAAAGCATACCATCACTTCAAGAGTCACATTTAATAGTTTTTAAGCAAAAAAAATCAGCATTATTTACAGAATATACATCATTTAACACTTTTAGGGTAGAAGATATTCACATGAACTGCATGTAAACTGTATTGCCATAGGTGAATTACATACGACTAGTATCTCATTTACACAAACCGTCTAAAATATTATATTTAACTTGATAAAGAAACAACAAAAACAAGATCTATGAAGGTATTATGTATAAAGATTTTGACACAGCATTGGTTCTTTCACCCCCAACTTTTCCGCAGATTAAACTTAAAATGAGCAGGATTATTTCTTCAACATTAATGTGGAACAGTGAACTTGGGAAATATATAAAATACCAAAACCAGTGTAAAGCCTATATTTCATTTTCTTTTCTAATTCTCAATCAAGGATTACCCTGTACAATATAAACCATTTCAGATGAATTAGGAATGTGTGCTTCACGTCAGTCAAATGACAAAAGGACTATAAATTGAATTCGAGGGACAATAATTCAACCAAAAAACGTATCTCATGTTCACATAAATATTTAAGTTTGAGTATTCTCTCCCACTTCCCACATATCCATAAGTTGAGCAAGACAGGGTAATTGATCCACGAGGCAGACAACCTCCTAACCCTCAATAAACCTAGTCTCTACCTTACTGATGAACTAAATATTCTTGGTCAACACGAAGCTCCACAGTCTCACATTACCCAATACACATAGTAAGTGCATGCTCCCCAAGCAACAACCAAACTATTAAAAAATGAGAATTATGGTAGCAGACAGTTATTTGAACAATCTAAAGTACCTGTACAAAGTGCCCGAAAATTTTCTGCTGTTTTAGGAACTATACTGGCAAAAAGCTGCACCATTTCAAAAGAGCACATTCATACCAACATAGGATGCTGAGGAAAACTTCAAATATCATTTCAAAACTAAATCAGAATTTTTCTTCTTTGCTTCTTACCTGAATAAAAATCCTTTCCACAGGGTCCCCATCAATTGAGACATCTAAAAATATACGAGGATCCTTTTCCAGACCCATCACTTCGCTCAGAAGAAAGTTCAGATGTAAATTAGAGTAAGAAAACAATCAAGAATCAGCAGCAACGTTCCAAGGCGAGTCACGAAGCTCATTCCATACCAGTGTTCCTCTATAAAAACAGAGAGCCATTGTCGTGCATCAAACGCAAGGAATTATCAGAACAGTTTCAAGTGTATAAACACAAAGTAGAAACTGTTGTCCCAATAACCAATTGTTTACTATCATTACTACATATCCAGCAAAATCACTCCACTATGATACACGGAGCTAGAGAGCTTCCCAATATCAGTTTTGGCAGATGCAATGCTACAAAACCCTAAACCCTAAGTATCCATTCAATGTGTAATTAAACTCAAGTTCCTGGCAATGCAATATACAAAAACCTAAATAAAAAAGACAGAGATAGAGACCGAGAATGTGTGAGAGAGAGAGAGAGAGAGAATCTCACCATGCAGTTATGAATGGAGGCGACAGCTCTGCCACACTAACAATAACGAAGGATGGTATACTTCGAGCGCTTGGGAGAAAGTTAGAGGAAGCACAATCTTCTTGGGCTAAGTCAAACAACGTTTGGGCTGTCCACACCGGCCCAATTTGTCTGCTCTCTATTCTGTATCTTTCTCTCTCTCTCTTATCCTGTTTGTCTTCGGGCCAATAAAAAGGCTGTGGCTCTCGTGCATCTTCAGGGAGATGCAATCCAAATATTAATGGCTGAAACTAATGCCAAAATTAAATTTCACACGAAATATAGTATAATTTTGGTCTTATTTGGTTATTGATTAATGAATTAATAAATTATATAAAATAGTAATTTTAACCTTTAAGATTCAAGATAAACAACTAAAAATAACTATTTAATAAATATTATATATATATATATATATTCTTTTAATAAAAGCATAATTATTTATAGATGTTTAAATTCAACTTGAGTAACAAAATCAAAAATAATAAATTTTTATTAGAAATCATGTTAAAATACATTAAAAAACACAAAAATAGAAATTTTTAATATTTTGAATAGAATGTTTTTATTTTTAATTATTTAACTATTTATCCTAGCATTTTCTATAATTTTATCCCATTATTCATCGCAAAGTAGAATAACTATGTACCTTTCATATTAACTAGTGCATTTTTTCTTCATTGTACAGTTATTATTAAATTCATATAAAATTTGAAATACATCTACAAATATTTTTAAATTTAAGCAATTTAAAATAAATAAATTTTTAATTATTAATCTTATTGTGTTAAATAAAACTAAGTTTAAGAAATATTTTTTTAAAATTAAAAAAGTAATTTAAATTTTTTAAAAGAGAAAGGGAACTAATACCTACATTCTAATTTTTTTAGGTTAATGATATGGACTAATCTATAACAATTTTAGGGAGAAATTTCAAGCACAATAACTTTTATTAAAGTTTTCATTTAAAATTATTTTAAACGTGTGTATTGACCAGAATAAAAGATCTACATAACATATCTAACACAAGTAGCATTGAATTAAAATTTTATTAACTACTCCTATACTTAATAGACAGATAATAATAAATCACTTAATTTATTACAAACTAAATCTTAATAATTTTTTTATGTTTTTTTATAAGGACGGGAATTTAAAAAAAATGAAAATATTTTATAAAAAATGTTTTTAAATATAAAATTTTTATAAGGACGAAAAGCTTTTTCGTTTATTATTGTTAATGACCACAAGCTTGTTTAATTTAATATAATAACAACTAAGAGTAATTACAAGGCGTTGTTATGGAAATTAGGGAGCCGAATCAAGCTTAACAAATTCATTTGACATTCAACACGCTTAGTACAGTTTACATTAAAAGCTAATAATAATCAGAATTTTCAATATAGAATAATTAGAATTTGTTAACTTCATTACGAGGCTACCGCGTGCACAGTTCCTTCCTTGGCCACTTTTTCTATGTTGTCCATTAACATTTGCTTGGAAAAAAACCAGTCGCGTTTTCATTGACTTTGAGAATGAATGATTGGGACCAAATGTAAGGTCTGAGTTGAAAATTCTCGTAATTAATAGATGTGACGCAATTTTGGAACCGTTCTTGTTTTGAATTGGGTTTTTCTCCCTCGATCGTCTTTGACTATTTGAACAAAGATTGGGCAAATATCACATGACACATCTATATAAGCGAAATGAAGCCAGCTAAAATGAATATTGTACTGTAACACATTGCTCATTGCCTCATCAATTTTTCTCTTTCACCGCTTCATTGGGCAACAAGCAATTTTCAGAAAATTTCTGCTACCCATTTCATTTGACAGAGCATAACACCAAATGGCAAATACATTCCCAGAATATCAAATTGCTGAATTTCAGGAAGCTTTTTGCCTCATCGACAAGGACTCTGATGGTGAGTGTGTTTTGGCTCCTTCATTTTTTTCACTTTCATTTTACGTAAAAAAGTGTTTTTTAAACTGGTTTTTGACTTGTTGGTGATGTCTAGGATTCATTACTGTGGACGAAATAGCAACTATTATCCGATCATTAGATGGGAATCCAACTAAAGAAGAAATCCAAAATATGATTAGTGAAGTCGACATTGATGGGAATGGGAGTATAGATTTTGAAGAGTTCTTGAATATTATGGCTTTAAAAATGAAGGTAAGATACATAACTGATCATAGCATACAGCAGATAGTTAAAGGTTTTAGCTGTTTGATATTAATAATATTATTGTAAAAATTGATAGGAAAATCTAGCTGAGGAACTGAAAGAAGCATTCAAAGTATTTGACAGAGATCAAAATGGATACATATCAGCCGTTGAGGTAAACACGTTGTTTAGATTAATCGTCATTTCTGTACTTTTCAGTTTACATGTATTGGAATTCTTGCATAGGAAAAACCTTGTTTTGTTTCAGTCAATTGCCTGTGTGAAGAGCATTGTAATTTTCCATGGCCCATTAGTTGAACGATTATATTTATGATTGAATACTTGTAATCTTATAAGCAAGTGATTGAATTAGAATTATTTGATAAATTAACTTAAAAATATTAAATGACTAAAGATGTGTTTGGATAATCAATTTATTTAAACATTTATTCAATACTTTTTTATTAAAAATAAATTAATTCTTAATTTCAGTCTTCCATTCAATCATTTATTACAAAGAGTTGCTTTTTGTTGTTTTACAGCTAAGACAAGTGATGATGAATTTGGGGGAAAGGATAACAGATGAAGAGGCTGAACAAATGATCAGAGAAGCAGATTTGGATGGGGATGGTCAAGTTAGCTATGAAGAATTTACAAGGATAATGATTTTGAAATGATATCATTTGTTGATAAAAATAATTATATCATTTGAAACCAGACAAAATGGGGGCATTAACATTTGCTGTAATTACTTGTATTTCTTTGTATAACGAATGTTGTTAATAAGTTAATTTCTTATACAAACTTGGCAACGGCCCTCTATGATTTAGCCATTTTAATTAAATTAAAATCATTATTTTAAACTTAAAGTGGAGCTTTACGCAGACACATTTTTGTTTTGTTTTTCGCCTTATTAAAATGTTATTCAATACGATTTAATGGTTCAAATTTGGCAAATTAAATTTGCTTGATGAAGTACTTGCACATTATTATCATGGAGAGAAAAGATAAAATATTAAAGTATATTTTAATTCCTATGATTTTTTGTATTCAATTGTAATTAGTTGAGCAGAAAAATGCATGTTACTTTGACAATTGATTGTTAGATTGATAATTAATTATATAAAAAATGTTATGTTTGAATATGTTAGGTAAAATATTATTATAAAATAATTTGTTATGTTTCAATTAATAAAATAATGTTTTTATAATAAAATTTAAAAAATACATAAAATTATATACAATAGTTAATTTTATATTTTGAATAATTAATTTCAACAGATAAAAAAATAAAAATTAATTAAAAAAACAAGTTAATAACTTTTAGTCACAAATTTTAAAAATTTAGTTATCTTAAATAATTATTTTTATAAAAAAATCAAAGTTATAAAGTAATTTTTAAAATTTCATCAAACAAAAATAAATAATATTTTTAAGTTTTTTAATATAATGCACTAAAGTAATCTAATCCACACACTCTAAAACCATGTACTAGTTAATTTTAATTTTTTTTTAAGTGAATAAATCACTCGTGGTTAATGTTCTATCTTTTTCTTTATTAGATTTAAACCCTCAATGTTTTAAAACGATGAAAAAATCTGCACTTAAGGGTAACGGCAGATGACACATGTATTAGATTGAGTTTGAATTTTTAAACGGGGCATTAACATGTATAGTAAACAAATTTTATAGTACTTATTAATTAAACGGATAAATTTTGGGTAGTGAAATACTTATGCTCATAAGTATTTATTTATGTATGAAATTATAAAATTATTCATTATATATAAATAAAAATTAACTTAACTCTAATCTTAGTAATTTTAATTGTACTTATAGTATTACGTTTAATTTCTAATTTAGTGTTACGTGAATAGTTTAGATATTTTTTTTTTATAATTTTATGTTTTTAACAAAAAAGCATAAAAACTCGCAAGTATCTATTAAACTAACATATATCAGTTATGCAAAATATCCATGTAAATGCTGAGGTAGGTGCCGGCGAATTTTTATTCATAGAGTATGCGATGAATATGTACTGTAAACACAAATTATATATAAATTTAAAATATTAATATATATCATATTTAAATAAACAGTAATATTCACTTGTTTGTTGTAGATATAATGGATTGTATCAAGTTTAATCATTATGAAATGTGAAATTTTGTGTATGAGAAGCTAAATATGAGCCACGAAAAGAAGTCTTCTTTATATTTAATTATAATCTTCTGATTTTAAGTTTTTAATGGTACAAACTTATAGAGTAATAGAATATATTTTTAAAATAATAAAAAAGGTTTAGTTAGAGTATTTATTAACCATAAATAACTCTAACCATAGGCCTAAATGTCAAACACACATTACATTTTACATAAATTAGTATTAAGTGTTCAAAATTTACAAGTAATTAATTACATTGTTAGTAGGTGTAACATTCTTTTTTTATTTAAATAATTTTCTTTTTTAAATATACAAATATCAAAACAATGTAATTAAAGTCAATGAAAAATAAATAATTTAAAAATAATTTTCATGTATATAAGAATCTGAAACAATGAAAATTATATATTTATATTATCATAAAAATAAATTTCTAACCTTATCCACATAAATAAGTCAATCTTCTTTATTTGAAAATGTTTGTAAGAATGAACATACCTCGATCCACTACATCTTTTATATTTGTAAAAAAAGTCCTCTACCTTACTCCTTCTTGTAACTCCTCTCCCTTAATCATAACCTTTCCTGTTCCCTTGCCTCACACCCCTAATCACATTCCTTCCCCCTCTCCCACCCTATTCTCCATTTCTTTCTCCCAACCCCACCTCACTCCCTTACCCCCAACCCCACACTTAAGCTTTGATATGAATTTTCTGTTAATTGTTATGTCTGCATGTTTATATGTCTCTAGATTTTGATTGACGAAAAATAGTAAAAGAAGTTTGTACAAGTGATTTGAGAATAGTTGGTATTATAAAGTTTAGTATATGTGAGAATGTAGAGTGAGAAAGAGGAAGGAGAAAGGGAAGGGGAGGGGTGTGAGTGAGTCAAGGGCTTAAAAAGTGAGGCACTAGAAGGGGAGGGAAAAGGATTTTAGTTTAAGAACTTTTTTTCAAATATTAAAAATATGTTTAAAGACTTATTTATAAATATTAATCTTAAATAATATAATATTATAAAATTAAATGACATATCATGTCATGTGAGATTCGTGAGTTAACTTTCCATCAACCAGCATATTTAACAAAAGAAAGTTAATAGTATGGATTAAATCCTAACTTCTTAAGTTTTCAGTGACTAAATCCTAAAAAAATATTATAAGAACTTATTACAAAATATTTAATATTTACAGAGACAAAAAATATTTAATATATAATTATATTTTTAATCCCATAAAAGTAGTCACTTCTGAATTTAGAACTTAAAAAATGTTAGAATCTAATATTTCATATTTTCAAAATATTTAGAATTAGTTTTTGTCATCTATCATCAATTATCATTAATAAGTGATGAGCTGAATAATAAAAGTATAATTCATCATTAGCATGTAATTATTTTTTATGTTTTTTTTTCTAAAATTAATGTTCAAGTCCTTAAACAAATATTTATATTAATTTAAAGAATTAATGATTAATCCAAAATATTTTTTGGACTTTATTAGCTTGGTTATTTTTTTGTATTGCTGCTGGTGGCCTCGATCCTGTATGATGGAACAATCAAAGGTTAGGGATTCAAATCTCCTCGTAGCAAAAAAATAGACATCCAGTTTCATTTTCGTTCAAATGATAAAATTGCTTAAGCAAATGTCTCTTTCCAACTCAGTTCCTAACTCTTCTCTCTTAAGCCGTCCCTCCCATTCCCAACTCTCCAGCTCCCTCCTTCTCAGCCTATCCCTTCCCTCCCATGCCCCACTCCTAGCCCCATCCCTCACCTGCCCCCACCTTTGGCCTCACAATCTCCTTTCCCAACTTCTAAGGAAGCTATAAAAGATAATACATGCACATGCATTTCTACGTGCAATTTTCTTCATTTGTAGAAGGATTCATAGTGGGAGGAAGGGGGCTGAGATTGTGGGAAGAGTGAGAGGGAGGTGAGGGAGGGGAGCTGGGAGTGGGAAGCAGGAGGGGGACTAAAAAGGAAGAGTAGGAGGGAAGGGAGAGGCTGAGAGGAGAGGCTCCACCCACCCAATTCAAACTGGTCGACTATGTTTAAAACTCTATTTAATTAGAATATAGGAAGGATATCTGACTTCTTAGAAGGAAATGAGCTACCTAAACCTTTAGGTGAGTTTTTTTTTTTTTTTTTTTGAAAAAGCTATGCAATGAGGTGAAGAAAAGAATTTGGAATTGGTATGAGATTGAGAATGAAGGGACTTGGCTAGTGATAGCCACGAGTGGAACGCTATCAAGCATAGCATCAGCAAGGCCACTGATGTGGTGGCATTGGAGTTGGGAGTGGTGGTGCAGATGCTAGAGAGGCTAGAGGACCGAGCATAACCCTTGGTGGCAAAGATGCTTACTTGCTTGTGGTGGGGGAGGATGGTGGAGGAGAGCGTATGAAGGCTTTGTAAGAGAAAGAGAAAGAGGAATGAATGTTTTGAAAAGGAGAAATAGTGAAGATTAAGCCCTTCTACCATCCAAAGTGACATAAAGGTCAAGCCCCTTCACATTATAGATATATTTTTTTAAAAAAAAAAGAGAGTAAACGAGGAAGAAATTTGAAAATGGAAAGCTTAAGTTTCCTTGTGAACCGTCTTGTCATAAAATTAATCAAAATTTATTTTAAAATTAATTATATAGATTTAATTTTAAATGTTTTAAATTTTTTGGTTTAAATTTAGTTTGTGTTAAAATTAATTTTAAATATGACATTTTTTTTAAAGAAGAACAAATGTAAGAATTTGAAATTAAAAGAAAGGGAGAAGAAAGTAGAAATATTTGTTGTGTTATGCATAACTGAAATCTCATAACTTTAATTGAAATTCCATTACTTTTGCATTATAATACAAACTTGATAAAAGGTTAAATGGATATTAAATATTCAGTTGTATTAATTACCTGAATTTTAAAATTAAATATTTAGTTATATTAATTATCTGAATTTTTTATATGGCCCTAATGGCCTCAATAACAAATGGATTGAAATTGTTATTTAGAGTGAAAAAAAAGAAAGAAATGGATTAATTTTTTAAATATAAAATTTGAAATATATATATATATATAATATTTTTGAAAAAATTATGAAAATATAAAATTTAAAAATTAACGTAGATAATTTTTTTATGTACCTAACCCAATCTATGTTGGTAGAGACACTCTTGAGAAGAAGTATAAAAGAGGAGAATAAAATGCTTCCCACCGTTTTTCAGTAGGAAAGCTAAAGGTTAGACTTTAGAAAGTAAGTGAATAGTGGTTCTTCTATGTAGGTATGGCCTTCCCCTTGACTCTCCTAACATCGAGCTAAGTGACTTTGTAACCTATGCATTAACGCTCTCTTATCTATTAGCCTAAGCGTCTTAGCTAACTCGCTGTCTACTATACTATACTCTACTATACAATACATTAGTAGGGTAGACTAACTCATAGGTCTTTAGTAACGTTGACAAAAAAGAACAGCCGGTTAAAAAGATAGTAATTCTTTAACAATAAAAATTATCTAATTTTAAAAATTGTCATTAGCAAATTTTTTTAAAAATTATAAAAATAAAAAATCACCATCAGCAGTTTTTAAAAAATAAAAAAAAATTTGGCCAAAAACTATTACTAACAAATTTTGAAAAATTTCCACCTTTCAAAATATTATTTTTTGATAACTTTTTTATTTTATTTTATATATAAAAGAAAAGATAAAAAAAATAGAGACTTAAAAAATATTTAAATTAATTATTAATTATTAATAACAAATTTTTTAAAAATATTAAAAATAATATGATAAAATAATGAATACGTTTATTATTTAACCAAAAATTTAACGGAAAAACATATTTTAAATATTTTAAAAATATTTTTGGTCAAATTCTAATAAATTTTTTATGAATAATTCTAAAATATGCTATTTCAATAGAAATAAAAAAATATAATTAAGGCTAAAAATATATTAATTTCATTCAATATTTTAAATTACATATTTTTATGATAAACTTCGATTTTAGTTTTTACTCTCTGCTTGGCGCCGCTTTTATCTTTTTTTTTTTTTTCTGTTGACGCCACGACGGTTCCGAGAATCAAGAGTTATCAGCAGCGGCGGCCACCGTGCGAAGGCGTTATCACGGTTGAACCCATTGAACTTCCTGATCAATCGCTAAATTTTCTACCGGTTCATTTTCACTTTTTCAATTATGCTTCTCTGCTCAGCACTCATTTCATTTTCGAGTTTTTACATCAACCAAAACCCTAACCCTAGCAATGGCGATGGATGCATCCGCACCGAACAATCTCGACGACTACTCACCTTCTTCCACCGTAATCAAATTCGACCGCCCCATTTCCTTACTCCGAGGACCGTTACCGGCGGGTCCTTCCGACGACCCATCGGCGGGTCCCTACGTTCTGGCCTTCAGAGATTCGCGAGCTTGGGCTTCTTCATTCATAGTCTGCGAGCGCAAAATCGTTGCACAGTGTGAGGATGGTGCGAGGATCGGTTGCGCTGTTAGCGCTTCCAGAAAGTGTAAGCCTCCTTGGTGGAAGGCTGTGGTGGGTCCCAAACTCTCCGATCTGAAGGAGAGAGAACTTTGTGAAGCGCGTGAGATGGCGGAGTGTTTCGCCGCGGCGAAGGAGAAGTGTGTTGGCTTCGCCAGGGATAAGTGTTTGCTTCCCTTTAGGGATGCGCGGATTAAGGTTTGGAAAGGGGTTTTGAATTTGAATTCCAAGGATGCTGTGAGATTGATTGGTTGGGCATTGGTGCCTGACAGTGAGAGGAACTTGTGGTTGATGAGTCAAATGGGTTCTATGTGTCTGAATGGTTGGAATTTCGGAGGGACCAATTGCCGGGCTAGTGAATTGCTGGGTTCTGATGAGTGTGTGCAATGCATTTTAGGGGAACGGCAACAATGCAGAAAAAATCAACCATAGTTTTGTCACCTATTACCGGAGGTAGCATTTCAAAATCTCAACACTTGTCTATATGTTTATTGTCTTAGCAAGTTGTTGTGCCATGCGTGTTGAATGGAGTGGCTGCAAGATGAAACTAGTTGTGACTTGTTCTAAAAGAAATCAGGAAAAACCCTTTTGCCTATGACTATGAGCCAAGCGCATCAGTTGTATGCTGGTATTTTCACACTATTCTATGAGATATGCTGGAATCTTGGATGCTTAAGTTTCGGGTGCTAACCTCATGGAAAATTGGAAATAGAGGAATCTAAGATTTCTACACTTGGCATTCTGTTATGGTTGAACCATTTTTATTGTATAATTAAACTTGGTATTTGAAATCTCAGGAATTACTGTCCAATCGGGTCATTCTCTTAGAAAGTACCTGTGCACCAATCACCCTTCATTAAGATTTGTATAAATTATGTCACACAATGAGTGGTATTATCCTTCTTAGTCATAGACAATTGTTTGTTTTCATGATTGGGCCTTGAATTGACTACAAGAAAATAGAAATAATATTTGGCAACTTTATTGACTGACACTATTCATCAATCCTGGCATGTTATGTTATACCTGAAATGTCAATTGTGATGGTGGAGACTGTAGAGTTTTTTGATGTCTCACCTAGTGTACTGACATAATGTTGTTTGAGCATTACTTATAAGTTTTTGGTCCGAACAGATTATTTTGAGAATCCATGGCTTTGCTGTAACTTACTTCTTCTTTGGTTGGTGCAGAAGTTATCAGAATTGTCATCTCATTGAGCTTGCTGAATCAAGTATCCAGGTTTTACTTACTCTAATTTTTGAATTATGATCTGACTATCTTTTTATTAGTAAGTTACATAAGGTCTCTGTTTGTTTAGGGGCATCATAACTTAAAAAATGCACTATAGTCTCATCTATTTAAACATTACATAAGGTAAAAAGTACACACAAGTTGTGCTGGAGTCTAATTGAATTGAATCTCAAAATTATCCACTAAGTAATTCCTTTTTACCATGCTTTATTATTTTTCTGTTTGCCTACTTCTTACTTTGCTATACAAGAGCCTGACCTCTATGTATTTGTATTCTTTTTTATATATGTATATTTTTGGGTCATTTGGTTTGTGAAGTGTTTTATAATTTTTGGGAATTGTTATATTGGAATGACGTATTCCCATGTTTGCCACATCATTCCAAAATAAATTTGCATGTAAAAAGTGATCCCAAATAATGATTTATTAAATTACTTATGTACTATTAGTCTTACGAATAAGATTGCAACAAAGGGGAGTATATTGGGATTTTGAGTTTTATAACTTATTTCTTCTTGATACTTCATCTTTAGCTTAATTATCTTATTCCTTCATTGTACCTTATCCTTTGGCTCTCGAACAAGGGGACGGAAAAGTTCCCCTCCTTTGTTCACTCAAACATCCAAAGAAAAGGAAGTAGCACTTACTCAAAAACTTCCAAACATAGATTCGGCATGAAACATCATTTTATGTTGTATTGATTAAATTTTTTGTTAGGCATCAAACTAAAATTTTGTTATGTATTGCTTATTGCTGCATTGGTTGTCGATATTATATGCAGTAATTGCTTGGTAACTCACAAGGGTCCATTAAACAAACAGTTTTCTGATTTTCTCTACTCTCTAGGATTAACCCAAAAGATGAATCAAGGAATTAGGTAAGAGTTGCTAAAGGTAAACCTTTGGTATAGATCATTGTTGTTAAAATTGCCATCTAGATTGTGTGTTTGCACGAGTACTTGATTTTTGGGTTGGTCTCCTCCATACTGGACCACATGTAAGAGTGAAAGACAGTAGGATCAGACTGGAATCACTAATCTTCCTTGCAGTATCAAGCTTCTGCAAGTTGAACCCAGTTGCTGCAACCGAGCTTTTGGGTTGGGTTTCATGACCCGATTAGCAAAAAACCACTTGATTCCTGTTGTAGGTTAATCAAAACCTAAAGCCCTCACTTATGCGGCCTATCTCTACCCTAATCTCTCGCGCCGTCATCCTGTCTAATGCCTTCAGAGCTTCTAGGTTTGAAGCTTCCATCTGTCTCTACCTCCATCTTCTGTGTACTTTCTCTGCCTTTATCTTTGCAAGCGTTCGTGTGTCTTTTTTTTTGGGTCTACCGATCTACGTTATTTATTGTGCAAGTACTTTTGAAGTTTTATGGGCCTTGGACTAAGGCTTGGGCCTTGGACTAAGGCTTGGGCCTTGGTTCTGATCTATATCATTTCAATTTAATTTCTCTTCATCCATGTTATCTTTTAATACATACACGTATGTGTTTAGGTGTAACTTTATATATTAGATATCTTTCACCCCCTTCCAGATTTTAGGTAAGATATCTGTTCTTACAATAACATTTTACCGTAGACTTTACTACCTAATCGGATGGATAAAAATCTGTTTCTTTAAAGCATGTTAAAAAAATATGGTTTTAATAATATTATTACTTCACATTGGACTATGCGAAGAACTTTGAAAAGTTGGTAGAGTTTTGGTCACCTAGGGTATGCTTGGTTGATAAATCGTGAGACTTAGTTTTAAAATCATAATTTGACCCAAAAAAAAAGTTTTAAAATCGTAGAGAGTAAATCAAAATAAATTATAAAATTTATAGACACAATAAAGACATAGCTTAAAATACACGAACAAATGATACTAGATATCAAACTTAATAAATGTTACTTTTAATAAACTTTTACTAAAGGTGAATTTTATCAATTTAACCATTGATTAATGAGATATTGTCACGATTATTAAGTATATAAAATTTAAATGTTTATAAATATATAATTTAATAGTATTAAGTTGTTTATAATTTTAATAAATTCTATATGTTAAATAAAGTGAGACAATAAGTATTAATTAAATTTTGACTTTGTAAAATTTTATAAATTTGATTTACTTTTATGAGAAATTTAAATTTAATGGATGGATTTGTAAATTTCATATTTAATAAAAAATTTAATAAAGGTGTTACTTGATCCTGTCTCGTCAATGAATATCAAACTAGGAATTGATCTTATGACATTGAAACCATTAGTCTAACAACAAAATCACTAGCCATAAACTGTGTTTTGGCTAGTAACAACTCATGTTTATGTTAATAATGATAAAAAATTCCGTAATTCGTGAGTAACGTAGTCCAGTTTCTAAAGTTTATTGTTTTGCTATTTGTATTTAGTCCTTTTTTTTCTTGGCATTTTCTTCTCACTTTGATGCATCCTGTTCCGACTGTACGACTGTGCAGACTAGTAAAAATATACGCGAGGATTATAAATTGACAGAGATGAAGGGCAGAGTGCAAATTATGGTCGTTACATTTTCCTTTTGTCGTTCTTGATCTCTTCATTTCAGTTCTCAAATTTTCTTACCCAGCATTCACGCTCATAGTTCACTGGGACCATTCCCATCCCTTTCCGTCCTAACCGGGCCCTTCCTAAGTGGGCTGAGTGGGTAGCACGTGGTCTAAATATTTTCGAAATTCTAGCACATGATGAGGACTAAGTGAGTGTGCATGCCGTGAATGTTGGCTTCAACTTATTTTTAAGGAAACAATTATGACCCAATTTCGATAGAATAAGAGATATTGATAAGTTAAATATTTTTTAAATAAGTCTTTATAGAATATGGAAAATTAATATAAATGATGAATAATTTTTTTATAAGTTTAAAATAAATTATACTCTTTAAATTTTTATACAAGTTAAGAACTTTTTTTTAAAGAATAAAGAAGTATAAGTTGATTTTAACTTATAAGAGGAGTTTGGTTTATTTTATTATTTAATTTTTATTTTTATATGTATTTGTTGAGAAGTTAATCTCGAACACGACTTATATCTCTTTAGAATGTATGCCCAGGAAGTTGATTTTTTTTAGAAGTGATAAAATGTATAAATTAAAAAGGTGAGAGTTTATCTATTATTAATTTAAAATTTTTTATTTTCATAAAATACTTAAATTTTAAAAATGGTAGATAAGTTATATGTCTTCACATTTTAAAGGAATTAATTAATCTGTATTGCTTATACTACTTTTTCCTGCTTCTGTTAATCAAAATAGTTGCTTGCTAAAAATAACAACCCAATGATCAGGATGATTTGTCTGATAATAATTGTTATTAAGAAAATATTAAGTAGTTACTGGTTGTTTGAGAGGAGAATTTTGGAGAAGAAAAAGAAAACAAATTATATTTTAAATTAATATATTTAAAATTAATATTTTTGAATAAAAATATAAATTAAAACATTTATATAAATTTAATATATTTAACATTGTTAATAGTATATAATTTTTTAATTTAAAATTAAAAAATATGTACTCTCACTTAGAAAATTACGGATTAATCTGAAGCCATGTGATACCGTTAGTACTATGTATCAATCTTTAAGGATTTATGAAAAAAAAATTTCTTCCTAGAAGAATCGTGTGAGATAAAACAGAGTAATCGGGAAAAAAGGCTGATAAATGTTATAAATGATGTGGTGTGATAGGATTGATGGAAAGAAAAGGATAGAGAAAAATAATGTTAAATAGATATTAATATTGTTTAACGGTGTGTTTGTTTTAAAGAAATAGGAACGATTTAATTTGTAAGGGATGCAATGGTGCATTTCCTTGGTTTGGTTGGAGTGAAATACAAGACTGAAATTGTATGAATTTACAATTTAGTGGTTCCTACGTCAGAAAATTTCCTCGCTTCTAAGGCGAGAAATGCAACTTGTTGCAGTTTTATTTATTTGTTTGTTAAAAAATTTTAAAAAATGATTTTATTACTAAACAATAATAATACTATTATATTAGGATAAAAATACATATTAAAAAATTTAGATATTTTATGTTAAAAATATTTTTAAATAATTATACAAAAGTATTTTTATCTCTTTTATTTTTTTTTTCAATTTTTGTTTATCCAAATAATATATAATTTATACTCTATTTCTTCACTGTTTCAACTCTGTCCCAAACAAAGCATAGCTTTAAAATCAAAATTACGATTAGGAAGCGAAGAATGGGTCAAGAGAAGGGATCTACGGCCTTTATATTTCTTCGGCTGTCGACATCGCTAGGTACTGTGTAGTTGTCATGCTGATACCCAGCGAAGGATATGTGATTGCTTGTCAGGATCTAGTATTTGTTTATCTGTCATTTTCAGGAAGTTTCTTGGTTGCTTCCCTTTGCCAGTCGGTGCATTAATTATTAATTAGCAATTTAGCATTGAGCTAAGCCTGGGAAAAGTAAGCAACTTTTGAGTTCCGAAGTTACTAGGAAGTTTCGATTAGTCAACAGTGACCTATTCTTGGAAGAAGCAACTGTCATGGTTTCTTTGAATGAAAAAAAAAAAAAAAAGATAATGGTGGCCAAAATTAACTTTTTTATTTTCAGCTTAATTTTCAAATTTTTTTTTATCGTTCATCTTTTTCTTTGATTTCAATGTGATTTTGTTTATCAATTTTGAATATCTGTTATTGCTACAAATTGAATAGGTGTTATTTTTTTTTACTGTTATAGCTGATAAATAAGTTTAAAATGAAACTAAATAAAGGAACCAAATTAAAATTTAAAAAGAAACTTAGATAACCAAAATAATAATTTTTTAATAATGATGTTTTTTTGTTTGATTGAAGAAAAACAAAATAAGAGAAAAGTTAGTTTAAAAAAAATTAAATTTGTTGTCATATTTTTTCTTTAATTTACTTTTTAGGTATTTTAAAATTTTTAGAAATTTAAATTACATAATTTTAATTTAATTTAAATTTTTATTCTTTCACAATATTTTGTTTGGATAAATAATTGAATTTTTTTCATGTTTGGATAGAATAATTAAATTATCATTATATTTGATAAGATTAATTAAAAATATTAAATTCAAATTATTAAACTAACCATAATTAAATAAAAATATGAATAAAACATGCAATAAATAAAAAATAATTTTAAATTCTTTTAAATCTTTTATCTAAACAAAATTTTAACCCATGTAATTGTAAATTCTTTTAAAAAATAAATTACTCAGTTGAAATATTTTCCAAACACACTCTTATTTTGTTTGGATGGGAGATAATAAGAAAAGAAATAAAGAAAAAGAAAAT